ACCGTGACGCGACAAGGTTGGGACGCATGCCTTGGATAGCATGCACGAACATACCAGGACCAGAGACAGACTCGGCGCGTCCTTTGCGGATGATCGTCCCTGTTGCGTGGTCCAACGGCCAGAAGGCGTGCAGAACGTACGACTCTGGGTTCTCCAAGTCAGGACCGAAATAGGAGAAACCGCCCTTGGGACCTTTGCCAATTTTCCAACCAGGAGCGGAAGCAGGACGGGTGATATCAAGCGAAATCTGGAGGTCATTGTCGAGGTTGACGCGAATGGTATATGATTCGGCAACGTCTGGAGTAGGGTTGGACCGATGAGTGATGCTATATTGATCGGCTTTGCTGGAACGCTTGTCCAGCCCCGGAGGCGGGGTCACAAAATTGGACACATTGACAGACTTCCAAACCGTCTCATTTGTTCTCGGGTTGTGAAGTTTACAGGTGAACTGGATGGTAGGATACCAGACGCTGCGAGACTAGATGAATCACTTGGGTTGTGACCGGAGGTGAGAAGACTCACCCGACTGCAGAGTGAATGATCTGGCACATCAAAGATGTACCATCATCAAGCATATTGTACCATGTGTGTGTCTCAACGGCGAACCCGCCAGGGCACACCCATTCGGTGTCCTTAGGCTCGAGCTCACCAAAGAGCTCGGAGGCGCTATGACGAGATGAAACAGGATGGAAGTTGGGCGCCTTCGGATCGACCGGGGCCCTGCACGACGTGTCAATCAGGGTGATTTAGAGTCAATAACCATGGACTTACGACCAGAGTGAGGAGAACATGGCGGGAGAATCGGGGCGAAAACCTCTCGTGTAAGAGAATGGGAATGCTGGTCTCGATTGAGCAGTCCTACGCTGGGCCCGTGTGCGCTACGAATCTGGTTGGCACGAAATTGTTAACTGGTAGCAGCGCCGAGATGGTGGTGGAACGGAGAGGAGAAAGCAGCGAGGCCCGAGTGCGGCGACGACCCAAGAAGCTGAGAGCCTGAGCACGTTTGGAACCAGACCAGGCGGCTAGTCTTCCGACAGCGCCAGGCCCGCCTGTGAGTCTGTGACAATTAGTGAAGACGAGCAGGCCGAAAATGGAGGCCAGACTCCCGTTTGGACGTGGCGTTGCAGTCGGCCTTGGCAGCGCTCAATCAAAGGGCGGTCAATTTATTGGCTCTGCCACGACAAGACTGCCTCGCAGGCGGCTCTATAGCCGTCCACCGTGATGCGGGAGTCATGAGCGCTGGTTAGGCCGTTTTATCTTCCTTTCCATTGCCCTCTAGTCTTCCCTCTCCCTCTAGGTCGACTCTCGTGTTCGTAGGACCTGCGACCCTTCAGCGATCCACACCGACGTGCTGTGTACAACCAGTGAGTGTGATCATGTTTATGAATGTTGATGGCATCGACCTTGACGACATCCACAGCAGTCTGTCATCATCCGTCATACTGAGTCGTGCATCTCAGTCAATCGTCGTCGCGATCTGTGAGATGCAAGTTATCAGATAACCACCATACTTGTCTTTGATCTGTTCAGTTCGCGAAGGGCTATGTCGAAGTCTCGAACAGCAACCGCTGTCTGCAGCACTTCGTTCAGTTGCTGCTTCCCCTCCGAGCTACGCGACCATGTTATCGACCAGCTCCATGATAATCGTCCTGCCCTCAAGGCTTGCAGCCTCACTTGCCGTACGTGGCTGCGCCGCGCCCGCTATCATCTTTTTAGTCGCGTCGCCTTTGATTCAGGACAAACCGGAGATGCCTTCGGTCAACTTGTCCGGTCCTCTCCGACAATTATCGATTTCATCCAGGAGGTGGAACTGTGCGGTACTCCCGTCCACACGTGGTGGAACACCAAGACGCCAGCCGTGTCGACCATTGCATGGCCGACTCTAGACCAGACCCCTCGCCACCGTAAAGAGTCCGATGTCGTAGAGACAGCGCTTTGGCTGCAACGTATTCTTCCCTCATCCACTCCCCCATTTTCGAGACTCGTGTCTCTCAAGCTATCCTCGCTCCCGATTAGTGATACAGTCACTCACGCCCTGCACTGCCATTTCAAGAACACGACAACTCTCACTCTCGATGGGTGCAAAGCACTGGCTCTCGCGGACTTCATGGACCTACTATGCGCCTTCCCTCGACTGAATACCTTACGAGTGCTGGCTGCACAATGGCTTCCTGCTATTCATTGCAAAGCCGAAAAATGCGCCGGATCTCTTCCGAGGTTACGACGCCTCGAGATGTCTCGCAAAATCGACGCTGCGCCTTTGATTTCACGAATACTCACCGAGTCGGCCCATTCGGACATCGTCTCGTTGTCTTGCTCAGTGTCCGGGCACAATTGCGCACATGCTATTCGCGACTTCTTACACGCGGCTCGCTCATCTCTAGAACAGCTTGAAATTGGATTCCAGGATTCGCGAGACCCCACAGGTTCGTACAGGACGATCTCGCTGGTGCTCGTGCTGATATCGATGTTGGTAGATGTCCTACAAACTTCACAACTCGACTTGACACAGTCAACAGGTTTGCGTCGTTTACGTATTAGCTGCTCCGCGTCACATTGCCTCATGCCCTCTTCGTATCGACCATCACTGTCCTGGATTGTCATACTACTCTCAACTGCAAGCTCTTCTCAGCTGCAGGAACTCGTATTCTCCATTCGTTCCGCCGATCTGTGCGCACTCAACATGGAGGGATTGGACGTGGTTCTGTCTGGCACACGTTATACTAGCCTGAAGAGCGTCAAGTTTGAGATCCTTCTCTCCGGGCAGGCCCTGGGAGGTATGGATCATAGCTGGATTCGCAACAGGATGCCTGCCATTCGTATGAAGGGCATTTTGTCCATAAGCTCGGACACCATCTGCAGTGTCTGAGTCCCACATTTAACATACTATTCCTTCTCCGCGAAAACATTTATTTGGTCCGTACCTTACTGCACATTGCTGTACTATCGCTGTATCATATGAGGTTAACATGTTCCAGCGCTTTCAATTCGCACTATACTGTACATACGTATGATACGCTACCTATCCATATTATCCAGAATCTCTACGTCTTTTCTTTAATGGCGAAGGTGAGATAGTATTGTATGATTCATGGGCAGTATCAGGTAAATCCAATATTATGCTCGGAAGATCTGCTGCTTGCTGTGAATAGGATGCGCCGCATGATGCAGCAGTTACATCTGATGTCCCGACAGACTGCTCCTACAATAACAATACAACAGAGGCAATGACACCGTGTCAGAGACTACTGTTCCAAACACTGATCGATTGACTCGGACTACTCACTTCGCTAAGGCTATCGTCCTGGTCCTTGGATGCCCAAGGGGAGTAATCAATCCAATCTTCAATAACATCCGCACCGTCCGACGATTCTTGTTGCATAGATATCGATGTAGAGCCTGCTGGCGTAGGAGACGCATCCCTCGTGCGAATAAATGTCATGGTTTTGGCGTTGAGCGCCTCAAGTATTTGTTTGTTCTGGGTAGCGGAAAGGGCAGATGGGTTCCGCATGGGCACAGCTGGAGGCCAGCCTTCAAGACGAATGCCGTAGACATCAAGTTTGGAGTGATCTTTCCACTTCATCTCAGCATTTCGGATCCCAGATGCTGCTCTAACAGTACCACGCAATTCAGTGTGAGCACATAAGGAACACAGAGGCATCTTACCGAATTGCATCACGCACACTAGCATAGACTTCTGCTTTCAGTGAACTAGCAGGTCCTCTTTTTTGCGAGGATATGTTGATCATAGAAGGGGACATCTCCAGCGCAGTCCCCGCAGTGGAACTGCGTATCTCATTTTTTTCTGATTTCATACACTGTGCTTGGAAAGCCTTGGCTCCGCTGACCCCGCATCCCCGATGCCCGCGCCAAAACTCGCGACCAAACAACGTACCTCCGAGGAAGCCTTCATCGGCGACATTGCGGGGGTTTACCACTAGAAAGAAGGACTGAAGCCCAGCGATTTCACGAAGGGATTCGAGAGTTTGTGAGGTGTACCGGAGGATAGTATTTACTGATAGACTTAGACTAGCAGGCCGGAAAGATAAATTCAGTGACTTACTACGCTCTTGAGCATCATCTCCCTGCGCTGGAGATGGCGCAAAGAGACAATCGCAGTGCCATTCTGCAAAACGCCTTCGTACCTATATTGATGTCATAGGGATGCATAGCTCAAGTGAAAAGGGATCTCGTATACAAACCTCATCGAACGGACGTGTTTCGCGCTCAGCGAAGGCCCTCAGATCCGCCAGGTGCTTGTCGAACAGTGTTTGTAATCTCTCAAAAAACAAGCCATCTTCTACCTCTCGTTTCGCTTCCTCAGTCTCGTGTGTCATCCAGCAAGTAATATATAGTTTCGAAAATATCGATTTTGACGCGTTTTGAGTGTGGGATGCAGCTCAAAGAGTTGATGAGGTCAACGTCGAGACGCAAAGGAGGCCGGCGAACGCCGATCGGGATCATGCATAGATCACATTTGCGATCTTTGCTCACCCTCAGCCTGCTGCAGTGGGTATTCAAGAAATCTGGAGGCCACAACCATACGCGATGGGCCGAACACGAACAAAATCAAGAAAGGCGACTGCGTTATTGTCAAAGGTCGCAGTTGAAGAACCCACGCTGCCTCCCTCTGTGTCTGCTCTTCTCGAAAAGTCTCAGTCCTTGATAGTACAATGCGACTATGATCTCGCAAGGCGATTTGTGCAGCGCGCACTAGACCGAGAGCCGTCCAATGCGCAGGCGAAGGAGATGCTGGGAGTGGTGCAGTTGGAGACTGGGGAACTCGATGCAGCAAAACTAGTACGCATGTCGAATCATATCGCCAACTTAAGCGACTGATGATGCAAAACATGTGCAGACGTTCACATCGCTCGTACCTCCACATCCCAGTGCTCCTGTTCCTCCTCCCCCGTCCGCACATCTCTACCTCGCGCAGCTGAGCGATGATCCACACGCGGCCTTAAAACATTACCAAGCGGCCGTCGACGTCCTCACGGTTCAGCTCAAGGGGAAGGATCGCGCAGTGGACTCTGCCAGTACCAGTGATGATGACGCGGATGTCAAGCATAGTATAGTTCGCGCTCTGATTGGGATGGTGGAGATCTGGATGGATGATTTGTGGTACGTATGCCGACATATGCATAATCCTTGATCCGATGCTTAGAGGTACGCCTCCCAGCTTCGAGCCTGCAGCAGAAAAGTCGTGCGAAGATCTCTTAAGTTTAGCATTGCAGACAGATCCCGGAAATACCGAGGCGCTACAAGCACTAGCATCTGTACGACTCTCGCAGCAAAGACCAGACGATGCAAAAGCTTGTCTTGAGCAGGCGTGGACTGCATGGAAAAGTTTAGATCTTGGTCAGTTCTTGCTTGTAGATATCGCATCATTATTTTCTCACATATTCTTGACCGGCGTAGATGATTCTCGTCTCCCTCCGATACCCACTCGCCTGTCACTTGTAAAGATGTTCTTGGAGCTTTCGTTGTACACACCTGCGCTGTTTGTTCTCCAAGGTGTAATGGCCACTGATGACCAAGATGTCGAAGCGTGGTATCTCGAGGGTTGGTGTTTCTTCCTTATGGCGGAGCAAGCGCAAGAGAGTGGAGGTAAATTGGACGAATTGACATGGCAAGAACTGGCCAAAGACGCTCGAGACTGCTTGGAAACTTGCCAAATGGTATGTTATTACAATACACTAACTATCGCTTCAGCTCACATTACATCACACAGTTGCACGTCAACCAGGAGCATCCGGATAAGCCACTCTTAGAACATGTACTCGAACTCATTGCTAAGTTAGAAGCGCTGGGAATTCAGCCGTCACCTGAGGGAGCCGATGAGGAAGAGAATGATAGTTGGGAGGACGCTGAAGGAAGCGACGATGAGGATGTAGAGATGTCTTAGAGCACGATCACGTATCGTGGCTTGAAAAGTACTTTATAATAAATCATTTCCTCTCTTTGCTGGTGCCCTGGACCGCCATAGCTGTATAGAAGTTAAATCTTGCTGGTGTCACAGACATGATTTTTGAGCTACGTGCACTTATGTTGATGGAGTCTAACTCGCATTGAACGGCCGCATCTCGGGAATCAAAACGCGTGATCCTGCCGGGCTGAGGCGTTCACGAAGACCATGCCTATACATAAGTACTTGTGATAGTAAACCTTGCCAACTGAAGTCCACTTTGTCACGGCACTCGCTGAGTAAGTCTCTTGAAAGAGCCCTACGTAGTACGCGTACGCGCATTCTCTCTATCCTGATGACGAATTGAAAACTAATCAATAGCTCAGATGAACGCTACCGCTATTGTCCACCGTAGGTTTCTATGGCGGTCCTTCGCCAATTCACCAACGTGTTGTCAGGCACAGCGACCTGCAAGTTGTCTTCGTTATAGATGTTTTGCTCAATCCGCCTCCAAAGCGCCCTCAGAAGCCACCCAAGCAATACCGAAACCGAAGGCTTCAACGCCTCTCCGTAGATCTGCCTCTGCCTCTTTGCCTATTCGTTCTAATCCGACTCCTACTCGGAGCGATATCCAGCCGGTGTTCACACTTGCAACTGCGGAGCGCTACCTTCTCCCAAATTTAAAGGACCGCCTTCCGTCGTCCGCGAAGCTGCTGCATGAGTCATGGTGGATACCGAGATGGACCGAAGATGGGCGAGATGGTGAGATTTTTATTTTCGGAAATGGCAGCTTTGTATGCTGGGGGCTGGGTGAAGACCAGGCCCGGAAATTTGCTCAGAAGGTTCTCGCCAAATCAAATGCTGAGGTTGCACCACTGCTCGAACCGGAGACAGAGGACCTCGAGTTTGTGACAGATCCGGAAGAGTGGGTGACTGCGTTTTTATGCCACTGCTGGCGCATGTATGGCGACCTCCTGACGAGTATTTATGAATCAGGACTACTCGGCTGCAAGGCGACTTAATAATTCTCGGGAAGAGTCCAGCGCCAACGACGGATGAAGCACTTCCCGGCAATCTACCTCATTCCTTGCTGCCTCAGGAAAATGTGTTAGCTCGCTATGCGTTTTCGCAGGCACTCTCTCGTTCTACTGCGCTTTCTGCGCTAGAACTTTCCCTCGAGAAGTACCTTTCGTCAGTGGCTCTCTTACCGGACACGTTACGGCGAACAGGAAAACCTGGACTAAGTCGCAAGGCTTTGGTGATGAAGCTCGGTCAACTGCTAAAGTTCCGTCAGGGAATTAACTTGAATAGAGAAAATTTTTCTGATACACCCGACTTGTACTGGGCTGAGCCTGCTCTGGAAAGTGAGTTTGGTGTTGTGTAATGAGGTCGTAATATTGCTCAGCTATATTATAGATTATTTCAACTCGTTGAGCAATGCATTGGAGATGAAGGCTCGTACACGATCGGTCAATGACAAAATCACGTACGCTGCCGAGGTAATTGCCTTTTTATTCTTGGTTCGTCTGAGTTTTCATATGATTCAAAGATGCAATCGGTTCTACGGGAGCTTTTGACAGAGGTGAGATACATTCTCCTCCCGGACCGCTCTGAAACTCTAATGATACTCCAAAGACTTCCGGGCACAGGATGGAGCTCATCATCATTGCACTTATTGCAGTTGAAGTTATCATTGTGAGTGATTTGTTCATGTAGTGGTTTACATATCTGAGTCTTGATCTTCCTCTCAGTGTCTTATCCGGGATGGACCTGAATTGTGGCACATGGTTACGGGAGCCAGCGACAAGAGTGAAGAAAACAATTCTGCAGTCTCTGCTCACGAACGGAATTCTTGAGTATGAGACTCGCGAACTACATATAATGACCCTCAGCATAGTTAGCTACGTGTGCAGGCTGTTGTACAATCATATACTCTCCTCTCCTGGTAACCCATCCGCCTTCAGTGGCACAAGTACTCTACCTTGTAGTGACTCCATATGGTTAATTCATCTCAGATTTGGGAAATAGTTAAATTATATAATAGTGAGTATAGTATTCGTAGAAGACGATCAAGTAGTTATTTACCAGATAAGTTACCGTTTGAATCTCCAACGCTATCTGCGGAGCGCTTACACAGAGCTTGAAGCTCGACTGTCGCTCATCTCCTGTTGAGCCGCTTACCATCCTCGCTCACTTTGTCTCCCATCAGGACAGTTATAATCATGTCCATGGAAGAAAGCATCAGTCTCGAGGAGACTAACAAGATCCGTATCTCTCTCGGTCTTAAGCCACTTACAGATGACAGTGCGCCAGCGGACGATAAAGACAAGCAGGCGGAGGATAACTATGCGAGACAACGAGAGAAGGAAGCCAAAGATAGGGAGGCAAGGTAAGCATTCAAGTGTTGCTCGTCGCGGCTGATCTTAATTAAGCTTTACAGGAAAATTCAGGATAATATCGCAAAGTAAGCAGCCTGTCTTCTCCTCCGCCCATTGCAATTACTTCTACCTCGTTTGGGCGTCCAGGCCCAGATCCGTCGCGAGCAGCGTTGCTCATTTAATCGTCTGTCTAGGGTGAGAAATCGGCGAGAGCTTAATGCAAAATTGAAAGGTACTACGCTCGGTGACGCGGATGGTCATGTAGACGATACCATGAAATGGATCAAGAAGAGCAAGAAGAGGGAGAAAGAGCTGGCAAAAAAGCGGCAGGAGGAGCTTGAGAATATGGACAAGGTCTTTCAAGCGGAGTATACGGAACGTGCGTTGCATTAGTTAGAAGATTGAGGCATCTTTCCGCTGACCTATTATCCCAGAGGACCTGGCAGGCTTGAAGGTCAGCCATGATTTTGACGCCATGGAGGAGGGCGAAGCGCGTATACTCACACTCAAAGATAGTCGTATATTGGATAATGAAGGTATGTTGAACGGTGCTGAATTTTAGATGAAAGTCATCAATTTTTGCAGAGGATGAACTTCAGAACGTCGAGCTTGCAGAAGACGAACGGACGAAAAAAAATAACGAGTTGAAGATCAAGCGACGTGATTATACAGGATATGACGACGAAGAATTTACACCTGGACATGCAGGCTTGAAGCGATCCGTTCTGGCGAAATACGACGAATTTTTAGAAGGACCCAAAGAGATGGTGCGGGTTCTCCGCTTTGTGTTTACGCTCGCGTTAACAGATAAAATAGGGTTTCCGGCTTGGGAGCTCTACGGACGCGGTGCAATTGAAGAAATCAGAACAGGAAGGTGCCTCTGCTACCTCTGTCAATAAGTCTCTGTTATCTATAGATTATGCCAGTGCGTAGACGTGTGTTTCTATCTGAACGTCACTCATCAATCTCTGTAGAGAACTTGGAATCGGCAGATTATTTAAAAGAGGGGGATATAGGATTCAAGAAGCCCAAGGTATGCCTGTTTTTTATGTCACGTCCAATAGTCACCCGGACGTCCATTTATAGACGAAGAAGAAACGGTCTTCTCGCCGGGTTCCCGAGGAATCCGACGTCCCCCCAGTCAACGGTGACGATCAGATGCAGGTAGACGGGAGGTCGATTATCCCCCGACCGCGCAATCTGGACGCCAATTTCGTAGATGACGACGAACTTCAAGCAGCACTCGCCCGTTCTCGTCGCGCAAAATTGCAAAAGACGAAGAAACTGTCACCGGAGGAGATCGCTAAAAGAGGTGAGAACATTGTTGTCTTGGCGGTCCATGAAGTTAACGCTTGGGTATTATAGTTGCTGAGGAACGCGCCAAATCGGAGGCACAGAATGGCGATTCCTCTTTCAATGTAGAAAATGGCGGTGACGGGGATGAGGAAAGTGGTCTGACGTTTGACGACACCTCGGAATTCGTCCGTGCTATTACATATGATCCAGTTGCTATTAAGAAGGAGTTACCAACTGACGCTCTTTCGAGCGCTCCATCAAAGGTTCGGTCGCCGTCGATCGATGTGAAGACGGCAGAGGGGGACGAAACTATGGAAGAGCTTGAAGCAGGCGAGGTAGTCGTCAAGGAGGAGGATGACGATGACGAAGAAATGCTCAATGCCATCGAGAACGCTATCAGGGAGACGGAGGAGATGGAGAAAGTTGCAGCGGAGAATCCAGACGTACCAGTTGGTACGCTCAGTGAACAGACGTACAGCTCTGGCCTGGCATCTACGCTTAATATTCTTCGCAGCCAGGGAATTCTTGCGGCTCCAACTGCTGATCAGCGAGAACGAGAGAAAGTACAATTGCAAAGGGATCTTTGGCTAGCGGACTACAGGCAGATGGTCGCACAGCGCGAACTGGAGCGAACGAAGACGCGCGGTGGCAACAGGGACCAGGCCACGCGCGAGTACGAAAATCGTGTTCGGGAACAGCAGGAGGCACGACAGAATCTGGAGGCTTATAGGGACTACAAGCCTGACGTGAACATCGTGTATTACGATGAATTTGGACGAGAGCTAACTCCAAAAGAGGCTTGGAAGGCGCTCTCCCACAAATTTCATGGCAAAGGTTCTGGTAGGATGAAGACGGAGAAGCGGTTGAAGAAGATCGCCGAAGAGAAGAAGAAGGAAGCTATGGCAAGCGGTGACACCCCCTTGAGCATGAATCAGGCGTTTCAGATTCGCCAGGAGAAAGCAGGACAGGCTCACTTCGTGCTCTCCGTTGGTAACAGAGGGTAAGTCTGTCGGTCGGTGGTTTCAAATATCTGTATTCACGTTATTGCGTAGTGCCGTGCCCCAAGCGGCAGAATTTCTTGATCCCCAGCCGCTATCGAAGGGCAAGACAGACAAGAAGAACAAGAAGAAGAATGCCGGCAAGGTTCCTGCCCCACAGTTAGAAACCACGGGTTTTATAACCCTTCCTGCTCCCTTGACTAACGGTGGCAGCCCTATGTTCATGGGTTCGCCAGCTATGATCTCTGGAGCAGCTTCCACGAGCAACGGCTCCCCCGCTCCTAAGCCCGGATTTTCACGAATATCAGCTGCTGCAGATCTCACAGACTCTCCGAAGGAGGGGACACCTGTACCAAACGATCGCACTAAACTGGTTATCGGGCTTGGCGCCAAGCGAAAGGCGATTGGGGAGGCTGGATCTCCACCGCCGAAGAGACGATAAGAGGATTTCGCGTTATTCGGAGGATTGTGGGCTATTGTATTTACTAGACTATTTTATATTGTAATGCAGGAGTGATCATGAGATTTACAAACTTTGTGAGCATGCAGGACAATGGAACAAAACGATCATAATGTTGCAACACTACTAATACAGAGGTCCTTAGTAATTTTACACCGACCCTTGTCGAGACCCGTTGCACTTTCAAATGCTTGAATAAGGGATGCTTGACCATCATCTGTCCTGCAAATGGTCTCATGAGCTCACTGATGAGTAATACAAGGAATATATCCTCACCATTGGACAACATGACCATTCTTCTCTAAAACGAGTTTGATAGTAGTCCATGAAAAGCGCACAAGAGAGGGAAAACCGAACGTGGGATCCAGTGATCCTTTGATCCAAGCCTGAGTCTTAGGATCTACCAATACAAACGAAACGTCACAATCGCATGGGACAGCTGCATCAATATGTCAAGCCTTACCAGACGGATATCCGCTGCCCAGCTCTTTACCCCATCGAGTATTTGTCGGTTTTGAATTAGACTCAGCGTCATGTGGGGATGAACTCTCTTCGAAAGTCCAATCCTCAACCCAAGCGTCGCGAGTCACCTTCGCCGCGACGCTGGCAGCACCCACAATCTTGAACTTGGAGTCGGCTTTAGCTGTGACAGTGAAATTGATGCCGGGAAACTGTGATGAGAGGTAAGCTTCATAAGTCTTCGTCGGACCCAGAGCGTCTACATAAACCTGTTCACAAGTTACACTCTGGCTCGCGCGAAGGATTACAGGTTGCTTACATCGGAAAGTTTGATTCCATGCTGAAGTACTTCGCGAATGAGGAGGACAGTGGCTTGTTCTGATTGACGATTGAGGTTGGTCGGTGGCCGACGAAGCATTCCACTTGAGATGGCCTGTGGACTTCAGTGTCGTGAGCTCGCCTTGTGGGATCCAAGAGCAATAATGGGATGCCACACCATAGCACTCGGACGGACCAGCCAAGATTAGCAGGATCCGAGCACAGCGTCTGAAGGAGGGACGAGCGAGTCCCTGCCGTCAAAGTCTTCGAGTCTTAAAGCCCATTCAGTTCGCCAACACGTCAATCTTCGTGATATAGCTTACCTGCAAAACCGAGACTGTCAAGATCTTCTTGATAGGCCGTGGGGCAATAAGCGACACCGTACACTAAAGGGCCCAAGACGGGACCCCTGCCCGCTTCATCGACTCCTAATATATACGGACCGATAGCTGTCGGGATCGGAGAGTGATACGTGTAGGACGCAATAAGTGGCACAGAAGAATCTCTAATCGACGGAACCTTCGAATTAGTCGCTGTTTGCACGGATTCTGCAGACATTCCGACCCAGTATTTGCTTGGTATTGCAGCCAGAGTAAGTGATACTGATCAAGGAATAATGCGCATCAGTTATCACTAGTTGCTGAATGCGTCAAACGCATGACGGTATCCCGTTTGCAACACGCCGACGCGCAGTGACCGCGTTATTGTCTTGTATTTGTACGACGCGCCTGTGGCGGAGATCTCTGACCGAGGCAGTGAACTTCTAGCAATCAATGCAGTACTACTACCAGACCCGTGGTTATATGCATCAGCTCATTTGCTAATTCAACTCACAGTAACATAAATCGGCATGAAGCGTACAAATTTTCACCACTGGACGTTTCGCCGTGCTCGTCTGTCCTGACTCCTGCCAGTGGGTCAACGGTATGCCGAAATAAGACGAAGCGGAAGGCTTTGGGTAATAAGGGCAAACAATGGCCGGCCCACTTGCGGAAACTGGAGCCGGAGATCCTTGCCGAAACTCATGCCTCTTCGCGGTGGCCCGTCGTTGCCAAAATCTCTGCTCGAAGAGCTCAACAACAATGCAGGCACGTCCTCTGGTTATTGTTGCTTAAAGAAAAGAACGCGTCTTATGTGGATGCTCAGGTGATGACGGCAAAAAATGGTCCAAAACGGGTAATCGGCAGTTGTCGAGAAAAGAAACCCGGAAACAGGATCGTCAGTCGCGCAAAGAGCGCAAAGCGGAATATTTCACCTCTTTACATGTTAATAATCCCCGTCTGAAAAATAAACGCAACACCGAGGATGAACATCCGGAATCCCCAAAACGCAAGAAGGTCAAGATAGCGCACACGCCGATCACAACCATCATTGCTCCTCGAGATGCACGCTCTTCGCTATCCCAGCCTAAAATTTCTAAGGAACGAATAGCGCCGAGTACAAAGGTTTCGTCCAAAGCCCGCAAAGTACCTCCTCCAACAATCGAGGTTCCTGTCGCTTCTCGCTCGCGCCAGGATGAAGAGGAAGATGCATACATTGCGTACTTGGAGTCAAAATTGGGGTGGAAGAAGGGAGGCAAACGTACAACCAAGTATGGTAAAGGCGGAAACGATGGACTTGATGGTATGTCAGCTCTCGCTCACTGTGTCCTATATGAAGCGAATCGTGGGTGCTAGATCTTCTGAACGATCTCGACAACATGGAGCGATCTGTATTTAGCCAGCCAGAGGTTTGTCGTTGTATTTGTGGTATCGCAGACAATCTCAAACGGTTCGGGACTAGGTGATATTGAACACTACAGTAGAGTCTAACGAAAGCGTCTCTGACACAGAGCAAGTTGCATCCGGCGAGGAAGAGGATAAGGGAAGTCCCTTAGACGGTGGAAGTTCATCAGATGAGGAGGAATCTGTCGATGCCGAGAGGGGGTTGGGTTATGCTGAACGTCTTGACGATGGTTCAGACGATGACAAGTCGAGTAGCTCGGTGCCTGCGACCTCAACTCCTGCCGCAGCCGGTTTGTCAACTCTTTGAATGAAGTTAGGTCATTCTCAAACCTTCAATCAGGTTCCAGATACATACCGCCGCATCTCAGGAAAGTTGCACAGGTGGAGGACGAAGGCCAATCAGAGGAGCAGGTAAAGCTAAGCAGACAATTGAAGGGTCTGTTGAATCGGTACGTTCACTTTCTGACTAACTCCACCCCCGTTTCATCTCAGAACCCTTTAGGATGAGCGAGCAAAACATAGCATCAATCGTCGATGCCATTGAGGAACTCTATCGCAGTCACAGGAGGCACGGTATGTGGTCTGATGTTGCGTTTCTGGCTCCTAATTCATGAGCAACTCAACTAGATGTTTCGTCGACTCTGACGACTCTAATCATTGATGGGATATCGGCTCATTCTGCCTTGCTCGATTCTTACGTCGTTCTGCATGCTGCCTTCATTTCCGCCTTCCACAAGCTTATTGGTGTTGAATTTGGTGGGTAGCATTTGAAATTATCGCGAATTGGTTCTGATGATAGTCGAAGCCGCGTTCTTTGTACAGCATGTTGTAAATGCATATGAGCGCTACTTTCCGCAACCAGCCCAACAGCCAGTAGAAGATCGTGGTGACGCCGCCGGTTCTGGACGTCAGCCAAATGACGAGACTATAGGCAAAGAGTGCACCAATCTCGTGGTCTTACTCTCCGAGCTTTATAATTTTCAGGTCATCTCATGTGTATTGGTGTATGACATTATTCGCGGGCTTCTAGACGGCGAGCTTACGGAATTCAAGGTTGAGCTTTTACTCAAGGTCACACGGAGTGAGACACAAATGTAGCTGTGTGCGCTTTCGACTAATTTTCAACATAGATTCCGGATATCAATTAAGGCAGGACGATGCAACTGCTCTGAAAAGTATTATTCAAATAGTACAGTCGAAACTTTCCGGTCAAGCCAATGTCATGACGCATGTTATTGTACGCTTTTGCAACATGATATCAGCTGATCTTATGCACTTCAGTTCCCGAGCCCGTTTCATGGTCGAAACTTTGACCAACCTCAAGAACAACAGGACCAAGCGTGGCACTGCCCACAATGCTGGAGATGAAACTGTGGAACGGCTGCGGAAATTCCTGGCTGGCTTGGGCAAGAAGAGACACGGTTTGTTCCCTGTAAATCATACCTCTTGCCTTGCCTAGCTCATTTTCCTCGCAGTTCTTGCACACGAGCCACTACGTGTAACCCTCGCAGACCTGCATTCAGCAGAAAGTAAGGGCAAGTGGTGGATCGTTGGCGCTGCATGGGGAGGCGATCCTCTGGTTGAGCACGCAGAAAATCAGCGCGAAGTCCAAGACAAGGCTGAATCAGATTCTATTGACAATAACGTCTTACTCAAACTAGCAAGGAAACAGGGTATGAATACAGAAATCCGACGCGGAATATTTGTCGTTTTGATGAGCAGCGATGTATGTATTCCACCTTGCATCATCAACTGCGCCGACTTAACTTGGCATGCATAGGACTATGTGGATGCTTGTGAGAGGCTGTCGCAGCTCAAACTGTCGGATGTTCAGCAACGAGAAATCATCCGGGTCATCCTCCATTGTTGTGGAAACGTGCATATCCTCCTCCAGACCAGTCTTAAAGCTTTGACTAACTTCGTCTTTTCAGGAGAAATCGTTCAATCCATATTACATACTTGTTGGCCAACAGCTGTGTCAGACGTCTCACTCACATAAGATCACATTGCAGTTCTGCCTATGGGATTTCCTGCGGGATCTGGGTGAGACGAATGTTGGGGGAGCCGAGCTGATCAAAAATTTGGGTGAAGATGGGGGATTCGGCGTGAAGAACATATCGTCCACAAGAATGAAGAATGTAGCGAGAGCCTATGGGTGGTGGATTGCGAAGAATTGTTGCACTCTCGCTATCCTAAAGGTATTTTGATTTCTTAACGATGCCAATATCGTGGGACTTGAATATTCTCGTCGATAGCCCGTGGACTTCACCGTGCTCAAACCGCGATCGCAAACCTTCCTCAAAGAGTTGTTCACACACATATTCATAAGCACTCAGCTCTCCACTCCACTACTAAATGTTGACCCTGAGAATATGCCGACGACTAGAAACAGAAGTCCATTGGAGGAGGTTTTCATGAAAGCAGCGAGGATGCAGACTCTGGCTATTGGTCTGGTATATTTTGCGCGGCAGGCATTCAATGAAAGCGACGATAACAGTGGATATCTAAACTGGGCTAGCCAGGTGGCTCGAGACACATTGCGGACAGGGATAGATATCGTTGCAGGGCTGTGATTTCGCCTCAGTGCCATTCAGATGAATTGTGTTATGTGCGCTTAAAAGCTACGCTGGAATACACATTGCCGCTCTTGCCACCGAACGAGAAACTTGGGAACGGTATACGAGAGCTGAAGGAAAGGAAAGGTGGCAATATCAGATCAATGAATTACATACAGGCGGCGTACTGGTTCGACATACTGATATTCTAATCCCGTCTCGGGTGTGCTAAACTTTGTCTTCAGCTCTTCGAGAGTGAAGTTACAAGCTATCTGATGTCAATCCACTGTGACTCCGCGAGAGGTCTGTATAACGCACACGTTATCAAAAAGAAACCTCCAGGTCTAACGACTGTCGCCACCCGATGCGGGTAGCTGTCTGCGAGTGAAATGCCATTGTCGTCCTTTCCAGCTAGCGCCATGGCGTCGAACGTGCCCTTGTCCAAAACTAGATCCCAAACAGCGCTCGACCCGACTTGTAGTACGGTCATACTGCCCAAAGGTGGAACATCATCACGCAGGAAATCACGAGTAACGAAGGTGATAGCATCCTTGGCCTTCCTTGTCGCGTGGTCACCGTCTTCGTCGCCTTTATGGCTGTGCGACTGCGCGATCGCGCGAGCGAGCCTCACTGCATCCGTGCTGTAATCTACACCGCATAATCTGTCGGCCGCATATCCCGCGTCGTGTAATGCAAATAGCAGGTTGCCGTTACCGGCACCCACCTCCAGAATATGTGGGGCATTGCTCATGTCAGGTGGCATGTGTTCCAGGGCCCAATCAACCATCTTTTCCACACTATCCTCGCCGAACCTGCATTGTAGACCATACAAGAATGTACAAGTCAATATGCGAGGACAACAATCGCGAGGTGATGCGCACCATATCTCGCCCTCATCGCCTATCTCTTCGAAGTTCGTTAGTTCTGACGAGTACACATCGTCCCAGCTGCAGAGTCTTGAATTGGCATCTAAGCGAATACGCAGAAAGCTCACTGGTTCTTCGTTCCGAGCTTGGATGGCGGGAGCTCAGTCATGAAGGACGGATGAAAAGTGGTAAAGGCTTAGTCAGCATTACTAAATGAGACCTCAGCTGGCATTATGTTAGTCTGCGGCAAGTCTGTGGGTTTAAATACAAGACGCCATCGCCCAGGCCTAAGGTCTAAGTGATACATGCCAGCGACGTGAGAACCTAGATGTACTCCAGAGTAGTTGCCGTTTGACAATTTTAACGGGGGACGGTGATGAGAAGAGTGATGCACTCAACACACCCACCGGCATACCGTGAATTACTGGACCAAGTTGACGTGCGCATGTGAATAGTGCTGGCATTAATAGGGTATGCTATAGTAAGGCTCATAGATACAGCGTGGTCAAGCTGCCAATGGGTCAGTCCTGGGCTGTATTCGAAAGCCGAGTAACATACACAGCATGCACCGCCTGTCATTATCGCTTCTCCTTGTCTAACAGGTCCTTGGCCTCATTGATTTTACTTGCAAGATAGGGCGAGCCTCCACGGTCCGGATGATTGGAAAGCATGATTTGACGGTGCGCATCCTTCAGCTTGCTTTTCAGCTGAGGGCCGTCTCTGTAGATGGCGCCCAGCAACGGGGAAACAGGAGACTGAGAATGAGAGAGAAGATGTGATAGAATTCAAGGGCGTACTTCAGGCCAAGGATTGCGACGGCTTCTTTATGATCCATCTTTGCCTTGAATCCGCCTTTGGCCCATTGTTCTGCGGCACCCTGACCAGCTCTACGTAGAAGCTGCCTGCCAGCGACAGCAGCAGCTAGTGCACCAACACCAATGATGAGTGGAGTGGCCATATCAGCGCAGGTAACAGTGCGGTATGGGCGAGGTTCAAGGATGGAGGGTGGACTTGTGTAGAAGCTGGCCGATCGTGAGGCCTTGAGGCTTCAGTCGACTCGGAGGCTGTCGGAGGCTGTGACACTGTTGTGACACATACCGACTCGGCGTGACTGTACTGTAGGTCCTCGGGCCCGGGCGAGTGGTGTGCTATGTACGCCACTCTCCGGTCGGCGGCACTGCTCGCTCAGAGCCATCCCTTCGGAATCATGTTGACCCCTCTCCAGAATCATGAGACCTACTCTATAGTACACAATAATAATCTGACGGTCCAAGTGTACGCGCGCGGGTTCGCGATGGATAGCGTCCAGACCAGACTACACCATCGCCTCGAGGTTCCTGTGGGTCCACATAATATCCGTTTGACAGAACCCTAGGACAGCCTCGCGTAACAACCTGCCTTTTCAGGTCGCTTTCCCTCTCACGCTGACTCTCGTCCACCGATGCCCTCTCGTTACCTTCCATGCCTACGCCGGAGGTGCGCTTTGTCATTGCTGACCACAGCTTCGAGGAACGTGAGGGTGTCTTGGCCAATGCCTTCTCCGGCGGATTCACGGATGGTTTCCGCATGCCTTTCTGGTTTTGTCTCTCGCCACCCATTTAAGACTATTGGTCGGGTTGCTCGGGTTTAATCCCCTCGCCCCTTCGTACCTCCCCTCATCATGCAAGATCGCACGTTCCGGCTCAAACAGACTATCTACAAAGCACCACATCCACCTGTAGATTTTGTACAGCTCAACGAGGCAGAATTATCTGAAGACTTTGTGGACACCTTTCTCCAGACTGCCGTCGGTGATACATTCGGCGTTGCCGCTGCGTATGGCTCCAAGGGGATCCTTACATCCATTGCATTCGCCACTCCTTCCCGTGGCGTGTTTGTCCAAATGCCGAAGCCTGGCTCGAACGCTAAGGCGAAGTCAAAGAAGGGAGGCCAAGGAAAGGTCCAAGGGCGTGATATCCTTCACAGAGGCTTTCTTTGCCGTCCAGGCTTTCGGAAGATGGTGCTTGATGCCCCTCGTCTTGTTGCAGCTTTGCAACTCGACTTTGGATTGACCGCGACTCAAATAATCGAGCTATGGTCCATTCTCTCTAGCAATCGCCAGACAAACAACGATTTGTACAAGGTTCTCGGTGGAGAGAATCTACTCCATTCAGAACGGGCATCGGACATCTTCCTCGCCGAATCAGCGGATGCGTCTCATTTGCGTAATGTATGTGAGCGGGCATGGGCATCTTGCCAAGTTAGTCATATCAAGCATTTGCAAAAACAATTATTGGCCATATCCCCCATTGATACGCATACATTTAATGCGAAGGTCCGTTTTGTTTCTCGTTTTGTGCACCTGGTGCTGCTCTCAGGACGATCAATGTGCTCCAGCACCTGGCTATTTGTGTCAAATCCATTCGCGATGCAGATCGCCTCCGCGCACTGAAGCCTACGAAAGTAAAGAACGACGTTTCCGCCGAGTTTAGTCGTACCAATGGCGTACTTAATGTCAATTTGACTCGTTTCAAGACCCGTCTCCGTAAATCCGTGAACCAGGCATGTTACCCACGGCTCTGCTGCCGATTCTTGAACTCATCTTTTCGGTGCCTGCATTTAGAAGGTACTGGTTGAGATTTCAAATAAAGGATCTGCGCCAATATCTGCCAGTGGACGTACCGTTCATGCCGAAGGGAAATCTGCGAGGATTTCGGTGCATCAGAACGTTTCGACCAACGCCAAAATTTGCTCTGTTTATACTATTGGCAGGGAAGATCCTACTTATGCAGAGCTCGAGCGAACAGAGGCCATACTCGCTGTGTTACAATGCAGGATCAAGCTGTTCGAAGTACCGGTAGTCCGGAAGATGTTCAATACCGAAACCTCCCGTATGTCTTGCAAGAAGAAAGACTCCGCCAAATCAAATCTCGATGTTCCTGACATCTGCTTTCCCTCTCGTCCTCTAAATGGGACACAGACCGTCGCAGTTCGTCGGATACTGTCCACGGAGAGTAACGATCAAATTTGTCTTATTCATGGACCCCCTGGGACGGGTAAGACTACCGTTATCGCGGCTTCTGTTACAAGTATCATAGCTGCTAGCAAGTCTGATCACGGAGTCTGGTTGATCGCCCAATCCAATGTCGCGGTGAAGAATATAGCGGAGAAACTTGGCAGTGTTGGTTTCTGGGAATTCAAAGTCCTTGTCTCAAAAGATTTTCACTTCGAATGGTGAGGCGTTCTCGTTAATCATCCTTCTGAGTTTGTGTAGTTATCAATGAATGCCACTCAAACGCAGGCACGAACATTTGTACGAAGATATTGAGAGAAATGTCATTCGCTCTGATGATTTCGCTCCGAACGCAGTTGGCATGTCTCGTTTGTTACTCGATTCACGAGTTATTCTATGCACAATCAGCATGCTGTCGCATCCGCGGCTTGGATCAACGGGGCTCACTCGGCTTGTCCCTGTCACTACGGTTATCGTCGACGAAGCTAGTCAGATCGAGTTGGGCGACTACCTACCGCTCTTGTACAAGTTTGGGCAGAATCTGCGTAAGCTGGTTTTCATAGGAGATGACAAGCAGCGTACGTTTCTCATGCATTCTGCCCGTTTTCGAAGTAATCATAGTTCTTTGAAGTCGCGCCTTACGGCCAAGATGACCTTCGCAATCTTTGCAGCGTTTTTGAGCTCCCTCACCTTCGACAAGAAGCTGTATTTCTAGATACTCAATGTAAGCACGCCCTTCTCTGGTCTGTTTTGCACATCGTCTGAGCATGATGCAGATCGTATGCCAGTACCGATTGGCAAATTCATCTCAGCTCATGTGTACGGGGGTCGCTTGAACACGGAGCATTCTGTCAACTCGCGCCTCTCGTGCCGTTTTGTCGACGTCAAGCATGGCAAGGAGAGGAGATCCGGAAATAGCTGGGTTGTGAGTGTATTGTTTTGAATTCCATTTACCCCCCCGCACTCATATTTTAAAGAACGATGCAGAAGCCCATGCCATCGAGTTCATCGCAACAAAGCTACATAAACAGAGCAAGGCCTTTCGGATCATTACTCCTTATGATGCTCAACGCAATTTACTGGAGAATCGATTGCGAGCTGTGGGTATTCCTTGGGAGAACAAGTGTTTCAACGTAGACTCGTTCCAAGGTATTTCACTTCAAACATTCGACTACAATAGCAATGCTGATAAAATGATCTATGATCTCCTAGGTAACGAGGAAGAATATATTATCGTTTCGGTTGTTCGGTCTGAAAAGATTGGTTTCCTCTCAAATGTCCGCCGAACCAACGTCATGCTCTCGCGCTGCAAGACAGGTATGATAATATGCAGCAGTCGTGCGTTCCTGCAAGGGAAAGCTTCATCGACACTTATGGGCAAGCTCGCCACCGAGTGGGGTGCCAATAGCTGGGTGCCCTGGAGGGACCTATTGTCAGGCAGGTTTTAACTTTATCGTATTAGGATACTGGGTGTATTGTTGTAGCTTTAGCTGTTATAGACGTGCGACCTTGCATATACAGATTTGATCTTGAGCTATCACGACTTCGTCACAACGATGCCGAGGGAGTTCAATTGCAACTACACCATTGCGGCTCGCTATGTCTCCCACCATGTTGATTCAAGAATCCCGTATGTTCCGGAATTCAGTTGAGGACGGCCAGCCCGAGATTCGAGTGCAAGGCTTCTTGGAGTCGATGCTGTCAACTCATGACGGATTTTCTCGAGACTGAGCTCGCAAAGGTCGGACTCTCGCCTGTAATATTCACCATGGGATCATCTCATCGCCCTGGCTATCGCAACTTTGACGAGAGCGCTGTTCGTCCAGTTTCACAATAAAAGTGAGTCTGGGAAGGCAAAGACCGGGCGTTAGATCCTCGAGGACAACATCCTGGGCAACACGGGCTGCACGCTGCATGCGTTCGATCTCGCCGCGCTCGCCTGCTTGTTTACGACCCCGGCCTGCGCAATGCCAACGGCGTTGACATCCCGAGTGTCGCTCAGCCCGAGAGGAGCACTTACCACTCGCCGCCATCTCGTTCACAGTGGGTTGTCACGTCTCCGTCCACGAGGAGAACGTCGTAGCGGATTTCCGGGCTATGTCCTAAGATGGTAGTACGTCCCACATACAGCATGAAACGTATCAGCGCAAAAGATCTTGGCAGTATTGCGAGTGTTCTTCCAGTGATCAGCCTGGTCGTTTAACATAGCCGCTTACACCTCAGTATTTGGAGTTCATCGCGCAGTGAGCGTGAGGTGATCAGCGGCTCGCATTGAAGCACCAATGACCGGTCACGATGTTTGCTGGCGGACAGTCAGCGACAAAAAAGCGATGGTGAATTCCACAGGACATGTCGGTCCAGGATTCAGAAATCTGTTGTAAGTTAGTTTTTGTCTCAAACGGCCAATCGGTCACTAGTCAGCTTATTCAACTCGAGATATCCATGCAGGATGATCGAGGCTTGAAATATCGATATCGCATCCATGGGCGAACCGTAGACATCATGAAATGAATGGCCGAAAGTAAGATGATCAACTTATATTTGCTTACGACACACATATAATTATAACACATTTCCAAAATCATGAATATTTGGATACACTTTGTTAGGCTGCCTATAAGTGAGATGCAACAGTGGATTCAGAGATGATCTTCATGTCATGCAAAGCTTCTACGATTGCTGACTTGAATTCCTCAGTTGAGGTTAAGGGACTGGAAACCTTTGACTCAATCCCAAACTTAATAATCTCAGCACCTGCCAGGTCTTCATGTTCTATCAGCAATTGCAATATTCGAACATGCAGGCACATACAGTTAATTCCGTAACCATCAGGATATGATGCACCAAACCTTAGAATTTTAATCAGATATTGGAACACTAGAGGGCATGCTCAGACTCACCCTGTACCACGGAACTGGTTGCCTGCACTCAACCCACTGGTGCTGAGCTTCCATGTTTGACTACGAGTAAAGAGCTCATCATCAAACAGTTCATGTCGCTCTCCCTCCTCCGGGCGTAACATCAATTTAAGCCCAAGGAGATGTCGGTCAATACCGCGTCCAGTTGTAGCATGACGAGTTAGATTCGTATGCGTCTGGATGGCACGACGTAACAGTGACTGTCGCACTTGAACCTTGTAATTGATTAGCCGAAAAAGATGTCGGAATAACGGATTACTTACACTGCCACAAGGATCAGACATAGCGAGGACGAACGCCCTACCATCAGATGTAAGCGTGCGAATTGTTTCGGTACGACCATTTTTGAATACACGTGTCAGAGCCGTCTCATATGTCGCAGTGAAGCATTTCCGAGTCCTATACCACGCCAGTTGAAGCGCCATTTGGATGAACGCATCCGGAGAAAAGCGAGCTAAGGGCAAGGACGAGTAAGCACTTCGCACCAGACACGTTATATACTGTCACAAGTAGGTGGGTTCAGAGGTCGCAGCGACGTAACAAATTGCTAAAGAGTATGATGGGACATAGCACTGACCATTATTCTTTATCCACTCCACTCCATACTCGTCGAACCAAAGGATACCATCGTCCGAATCTGCGACGAGAATCCTTGCTCGGTCTTCTGCTGCAATACATTCATTTCTAATATGCTCGTCTACGACCCAATCGAGACGTTGCCAGCCAGGCGCCCTAGACACGGGCCGCTTGCTGTCAGCATGCGCACCAAAAGCATCTCCATCGATTTCTTGAACAACCGCGTATTCCGCAACAATACTCGGGACAAGCGCGTCGCATGGTGAGTGTTCACCGAGTGCACCTGCGCGTGTGTTGGGCTCGACGATGAGTGAGAATGGCTTGTCAAACCAGCGATTGTGTGCGGGTCGTGGAGCAGGACCAGAGCGCACGTTATGTAAATGAGCGGTAAGTTCTGGAACTGTGCATGGGGATGGTAGAGGCAAATGTGAAGGGCCATCCACAGAGATGGAGGATGGGAGAACGTAGACAGAGTGGTCGAGACTCAGCGCGAAAATAGAGTGGTTGATTGTGCGCAGAATAGCATGATTGGTGTGGGAAAGAGATAGTAGATGATGCAAATTCTTCATATTAACATGAGTTCAAAGTGATCGGGCACTATTTGATAGCAACGTACTACGCTCCATAGATCGCGTTCATCGGCGCTCAGAACGCCGACAGGGGGGGCTTTCTCACCAGCAGCTAACCTAAGCTCGACGTCATCCACAACATCTGCGATTCTTCGTTCAATATCCGCTGCGGACAATGGTTGTAGATGCGAATCGAGAACTTCAACAGCGTAGAACCAATCGTGTATAAGAACCAAGATTTTGCGAGCGTCCGAGTCATTGGGAGGCGGAGGTAGGGAAAGGGTATCGCATTGTATCTGTGGTATTCTAGAAATGTTGAACATTTTTGCAGAGGTATCTCGTAGCCAAATACCTGTCCCAAGTGGCAAGGGCCTCATGAGTGACGTCAACTGGCAAGATGGTTTACAAACCGGCTCGTGTTAAATTAGTGGAGAGCTCGTCTCTATATCACCAGAAAACAAATTAGAAACAGCGGCAAGTACATGCGTGAAGAGTGCACCTTTCTGAGCGGGTCTTCCATTCTAATACTCGATGCGCCAGCCAGGCAGCCCGGCGAATTTGCCAATCCGTAGTACCGGATTTGCGGGGGCGCCCACGCCCACGAATGACGCCATCTGGCACCGAAGAGTCATTGTTAAAAGCCAGCCACCAGTTCGAGTTTACGAGCAATGGTGCACGCCATTCATGGTAAGCTTTTCTCATCCATATGGTATCATCCAACCAATTACTTGGGGAAGCTCTATCGAGTGCTTGTATCGCACGACATTGCTGTTTAGTGTCATTACCACATGATAAGAGGGAGCATGAGACTGACCAAGTAGACGTTCCTGACAAGACTTGCCTATGCCCGACTCAAAGTCTTTGGCCCATTTGACACGCAAGTTGTAGCTTTCTTCGTACGAAACTCCTCCAAGCGATTCATCCTCTTTGAGAAAGGGCTCCAGGGATGAAAGATACTTTTCCAGCGTCTGGTGCAGGCTGGGGACAGGCAGTCGGGGCAGATCACGCGGGACACTGGACGCAGAGCGAGTCGGGCTTCCAAACGTTGCTCTCGAGTTACCTATCATCTGCATGATGACCCGAATATCTCTGCGTCTCGAGAGCATTGTATCGTCAAAGTCGCGCCGTCGAAGACATGATGAGAAGAATGAGAAGCGCTTGCGGTTACACGGACCTTGGGAGACACGTGAGACGCGTAGGCGCTCAGCGCGACGCGTTCTTGCAGCCACGGCTCACGCGTCTCTCACCAAACTGCACCAAGCTACTTTACGCCCTGTCTTAATTTGACTCGCTCCGCACTATCTCTCCACCAAGCTGATAAATTGTATCTTTCAGAATTACACCCCCTTCAATTATAGACCCTCGCTTTACGCGTCTTTGTTGAATCCTCCTTCGACCTCGATATACCATCAGACGCAATGGCACCTCCGATCGCATTGACCCAATGGCTCCAGCGAGAATATCCTCGGCCTCAAATAGACCCGGTGCGTTTCCTTCTGTGATATTCGACGCGTTCGTTCATCCCGTGTAGGAATGGCTCAGTGACTGCTACGCCTGGATCGAGAGCCAATACCATTTCGATCCAGCCACACAACTCGATGAGATCATTCACCACGTTAACGTACAACTACTGGAATCTGATCTATCAGATTCCATGATTCCGGGCTCAGGGCTTCCTCAGAATATTGCTGATGTTCCCAGAACAACAATTCGCGGCGATGTGCTCGTGCAGATCATCTCTATCACAGAAATAGGTCACAGTGCATTTACCCTTCAGAATGTCCACCAGGCGCGACTTGAGCGCGAAGACATGGCGGGGCTGGCTCGGGACGAAGATGATGATGAAGAAGGGATTCCATCCTACCCACGATCCATGCTGAGGTTCCAACTGAGCGATGGATCTACTATACTCCAAGCTATCGAATTCCGACACCTAGAGGAGCTTGTTCTCGGTGAGACGAAGCTCGGGCACAAAGTGAGTATCTGATATTCTTTTCCGGCATACACGCCGTCATCTCGCATTAATTTTGCTCGCCGAGCGCACGCAAATTATTCGTGCATTCAACCTGTCATGCAACAGCGTTATGAGCCAATACATTATCGCTTACCGTTTAATGAGTCGCCATTTGATATTCATCGCGTGATTATATTTGGGCAGATGATCCTCAAGAATGTGCCCATTCGCAAAGGTGTTGCATTCCTAGAACCCAAATGCATTGTGATGAAAGGCCACCAGGTTACCGATCTGGAGGCCTTTCAGGAACGCGATTTTGCGCGCGGGCTACGCTTCCGTCTCGGGTAAGTGGTACGACAGTACAGAATGCCCACCCTTCTGACAGCAACGCATTGCGCACTCAGTAAGCCAGATGACCCAGCAGAGGAGGAACCCGAGCAGCAGATAGCAGTTATGGCCCAAGAACAACGGCAAGTTGCACCAAATTCTGTTAGCTTACCAATGCAGTCGGTTCGCTCTCCTCTGAGAGAGTTAGATGAGCTCGTACCTGTCGCTGGCCCCTCAGGAATATCCCATGTTGACGACGTGGGTCAGCCTCGTAAGCGAAAACTTCCCGATCGTTCTCAGCGCAGTCCATCTCCAAATCCCCCTCCGCGTCAGACCGGCCGCCAGGAGACACAGTCGCGCTTCTTCGAGTCTCAGTCAAGGACGGTAAATCCCTCTGCTGGTCTCGCTAACGAACGCCTCTTATCGCCTCATCGACAGCAAGCGATTTTCGTCCCCAACAGTGACGAGGAAGATGGCGAGTTGTGGCAGCTACCTGGAAACAGAAAGCGTGGCGACACCTCTATCGGGGAAGGCCCTTCTCGAAGAGGAACAGCTGCGACCACGAGCCCCAAAGCAGCGAGCTCGGAGCTATATTACGATGACGATGACTTTTTGGATGACGCATTCCTGGCGCAGGTAGACCGTGCTGAGCGGGAGGCCCTCGCACCATCAGATGAGGAAGGCATATTTACTGCGACTTCGAGTATCATTCCTGCGGATCCAGGAACTACACAAAGGACGGAAGGTGCTTCGAGTCAGCGCATTGCGGCGGGACCGAGCCTGCAGTCAACTTACACCAGCCATGGCTCAGCCGGTATGTCGGCTTCCGGCTCTGCTTCCACGGTGGTGGCAGATCCAAGCCTCAGATCAAGTAGTAGGGGTAGGGCAATTGGATCAAGGATCAATCTGGATGTTGTTACAATAGAGGATTCAGATGAAGATGACAAGGAGAACGTACCCGCGCTGACACGCCATGTCCGCCGGCGCACAGCACCCACTCAGGACGATGTGATCGAGTTATCTGATTGAGAACCGAGAGCAGAAATGGATATGTATATACCCATGGTGACACTGATACTTGTTTGACGACAGAAATAGAAGGGCAGACAACAAGTGAACGTATACAACGATACCCATATCCGTGGAGTTGGTATCTGATGATAATGTCTCCGATCACATAAATTAATGCGAATACTGGCTGAAAGTTCCTTCACATTTGAGTCTTCTATTTATGTTATATTATCGACTTTATAAGCCAGCAGTCTGAGGGAAATATCAGACATGGGATGTATAAAAGGTATAAACTGCAGAATACAGGTGAAAGAACTACAATATGATTTAGGACAAGCAGAGTGCATCAGCCTAAGATTGCGACCTTTTGCTTCTTCTTCTTGTTCTTCGTGTTGGAAAAGTTACGCCAGCTATCTACGCGCTGCTCGCGGTTTTCTGTAACAATGGAATTAGTGGGACGGCGGAGAGACCCAAGAGACTTGGTCTACCTTCCCAACGCGCATCGTCTTCAGCTTTGCGCTTCCTGGCGGTGACTTCTTCCTCTTTCTTGCGCGCCTCAAGACCTTCGTTTGCTAGGTTCATCTTGACGGCCCTAGTAAACACAATATTTAATTATAGTAAAAGTGACGGCAGGTCGAGCTGCTCACTTTCTCCGTCTAACCTCCTCGTCAATCAGGAGCTCTTTTGCTTTCGCAAGAAGCTGCTGACGCCAAGGAGGAGTCAAATCCTTCAAGCGTGAATCGCCATTGGACGTCGTTGTAGGAAGTGACAAAGACTTGAGAAGGACAGCTCGTGCTTGGTTGATGACTGCGTCCACTTCCTCTCTTTTGGCCTTGTCGGAGAGCTCAGCTTCCGCCTAATAATCAAATTCAATCAGAACAGTGTCGACGAGAAAAGAACTTCTGCAAGATAAATGAATGCAATGAATTACAACGTACCTTTTTTAGAAGGTCAAAGGCATCTGGTGCACGGGCATGGGACGTCTTGTCAGGATGGATGACTGGAATTCAGACAACGTACGAATGGGCCATCAATACATTCATGTCACAACAGCACACGAGAGCGGGATGCCGGAGAGGGTGGGCTCACAGAGCGAGAGCTGTCTGTACTTCTTCTTGATTTCCTCAGCCGTGGCATCTTCCGTTATGTCTAAAATTTCATACGGGCTTTCAGAGAAGAGAAGAGAATCAAACATTCGAACGGAGCAGCTGAGACGAAAAATGGACGCACTTGAGTTTGAAAGCCTTTAAGATACGCTCAACCTCTATCTCCCGTTGAAATGCAGTAGCTTCCCGACTGAGGAGCTTTTCTATATCATCAACTCCTGCAGAGCTAGGGCCACTGGATGTCGACGGCTTGTTGTTCGCCGCAGTGGACGCTTGAGCAGACATTATTTCACGCACTGATTAACAATGTGTGTTCTAACGGCCAGCGAAGATAATCAGAGGTTCCAGATATGAGGCAAAGGAACAGCCTTCCAAGGGTGAAGACGGACGGGAGCAGGTAGAGGAGCAGACACACCGTCGGAATCGTGGTTAGAAACAACCCGAATGCGTACGAGCGAGTGTGCGAACTCATCTCAGTAGGCGCCCGCGGCTTTGGCAACGGCCACCTATTAGTACGAGCCTGAGTGTCCGAATAGCAATGCTACGGTCGGGCTGCTTGCACACATTTGCGGCGGTGAGTCTTTTTACTCGGAAAATATATCATAGCTAAGAATAGATGAATTACTCGCCGCTAGAGCAGATGCTACCGTAGTACAACCTCGCTTTCGTCAATCTCTAGGATCTCCGGACATAGAGCTACACGACTTCATATATCAATTGGACCAACATGGAGACCGATGTCTACAGAGGTCCCTCCATCAAAAGGATATCCTTCAAGACATCATGCTTCTCGGCAACAAGTTTTTGCAGCGAGGAATCGTAGTCTCATGTTATACACTGCCGCCGTGGTATGTGAGGTCAAATACTTTCACAACGATGTACTCAAATGAGGAGACACCGGAAAAAGATTGTCCTTGGTGTAGGTGCAACATATGCTGCTGTACCTCTCTATCGTATGTTTTGTGCGGCGACCGGTTTCGCTGGGACACCGAAGGTGGGTATGGGCAAATTTGAGGCTGAACGCCTCGTTCCGGTCGAGGGCGTAAGGCGTATCAAAGTGTACTTCAATGCAGATACATCAGATGCACTTCCCTGGACTTTCACTCCCCAGCAGAGGGTTGTAAGTGTGCTCCCTGGAGAAACAAGTCTTGCATTTTACAAAGCCAAGAACAACTCAAAGCAAGACATTATTGGAATTGCAACATATAATGTCACCCCTGACAAGGTGCTCATGTTCGATTCTAGGACTTTCTAATGAATGCATTTTGAATGTTTGGGGGTAGATTGCGCCATACTTTGGAAAAGTAGAATGCTTCTGCTTTGAGGAACAGAAGTTGCTCGCAGGAGAGGAGGTGGACATGCCACTTCTTTTCTTCATTGACAAAGACGTACTCGATGATCCTACATGCCGGAATTTAGATGATGTTGTCTTATCGTACACGTTCTTCCGGTGTGTCTCTTTCATGGTCATATGCATCTCTCTCATCTGCTTGAATTTACATAGAGCGCGACGAAATGCACAAGGACATCTAGAGCCGGATGCTCCCGACGATGTCGTGCAAGCCTCTCAAGGATTTGCGGAATATGATATGGCCCCTAGAGTCGAAGACCGCAAAGCTGGACCCGGGGACTCTTTGTAGTCGCATATTTTCTTTTCCCATGTACTATCTATGTGTAGTTCCTAATTGAGTGATGTCAATATCGACTCTCACGAATACACCTAGTCCAAACTCTGCGCACCTGACTTGTCGTACTCAGGTTGTACTGAGGTACGGTATTTAGTATGCCTACCTTATTTTTGGCATCTCAATCAATCAAATCAATCAGCTGCTGCGATCTTACTTATATTGCGTAAAGAAGCGCAATTACTAGTTAAGTGCTTTATCATCCTTGGCGTCTAAAATGCTAAATTATTCCTCGTGATTATGCCACATGCTGTCCGCTGAATTTTAATGCGACCTGTCTCCTCCTGCTTTCCTGATCTCTTTGCTACTACATCGTCTGAAGCTGCCGGGTGCGTTTTTGCATGACAAACAGCACGACAATTCACTAAGTTTGAGCCTCACAGGACACTCTACCAACTAGATCGTATATACCCCATCCACCTCACATCATCGTTGTTTGCAAGTAGGCAGATAGCGATCCGCGAGGTACTCCAAATTAATTTGCTCGAGGCGGCTGTATTCACCTACTTCTTCCTTAGTGCTATGCATGCAGATCCAGAATTTCAGCAAAACCACGATTGCAGTCCCGATGCAGACACAGATTCGCTCTTCGGATCGCCCCCGCCTTCTCCGAGCGGGAGAGGTAGGTTGCGGTCGCTGCTTGCGCTTCCCGGCGCTGCAGGTTCTGCACAAAACGTGGGGACCCTTGCACTTCCTGGTTCCCATCTTGTCGCTGAAGCACCAGTCCATCCGCCAGCATATCGGTCATCGAGTGCTTGTGGGACCAATGTCTCGCAGCCTCCGAGACCTCTAGCGTTGCAACCATCTTTGGAATTTAATGCAAGGCCAAATCCCACGCCTACATCAAGTACGAGGTCGCTCTCCGTTGATGCCCCTCCCATGCGGGTACAGCGCAAATCGCGGAAGGGCAAGGAAAAAGCTACATCGGCTTTTCATGCATCTACACCACGGCCTCCTGCCCCTCCTATTGAACTTCCATCAGCGGACGAACCGCTACCGCCTAACTTCTTACGCAATCAGCAGGCTTTACTGGGTCTCGCAGGGCTTGTTAGTGGTGTCAACCCGGCTCAGCTATCGATGCAACGTGGCTCATCTGCGCACAATCCTATCGTGATTGATGATGATGCTCCGGTAGGTGGGGGCCTGCTGACTAGCCAACCGCCGTCCATTTCTCGACATCCTGCGTCTGCGACCTTTGCGCCTTCCCAACTTTCACCACCTAGCGGGGAGGATCTTGTTGCGGCAATCATGCGTCAGAAGAACGTCTTTCCTGTCATCGAGTCTCTCCTTCGGCTCCTGTCTGGCATTTCGCCTGCCGCTCCGCCGCCCCCACGGTTCGCATCAAGGCGGGCAGAATTCGGACGTTCTGAAAGCGAAACCGCTGCGCCACCGCTCAAACGAAGAAAATTAAATCAAGTTCCTGCGGGTGCGACGGACTGGGATGTTCCTTATCCTTTCCAAGATGGGCAGGGTCCTCAGGGCTACCAGACAAGTTGGGCGCGCGACAGAGCCAGAGCTCTTTTGGCGGACTTGGCGGTGCTGGTGCAAGACGCGAAAAAGAAGGCGGCCGTGAGGGGATACTACCAGCAACAGGAAAAGGAGCGGAGAAGGCGGCTGATGGAGCAGAGAGGCGAGACGATAAAAAAATACTACAGAGCGAAGACAGCGTTCTATGGGATCGACATGGAAAAGCAGGCGTCTCAAGACCGACTCCAAGAACCTACAGGTGTGCATGTCTTGCCGTCAAGGATGGGCACCCCAAATACCAAGCCAAGTGATCACACGAGTGAAATGCAAAGGCAGTCGATGAGCGAACCGCCCCAGGTTCTAGCGTCGGCTGATCTACGTGCTGCGTCAACATTACTCCTTCAACAGTCGTCGAATAACCCAGCACCATCTCAAACACCTTCGAATACTTCAAGCATGGAGTCGTCGACTCTCCCCTCTCCGTCCTCCACAACAGCAGACAATATGCAAAGCTTTTTCGATGAATGGCTCTCTCTTCTTGACACGTTTCAGCCCGGGGACCCGAATGAAGCAGCTCTCTCCACCGGTTTTGATGGTGCGTTGGATGAGTTTGTTGCCGGTATCGACCTCGTGGCGTCGACTTCCGCCACTGCTACGTCAGCGACTGCTACGTCTGCACTTGTGCCCTTCGTTGCCGGCCAGCAGCCTGGCTCGTTTACAACTGCCAACACCCCAGTGCTTGAAGAGCTTATACCAGATTTTCTCATCGACCCCGTTCTGTTTGGCCTTCCGTCGACTTCTGTGACCCATTCCGTTCAGTCGAGTATCTCTTCAACCCCATCATCTAGAGCGGAACTACCGGCTGGAGCACGAGCTATCGTAGGTATCAAGCCTCTCACGGACCCAACTCCTGCAGATTTATCAAGCACGCGGTCCGTGACGGCGTCTGGGATGGAGGCGAACACCACAAACACAGGCCCACCTTCGACTCCGACACCGACTAGTGTAGACCTCGGGTCACCACTCACATCAACTGTCTCGCTAGCGGACCAGGAGCACGAACCTGTGACTCCAGACTGGGCATGGGCATTCGGAGATCAAGAAATATTTAGTGCCGGTGGTGCTGGTCGGATTGCTAGTGACGCGGCGTCGAGCGAAGAAGGTACGTCATTTTTGGCGTTGTTAAATCGGTTTGGGGCTGGTGTTCATGGATTCGTCGGCCCTACAGATGGACCATTTGGTGTGGCTGGGAACGAGGGCGTTGACATGGAGAAGGTGAGAGAGCTGGAGAAAGTATTGGACAAGACATATGCGCCTTTGGACGCCCAGATGCATGCGGATAGTGCGCTACCTGCTACACTGCTTCCATCTTCGCAGGAGTTGTCCGCTGCCGGCGGCCCCGCTGTGGACATGGATATGGAACCTGCGGTATCAGAGCAAACATCTGCTGAGTTCTCGTCGACGATTGTTTATCATCAAAACGGAACAGAGAATTCATCGAGGCAGGACGCTGTGCGGCCAGGCGGAGTTGCCACTGACGTCCAAATTTCGCCAGCGGAAGAGATGGACCTTCCGGGTGAGGTTCAGTTCCCTGTCCCCATACTACCACTTTCGACGGATGCCTCACAGCCAGGCCCACATCTCCACTCAACGATAGCGCTTCGTGATCGTGACCAGCGTCAGGCTGGATTGAACACTCATCATACGCTGCAAGCACAAGCACATTCAGGCATTCCTACCGAGTCGTCTTCGTCGTCGTATGCGGCTCTCACATCGCTCCTCTCGCTGGCTGTATCTCCTACCAGCGTAGCGTCGTCGGGATCGGGATCAGGCGCAGTGGGCAAGCAGACCCGGGCAGAGATCCTCGGGCGCGCGAGAGCGCTGAAGGCTGAGCTGGAGAAAGCACGAGAGCGGACGAGGGTGGAATTGTGGGAGATGACTGTTGAGCAGGGTTGTTTGGTGGGGCTTGGGAAGGAGTTGGGAGCGCCGGGTGGGGAGTCGAGATCTGGGGATCACTGAAGTACTTATCCGCATGCATACCTACTGATATGCTTTGGAACAAGAGGTGCTTTATGTGTCTGATATCTTACAATGCGTAGCACGAGGCTAAGGCTACGAGGGGATTTAATATTTCGGTGGCCATTCGCGTGACATATGGGATACTGTATGGGTGATATTAAGTACTGAGGTCTGGATGAAACCGAGAGCTGGACACATTTTGATTAACACAGCAAGCTGTGACGGAGGCAGATTGGACATGCCATGCTGTGTGGCGAACGACAGAACGGATCTGCGACGATGGTTTCAGAGCGGCGGGCGGCTTGCGCAGGGCTCGTTCATGACACGCGTTCCAGACAGCGGGGTCTAGGGTTCACTTCGGTCAGGAAATATCTGAGTAAAACAAAGGGCTCGGATGTCTGTGGGAGCAAAGTGCACGAAGACACAGTTCGAGGATGCGATAAGTTCATGATTGCCGTGCAGACGGCGCTGTGGCGAATCGCGGAGGAAATCGACCTCAACAGTCGAGACTTCGACACGCCCCGCATGGACCCTTGACACCCTTCGGCGTGCATGGCTTCCTCTGTCCCTGTCTCTGACTCACTTGGCCCCTACGTAGGCACAGGGGGTGTTTACGGAAGAGCCTGGCATGTGCCGTGGATTTTCGAGATATTTTTTGAGTGCTGCAAGGGAGGTAGACGGCGGGAATAGCTGGGAGGAAGCAAGGAGCGGTGGCTGCTGGGGTCTCTGTGGTAGGACTAGCAAGGAAATTGGCGAAGAGGACAACACTCAGACTCTGTCGCCCGTCGCCTCCTCTCACAAGCAGCTTCCTGCTTCCCCCCCATCCCGCCTGCCCGCCGCCAACGTGTTCGACGTCGCTCTGCGCTTTTTTTTTTTTACTCTTGCGAGCAGCTCCGGCCTGTTGTCCCGCTTCTCGTTATCTGTCTTCCGGGCAGCTGCTCTACCTGCTTTTCTTTCCTTGTTTCTACTTTCTGCTCTTTCTTTCATCTTCCTCATTCCGTTTTCCGATTATCTCTACTCTCTTCCACTTCTGCCGTGACCCCTGCTCTCCATGGCCGCAACTGCGAGACAACCTAAGCCCCAGCGCAAGGGCATGCCTGACCCTGCCGCCCCCCGGTATGTCCATCTGACCGGTGCTCTCAGTCTCTGTCTGATTCCTCTGTGGCTTTTCCTTCTTGATGACAGTCGCAACCCAGCGTGGACGGGAACACGAACATTCTCTCCGGGTGCATCCAACGCACGCCTGCCAAACGGCGTGCCCCCCGCCAGTCCCGGTCCATTCCCGCCTCTTGGTCAACAAAATGGCGCGAGTAGCACCCCGCCTCCTCGTGCGGACAAGGATGTCGCCCATGACCGCGTGCTTTCCCAGTTGTCTGGGCTTATTGTGCGTGCTCGTTCTCAGCTAAGACGATATTGCCGCTCAACTTGCAATGTCTCTCCTCGTTTGTCATGCGCCACCTCTCGATTGGACTCTATGCCCAAAAATATAGGGCACAACTATTACTCTCCTAACAAAGACACATGTGCGGTATGAGGGGTCTGTTTCATCGACTAGCGGAGAGGGAGACACGACTGGCGTCACGCTGCGCGACGTTAAAGACCTCACCAATCCCGGCGCTCCGCTCAAAGATCAATTTTTCATCGCCTCGACGAATATTGAGCAATGGAGTAGTGGTCCGGCTGATGCGAAGGCGCCGGCAGTTAATGGAGACAGTGAGTTTTCTTCGTTTTATTTCTTTCTCGAAAATATCGACATCATGGATCACGTTCCTGGAATGTGAATATATTCCTGCTGAGCATTGTTGTTAAACATTGGCGAAATATGTGCCACCAGAAGACGATTCTGGTGGCCAACTCATTCTCCGCATCCCAGCTGAGATGGGCTGTTTTGAGCATTTTTTCGAAGCAAATTCGTAGATCAAACGATGAGAGGAAACATCAAACTGAGTACGTGATTGTCATGGTGACGAGTTCGGGCCACCATGGATGAAGTAGACCACTTGGGATTTAGATCGGCTTAAAGGCGGCATGATCTTTCCCCCGGTCATTTTACTCGTTACAGCACTCGGTCAAGGTTTCTTGACCGATTGAATACTTTTGCAGCTTCTACGCCGACTCGTTTGGTGTTTCTGCAGATTGTGTTCGACTTTCGCGTGACGTAAACAGTGAACTGACCTTCCATGTCATTTTCAGGCTTTAAGACTGACACAGATATCAGCAACTCTACTGCTGCGCGACGGGAACGCGAGCTGCAAGCTTGGCAGCCGACCGACGATCCCGCCTCCGGTGTAACACCGACTGCGCCATTAGGCTCGACCGCAAATGGTGGGGGGCGTGATGAGATGACCTTCGGTCCTGCCGTAGGCGCTACTGGGGGATGGGATCAATTCGCCGCGAACGAACAACTTTTTGGGGTGCGCGCGAACTTCGACGAGGATGTGTACACGACCAAATTGGATAGGAGTGCACCCGACTACAAGGAGAAGGAGCGGAGAGCAGCAGTGATTGCAAATGAGATTTTGCAGGTGCGCCCTACATGATCGTGATCATCAAGTATTGGGTTTGTGCTGATGAGCCTGGTTATCTGCGAGCGTAGAGCACCACGAACAATGTGCACATCGCTGAGGAGCGAACACAGAATTTTGCTGGTGAAAATGGCTCCAACGAGGAAGAAAAGTGAGTAGTAGTAGTCTATGTGACATAAATGAGTCAGAGCTGACTGGTGTACACTCGTGCCTGCATCAGGTATGGTGCTGTCGTAAGAGGAGCCAACGCTTACGTCCCTCCTGGTGCGCGAAAGGCGAATCCAAGTGCATCTACTGCTATTGTACAATCCAAGCAAGACGTACCCAAGGTGTCTGTGAACGCGCCTGATGGCTCAACTGTGTCTACGGATAAACCCGCTGCCCCAGCGAATACGCCGCCGCCAAAGACCGAGTCACCTGCGCCAGGCGGCACTAAGGTATGACCATGAACTAGTTCGTATGAATGGACAGGAGTGATGACCGTGTGCACTAGCCGGCTGCTGACGCCGTTCCTGCATTCCGGGATTTCGTGTCAAATGAAAAAGATCGGCTGATGAAGAAGAAGCAGGCTATCATGAAGAGTGAGATGGACAAACGCATGGCTGAGCTGGTAAAGTTCAGTAAGAGTTTCAAGGTGTGATTAGTCTATATTATCTTGCCCCTCTTCTAATTATTACTGTGCTTTTTTTCTAAAGCTCAACAAGCCTATTCCTGACGATCTAGTACCTATCCTCGCGAAGGACGAAGAGAAGCAGCGTATTATCCGTGAAAAGTCGACTAAGGATGCGGAGTCGTCGCATGCACGCGCCATCGGTGTTTCTAATGCCACTTCGTCCAGTTCCCGAGCACCAGATATCATTTCTACGATTCCGCCCTCTGCAAAGCCTGCTCCGGCACAGCCTGCCATTGCCAAGGAGGCGGCAAATACGCAGAAAGCTCCCGCACAGAGTAAACCCGGAGTACAGAAGGGCAGAATCAGTATGGTCATTCAGTCGATTCCTCCGTTTAAGGGCAAACGAACATCCACAATTCCGGCTATCTCGACTGGTGGAGCTGCTTCGGGTGCACGTTCGCAGGGTATTCTGGCTCCTGCTGGTGCAACTAGCCCCCTTTCGCCCACAGCTGCAAACCGCTTGAACGTGAATGCGTCTTCTTTCAGACCGAATGTGAAGTCTGTGTCGCCCCCAGTGAGTCACTGGATCACGTCGTGTGCTAGTTAGGGTTTAACAGATATTCGTCCTGCGTGTGAACTCAGAGCGGATCTCCGAATCCTAATGGTACCCCATCTTCGACCGCTTCGCCTAAGACCAAGCCTGCCGATGGATCTTCATCGCCTCAAACGCAGGGGCCGCCGAATCCCTTCTTTGGTACACGTCTTCCCAAGAAGGTTCCTCTTGTTCACATTAAAGACGACTTCAATCCTTTTAAGTATCACAAGGTTGTTGAAGCTGCCCATGTGGGTACGTAACTCCCGTCTTTCGACTGAGTTCAAAGTGTGATAGTTGATAATTTTGCCTTTCAGGCCCTATGTGGCAGTACAGCGGCAAGCGTTACATGCAAATGTTCCCTCCGATGCAGACACCGCCTCAGCCACAGTCTCCACCCATGGCACATCCACTCCCACCTCCTGTCCCGCCTCCTTCGTATGAGGATGATACTGCAGCGCAGGTGACTACCCGTGGATACATGTACTATCCTCAGTACTATCCTGGACAGGTACGCTGCTTTTGTTTTATTCTTGTTGAATGGATTGATAACACGCGTAGATGCAGATGATGCCTGGGGGGATGGTACCGCCTCCGCCTGGTCCATACATGCCCGGACCTCACTTCATGCCACCCATGCCATATCCTCATATGCCTCCGAATGGTCAGCCATCCCTACTTTTTGGCTTATAGATTTGCTTACCTTCGTGGTCTCGCAGCAATGTACTCCACGGCTCCCATGGGCCAGATGCCTAGTAAGACTTGATTATTGCTTGTGCACGCGATAAAACTCATGCATTGGTTGCCCCGCAAGCCTACATGCCACCTCCCGGTGCCTATCCACCTCCGAACGGCGCTGCTCCACGGCCATCCATGCCGCCTACCCCCATCCCATCGCATGCCCATCCATACTACCACCAGAGCCCACAACGTGCGTACATTTACCCTCCTATTGGCGCCTTTCTGAGCATTTTTCAATTTGCAGTCCAACACACGGTTCCCTACCCCATGATGATGCCCCCTCCCGGACCTCCCCCTCATCCCTACGATGGATCCCAAGCTCCGCCTGTCCAGATGGGCGGTCACGCTTAATGCGGCACTGTTGCATTGTTACGATAGGAGTCATGCTGTACGCCTCAGCCGAGGGAGAGCTATCGGCTGGTTTTGCGGAGGACTGTGGGCTCTGTTGAAATTAGTGGGGCTGATCTGTGTGTACTGTCGTTGCGATTCACTGTTGTCTTTGATCTGCCATGTTGTTCGCTGCAATTGTCGTTGTTGCAATGGAAAACGGATAAAAACAAAGAAATTCGAATCGCTGCGACATGGAAGTTATGAAGTACAGAATGGCTAAAGACATACATATGAGGAAATCTATGAAATGAAGAGACAGTCCGACCGCCAGAAATTTATCGACCATCTTTTCCGCCAAGAATGTAAATGCCAATCTTCTTCAACAATCCCTTGAGACTGTTGCTGGCCCGATTGCAATTAGCCTGCAGCCACGACTCCATCTCCACACGCAGCTCTAATAGCTCGTCACAGACGGGCAACTGGCCATCGGGTCGAATGAGGCACGGGTTTAATAATAGATCGAAGAGCCTGGTCCACAAATCAACCTGCCAGTATCTTTTCAGGGGCGTCGCCAGCTTGTATCGTTGGTGTCTCTCGGCTGTTGGAGGAGAAGTAATAACGGAGGATGCTTCAATGTACTTCCCGTAGAGCATACAATAGATGATACCCGCAAGACCGAAATAGTCCGTCTGGTATGTCCATGATCTGTTCTCCCGTATCTCAATGCAGTCGCGAGCGTCCGTAGGCCACTCTGCGATGTATTGCTGGCTGGCTGGGAAGAGCCTAGTGTCGATGGTACGTCCAAAGTCAATCATCTTGATGCCTTTGCGACTCCAGCCACCTTCCCCAGATGGCTGATACAGACTTGACCATGCGGAGGCTGGACCAGGGACATCTTCAAGTCGGAGTAGACAGTTGTCAACCTTGACGTCGCCGTGGATGAAACCTGCTCTATGCAGGCCCTCCAAAAGTCGCATGAGTTCTATCGTGAAGAAGACGACAAGAAGCTCGTCTAAGCAAGCACCCTGCTGCGTGATGCCTGCTTGGCTCGCACGATTCACGATATCCAGCAGCGTGCCTTGCTTACACAGTTCAAGCACAAGGAAGCTTTCATCACGGAAGGCATAAAGAACCTGCGGTGAAATTATAGACTGCCTCAGCTGGGCTGGAAGAGTGCGATGGATTCGTCGGAGAACGTGGAACTCCCAGAGGTTTCGAGGCTTTACAATTTTCAATGCCACTCTAGTGCTTTCGTCAGACTCCTCCTCATCGTCCATGTCGTCATCGCGAGAGGCCATGTTTTGATCGATTGCTTCGAAAACACTACCGAAACCGCCTTCACCCAACTTGTCGATGACGGCAAAATGCCGGTCTAAGATGATAAGCGGGAATGTCTCTGCGTCCTCTAGTGCGCGACTAGTTGTCGTGTTCCCGCTGGTGCGTCGTGATTTCTTTTTGGCAAACTTTTGAAGCGCGTCCAGTTGATGTGCTTCATACTGTCTGATGTCATGGAAATCATGATCCGGCGGAATGAGTGATAGAAGGGTAGACATGATGGGTGGATCGAACGGATTGCATGGGTTAGGTGGCTTGAACGAAGATGCAACACTGAGAACATCGGATAAGCTGAGAGTACCAGTCTTCTCTTCGATATACTCTGTAGCAGAAGCCAGGTCGCTGTCATCACCTTCCTCGTCCCGGATGTCCTCTTCCCGTAGCTCTGCAGCCAGTTGTTCAGCAGTTTCAACCGGGTCTCGATAGACGGCGATCCCGTCCAGGACATCCCTGGGTGTGGTTGACCCTCTCATACTGGCGGTGTACTCCAATGTCCGTTCCGTGATGGGTGTCATGACATTGAATTGACCAAAGCGGCCTCCTAGAGGGGCGTGATAGCCATCATCCCCATTCTCATCGTCGAACAGGCTATCATCTTCGCTTTGAGAAGTTCCTGAAGTATCATCATAGTGCACAACTTCGTATGGCTCCTCGTCTTCGATGTAGGACTCCTCGTACTCCTCTTGGAGTTCCTCTAGGGGCTCTGATACAGGCTGCGGGACTGCACGGAAGGGTGTCCGGTCGCCGAGCACAGTACGAGAAGCGGGCTGTGGCTCGCTGTCCTCATCCACATAAGGTTGAAACGTTCCTGCCTGCGCGGCCGACGAAGATGCATTCCCGCTCCGGGTAGGAGGTCTACTGAACACCTTGACGGGAGGTTTAGAGTCCTTATAAGGAGTGAACACGCTGATATTCTCAACTGGAGAGACGCCAGTGCTTTTCTGCTTTTCATTCTCGTCCGTGAAGACATCATATCGCGCTTGCGGTCTGTCTTTGGGCGCTGTAGCAAGAGGTGTGAAGAATACAGGTGGAGGTTTCGTCTCGTCTGACAGAGGCTTGAGTGCATTATTGCGTTTGACCGTAAGTGCATTTTCGTCCGCTGAGGGTCTCAGAGTCGGGGCTGGCGTTGTAGTCTCCTTGACTGACAAGGCTCGCCGTCCAAGATTGGGCGTAAATGTTGGCAATTTAGTCGATTGCTCCGCATCGACGAAAGGTTTGAACTGACATACCTCTGTCAGTTAGCTATTCGCGCTATATACTACATACTCAGCAAAGCGTACCTTGGGAGGTGCAGGCGTGCTGTTTTCTTTTCGCTTTACACTCTCATCCACGAAGGGTTGAACTATTAACACATGTAAGAGCCTTTATGATTACACGCATATATTACACTCACTCGGTGTCTTCGATGATACAACGGGCTTATCTTCGTCCCTGGGTGTCTTCGCGGGTCGCGGCGCATTCTCATTGCTGACCGCCCGTAGCTGGCCATGTAACGAGAGAGGTGCAATTGGTTCAATTTTTCGCACTGGTGCATGCTTGCTACCAACAACTGCACCAAAACGCATAGATTTCTCTGGAGAGTTGTACATGCCAAAGACATCGGCCAATGCCTCTTTCGTCGCGAGAGTAACGGTAGGTTCGGCGAAACCCTTTCTCCCAGTAAAGTTGCGCGTTCCGCGAGCCCCTTGTCCACGCTTTGACTCGACCTGTGTTGCATCAGATGGAGGCGGAGGCCCCCATTTCTTCCCAAGCAGCCCCATAGAACGCGCACGAGCTTCTTGCATGCTGTATTCTATTCGATCCTCGGTGAACAACAACTGCATCCGAAAACGTAGCTCCTCGCGGCGTTTACCAGGCAGAGGCGGCGCAAGCATGAGAGCGTACCGATCATGATTCTGGCCTGATGTGCTATCAAGCTGCACATGGGACTCAGAGTAAGAACTGATCTGAGTGTAGTTCTTCAGCGGATTGCGTCGAAGAGCCTGGGTGTCAAGCGAGGCAGCTGCCCAGATTGACGCGTTGGAGTTCACCTGGGGAGGAGTCGTAGACTCAGAACGGTTCTTGAAATCTTCATAGCGTCGCGTAAGTGGATCTAGAGGACGTGCGCGACGGCGGATGCCCTGCTTGTAGATAGCCTCAGCCTCTGAGCGGCTGAAGTATCTCAAATATAAGCATATAGCGAGAACGAGACGCGGTTGCTTACCGCCTGCTCCGTTCAAGCGCTGCCGCATATTCCCAGTATAGTTGGGCATACACTGCGCCAATATTATTCTCCAAGAGGAAAGCATAAATAACAGTAGGATCTTCGATATGACTGGCATACAACAGCCAAAGCTTGAGATACCTAAGATCACCCTTGTACGCTGCATCATCTTTAAACTTTCGTGTAGATTCTTCGAGGAGCTCCAGTAAACCTGATTGAGCGAGTTCATCTTTTCCATAATTCTCTAAAGTCCACCTTACGAAACCATCATAAGCAGCCAGAGGGTCAGGATCTTCTTCAAGCGCGGTTGCAATTTGAGCCCTGTAATATTCTCGTTTCTTCAAGAGATCCCCAGATACAGAGGATTCCATCCCGGTCGTGCAGGACAGCGACAGCAGTAGAATCGAAAACGGCAGCGGTGAACGTTGATTTGAGACCTAGGATATTGGGCGTCGCGCGTTGCCACTCGACGCGTTAATCACGTGATGCGTGTCTTTGCGACGAGTCCGATGTCTGGCTCAGTACTGTATCATCATCTCAGGCGATGCACGAATTGGCATGCACTGGGACATACCGCAACGAGGGACGGAGAGTTGTGTTGGCCTACATTGGGCCTGCAAGTCTTGTTACTTGAATTTACGTAACGCGCAACGTCCTCTCTGCTGCCGCCAGTGCCGCTTACTGTACGTGCGCACCCCTTGACTCGCTCGCTTACTATTCCTCTGGTGAGTTATCATGTACTGTCTTTATGGGCCCGAAGCAACATTCACACTCGAACAGAGTGCCAAGAAATTTTTTAACAACATTATGGAGCTATAAGCTAGATTGCGACACGGCGCGCAAAGCTGCGCACCTCGTTACATGTTCTCTACTGAACCTTAACGTATGCGATGAGTCGATAGCACACAGCCTCTTTCCACAAGGAAAGGTTTTGGAGGCGTTGGCTTTTCTCTTTGCAGGTGAGCACAGGGCTTCCAGCTGTTCCCATCAGAATATAAGCAACAAGCCATATGGCCCCGTGGGTCGATTTGAGCTGGAGGCGGTGTTGTGCGTATTCTATTGTACTGCACTTGTAGCGCACGGGTATGTGGTTGGCGCGTATATCTTTTATGAACGCCCTCGACGATAAGCTGGACGATCTCTTATCAACATCGAACGCGGCCATGCCATTCCCCCTCTCCTTCAGACGAGTACAAAGCGACGAAATTTTCGATGGTGTAACCATTACTCTTGAAGCCATACAAGATGCATCTTCTACCTTAGGTGTATTTCCTTTCCTCGGTATCATTGCCACTGCAGCACTCGGCATCGTGCGGACTCTCCAGGTGGGCTGTGTCGAGATATAAAATGACATACTCATTATTTGACCTATGTGCAGAAAGTCAGTGATGACAGAGAGCGCAGCATTCGCTTGGCACAGCGTGCTGCAGATCTAGTCCAGCATGTCCAACAAGCTGTGAGCCAGGATCCAGAGGCTATAGGAGTGGTGCTTTCTGAGAATTTGACAAGACTATATACGTACGCATCAGTTTCGAACGGACCACCTTGTTCATCCAACCGGCCTGCAGAACGTTGGCATCTATACAGAGTAATCTGGAAAAAGACCTCGATCAACGGTCGCTCGTTCGCTTCCTCCGCAATAGCAAAATGTCCAAGAAGCTGGATGGACATATCGAAGCTTTAGACAGAGCATGGAAAGTCTTTGATGTGCGAATTCACGCAAGTTGTTACCAGAGGTTGTTTTAACCATACACGCTTCAGACGATGAGCTTGATCGCCATCCAACAGACATTAGAAAATCAAGCACATAGATCGCGAAGAGCCTCCTCTACGCATGAAAGGCCAGGTACTTTGGATAGTTCTAGGTGCGTGCGGTGCACTCGTGTAAATGTTGTATTCTGGAAATTTACGAGACGCTTATTGTAGGGAATGTGTGACGCCGCCTATATCGTCGTCCTCAAATTCAGCCATGCTGTCACAAATTTCCTCGTCACTTTCTTCTCATTTCACTTTCCTTGTGGTGTAAATTGTCACTGTGATCGGCGTTATGGACTCAGATATATCGCATTGTTTTGTTTCATCCATTGTATTTTGTACAGCCATCAATATCGACGCGTCTGGACGCGTTTATGTCATGTGCTGAGATGCGCTTTCCTAAAGCGGCAAAATGTCGTATTCAGATTCAAGGACACCGTTCTGAGAGGCTCAGAGTCATCATTCTTACCAAACAATCCCTCAAGCATATTGGGCACAAGTCAAACCATTCACTTCCAAGGACTTTGGCACTCTTCCTTGTGACTGCATGGGATATCAGTTGTGCTAGTTATTATCGTGCATTTTGGGCTGGGGTGCTCCATGGCCAACCGTCCTCGCCCTCACCCACATCTTCAGATTCCCCCAGGTGCTGCACCTCCAACGGAACCTTCACCGACATCTTCCTGGTCATCCTATCTCTACAAATCACCCCCTTACAATGTCTCGAATATCTGGTCAGACCGCGCTTCGAACAAGTATTCCTCAAGCGCGTCCAGTATCGCTCCCCGCATAAGTATCAACGAACATTCACGACCACCAAGTCGTGCATCTAGTTCATATGAACAAGATACTGGACATTTAGTGTTCCCCGAGCCTCAGTTGTATCGATCCGTCTCGCAAAATCCATCCCCTCGTCCATATCCTACCCAGGCACATCGAGCGACCAGAAGCGAGCTAACAGTTAGTCCTATTCATGCAACTGGGGAGTCAAGGCCCCCATCATTCATATCCACAGGCAGTAGTCCAGACGTACGTGGTATTGCACATGCCTCTATTCCTGTATTCCCGTATGCCTACCTATCTTTCTGGCTCAGCTTTCGTCCCGTGAACTTTCCGACGAGCTGTCCAGCCTGACGTGTGTTAATTCTTATGCTTCGTATAGGCCATGTATTAATCTGAATTCATCTCGATTACTCTTAGTCTTGAGTCCGAAGAAGGCCTTCTCCGTTTCCAGACGGGCGATCTTCCCGAGTCCGATTGCGAGTGGTATCGACTTGTACCTCCAGAAGCACGAGAGGTCTTGGACAAGGGAGAGGTACAACGACAGTCTATTCTATTCGAAATCATCAAGTCAGAGAGAGATTATGTATCCGATTTGGTCTTGGTGAAGGAGGTCAGTCTTGTTGTATGATTCAGAAGTGAATGCTGATCGCCTGCGTGTCCAATTTCAGATCTTCGTTGATCCTCTCTTCAACACTTCTCCTGTGCCTCACCATCGCCTTGAGGGCTTTGTTTCAGAGGTCTTCAACAATCTTGACAAGATTCAAGCACATCATGCCCAAATGCGGGATGCCCTTTTTGCGAGACAGCGTGATCAACATCCCCTGGTTCAGAGTATTGCAGACGTTATACTTGCCAGCATCCTGGATTGTAAGTAAATTTCCAGCGGCTTTATGGTATTACTAAGTTTGTCCCATTAGCAAGGCAACTCTTCCGTACAGAGTATGAGAAATACATCAAACACTACCCTCTTGCTCGTGCGCACCACCTGGCAGAGCTAAAGCGTAATTCTAAATACCAATATTTCATCCAACAATGCATGCTCGACCCTCGCATGCGCAAGCGCGACTTGATTACTCTCCTTTCGCGCCCTGTGACCCGCCTGCCGAGGTTAAGACTTCAGCTACAAACGGCGTTAGGGCGCACAGCACCGGACCATCCAGACATCGACGAACTTCCAATGATTTTAGATATTCTATCAGATCTCGTGAAGAGCACACAGCCGGGCATCGAAGTGTCTGAGGGCAAAGTGAGCTTCTGGGACTTGTGCGAAAGCCTAGTATACCAAAGGGGGGAAATTATCGTGAGTAGCCTATCGGCGTTTCGAGTCAAATGCTCCAATCAAAACTACCAAACAGGATCTAGATCTATACGATGAAAGCCGGACGCTGGTCCATTCTGGTCCACTTGCGCGTCGATATCGCTCCGATATGGGATACAACTGGGCTGATCTTCATGTTGCCCTTTTGGACAACTATCGTGAGCTTCGCGTCATTGTGTAGTCGAATCTAGGTCTCAATCGGGAGTTCAGTGCTTCTGCTCAAGCCCGAGGATAGGTCTGGAACTATAAGGCATTCTGTTGTATCCCGTGTGCGCATAAAATGCAACGCTTACTCAAGTACTCCATGTTCGGGCTAACAATCGCGTTTTACAGCCTATTCCGTTAGAGTATCTCCGCCTTGCAGCTTTTGACAGCGCTCCGGAACATCGCAAGGAGAAGACAGAAGAGGGTGGGTTTCTCGACAGCTTCCGCGCACGCCTAGTTCCTGTATATCCGTTCACGGTCTACCATGCATCCGCCAAGATGACTCGACGGTATACACTGTATGCTGATAGCGAGAACCTGCGCAAGAAATGGTACGATAAATTGCAAGATGCTATTGGTGTACGGAAGGTCCAGCAAGAGGCAAACATGGTGAATTCTTTGTCTTATTTGACGGTCCGCATGATTGTTCATAGAATACGTGATCGTTGTGTTTTAGTGGTTCGCACCCCAGGTCATGAATAATGGCTTCTTCAAATATTCGACCTCGATGATTCATTCGAACGGAAGCTACCCGGGGAAGATCACGGCGGCCGTACCTCTCAGTGCGTCTAACTCTTTCCCATATACTCATGGTACCCTCCTGTAGATTCACGTGCTATTCCCCTTCCTGTCCCCAGTCAGTAGCAACAAGAAGCTTCTTGCGGTTTGCAGTTCGTCAGGCGTTTGGGTCGCAGCACCTGGTGATGCCGGTGCGTTTATCGTTAATATTTCCAAAGCTGTCCGTCTACGACCGACTATCCTGACACTGTCGTTCAGAGTACCGGAGAGTACTTAATCTGCCCAACCCGACAAGTATCATTGCTCTCCCGGATTGCAACAAAATACTCGTTCTCTCCGATGACGGCCTTTGTGTTTATTCCCTCGACATGTTCGCACGTGCTGGGCTTGGTACTAGTACTCAGCTACACCTCGAGGCAACTATGCAGCGAATAGCGGGACAAGATTCCACGGTGCTATACTTCCGTGCCGGCCGGATTAATAATAGAACAATGAGTAAGTACGGTTTTACAAGCACTGACAGCCTCATGCTTAGCTCAGTGAGGTAGTCCTGTATGTATCGAAGGGTCTCCTCCAGGCATACTTCCACGCGCTCGAGGTAGTGCGTACAGATGACACGGTCCTGAGCCCCAGACGAAGTACGTATGGGTCAGTATCAGCCTTCTCGTTCCGTCCATTTGGTGAAGTAGGTGTGTTCAGTTGAGTACGAAGGAATTACGCTAAGTTGCTCCGCATCCCTTTTGGTAGCCTCTGGCCATTCCAAAGGATGCGCACGACATCACCTCACTCCACAGGAATATCGGTATTTGTATGGACAAGGGGATATGGATCCTTGACCCAACCAAGTGAGTTTCGGCCTTGAAGTTTATTTTCAAACCCGTGTTGTGGCCTTCACTCACTTGGCACACGATGCAGTCCAAATGTGTCGAGCGCAACTCCCACCATCATCCCCAAGTTCACAGGTGCCGAGTCTAATCCGCCTATGGCTACGCTCAAGACACGCTGCGCGTCTGCGAAACCATTGGGTCTCATACGTTGCGAAAACGAGGAGATCCTGATCGTATATGACGGTGAGTGCGCCCCGCGCTACCCGCGTCTCACCTTCACGCCGCATCTTTCACGCTCAGAACTCGGCTGCTACGTGAACAAACACGGAGTCCCGTGCCGGTCGTCCGGATACCTGCGATGGGAGTCCAAAGTGACGGCGTTCATGCATCGCGGAGAGCATATCCTCCTCTTTAGTAGTGAGTTCATCGAGGTGCGTGCAGTGGACACGGGGAGGCTTGTACAGGTCATCGAAGGCGAGGACGTGCGGCTCGTGTCTCGGGGGCTGCTTCCTACGGATAGCACTACGCTCGCCGTGATGAAGGCACACGAAGAGCGGAACGCCGCGGCGGACAAGATTGTCGAGCTTGTCGAGACGGCAGAGCTCACGACCCCGCGCGTCGCTAATGTACCGGCGCTGTGGGAGGACTGGGGGATGTAAGCTTCAAGATGCGGACAGTTGAAGAACATTTATAGCGATAGTGAAGAAATGGCTGCTAATGTACTTGGGATTAGCTTATACCTATGTAATATAGGATAGAGGGCAGAACACGTTTTGCAACTGTATAACCTTGGGCATTCATATTTTCATTCGCTTGCATCGAGGGCCGTTCACGCAATGCTTACCAGTATCTATCCAGCGACACAATGTCGTGAATTGAGCGCATACAAACATTTCATTTGGATCGTTAGAAATGTGTCTGGTATCAGACAGCCATAGACACTACGTAGCGAATCGCCCCCTACCAGACCCGAACACATTCAAACGACTGAAGGAGACAAGTAGAAACAGAATGGTATCATACCAAATGGCAAAGACTGAAAGTCAAGTATTACAAGTGTCTGATCAAAAGTAGTGTACGCAACCGCGAGTCTAAGGTATCACGACCCCGACGGAACGCATCACAAGCAGGAGGTCTGTGCATTGAGTCCAACAATAAAGAGAGTACGAGGAGTCCTGTACCTCTTTTCAACTGCTTACGTTTAAGCCAAAAAAGCAGCGACCGCCACGCCAGCAACACCTGCGAAGGCCAAGTTAGCGACATTGACGAGAGCACCGCTGGTTTTTCCCGAAGCGGAAGTGGTGGCGGCGCCCCCAGTCGACCTTCAAGTAATATTAATCAGATGAATGCATTTATCAGACCAGTACATACGTGGTTCCAGAAGAGGTCGTGGTGGTGGCACCACTGGTAGTAGTCGTAGTGGAAGCACCTGATGAACTCGCGCTGGTGGACGTAGTCGAAGTAGCACCAGATGAGGTAGCGGACGAAGAACCAGACGAGGAACTTGTCGAAGAGGTGGAGGCGGCATTCAGACAGCTGTTGCCTGTAACAGAAATTTCTTAGTTGGGAGGCATCACAAACAAAGAAATATACGTACTGCCGGCGCCAACAGTGAAGGGCGCAGACTCTTCGGTTGCCCCAGTGCTATCCTTGATAGTGAGACTGATGGAAGTCCCTGATTCATAACACCATCAAAGCCCGTAGCACCCACAAATTAAGACTGGGACCAACCAGAAGTGATGTTAGTGGGCCAAGTGTAAGAGGTTCCAGTGAGAGGACCATATTCCTGGAGAGGAGCACCAGTAGGGTCGGAACCAGGCTCAAGGCTTAGAAGAGCATCAGCGGGCGAATAGAATAAAATATGAGGATCCTTACCTCTAATAAAGAGTATCAGCGAGATGCATAGCACGGTTTAACATATGTTTGTACGACTGGTGTGAGAAACGCACGATGTAGTATGGAGATACACCACCAGACCAGGTGAATAGTGTGGGTATACACTCGGTGACATCGGAACTGAGAGAGCGACGCATGAGATGAAGAAAAGAAGGTACGATCAAACGACAATAGAAAACATACGGAGTGTTGATCTGGAGGCCAGAGACACCTACGAGGGCGGCGGCAGCGACGACAAGAACAGTAGACTTCATCGTTGATGTTGGAAGGACAGACGTCGAAGGGAACGAGCTTGTGGGAAGGGGAAGAGCTGGAGAGTTGTTGATGGGACAAGGCGGCCGAGTTATATGGCCGGGAAGAACCGAACGTTATTTATTTGCGCACGTCGAGAGGCACGCTGGTTCCTTTTCTTGGGCATCGCGCGCCGGTCGGCCCATATGTCTTTCTCGCCTCCTCCCGTCTATCTCGTCCCCGTCCTCCCCACGGCCCCCATTCTCTGCCAGCGCAGGGCCCACGGACGACTTGAACAGTGCCCCAGCCTGCAGTCCTCAATGATCAAGCTACTGTAGCCGCGCAGTGCGTCTGCCGTGCGAACGCCGCTGGTATCCGTGCCGCGACGTGAGCTGGTCATCAATCACCTTGTCTCCCATACGTTACCTGGGAAATGCATACGTATGTGGTGTCGGTACAGTCATCGCCCGCAATACCACCCGCTGACGTCAGCTGTTGGAGGAGGTTCCAGTCTTCGTCAGACACCTCTGGTGTCCCGCATGTCGTGCACCCTCCTGGTTTCACTCTCTGCTCAAGGAAGACGCCCAAACCGCGCTGTCGGGAACTAGTATTTTCCTATCTTAGATCTCATTTTGACGGATCGGAATGAGCTCCGCCACACCCAACGCGACACCTTGCTATCTGCAATCCCAGAGTCCGACACAGCTTCCCAACTCGTGTGCGATGTCGTCTTACTTACATCGACCGGAAGGGCCGCCCAGGGAGATAGTTCATGTCTCCAAGCAGCGTCTCTCGGACGATTCTCGCGTTTTGGCAGCTGACCACACGAAAGGTCCTGCACTGTATTTTATTCCGGTCCTTTTTATTTCTGGCTCACCGCGGCGTCTCGGGCATGCTCCGTGACGTCTGCCAAGCCTATGCTCTCTTCCGCCGACAACGCCTCATCGCCCTGCTCTTGCTCTTGAAATCTCGCTGAATGATAACCTCAGACCGCCGCACGCTATATCCATCCGCCTGTTCTCGCTACCTACGCAGCAGCTCAATGTATGCTGGCTCTTTGACGACTATGATTCTACTTCAAAATCAGCTATCTCCTGATCATATCTGACTCGAACGTCACGGAGCATTGAGAGAAAATTCAAGATGCCAGCCATTGTATTCTATCTATCCATGGAACTCATGTTGAAGATACCGTGTATGTAGCATTTGCAGGTGTCAAGAGAGCCCACAGCATTCCACTAGATTGCTCTTGTATGCTAAGAGTGTCCGTGCTGAATTATGTAATGATGTCCATGTCGTGCAATAGAATCTCAGACCAAGTCACCAAGTCTTCACTGCATATAATCATGTATCGCTACAGGTGAGATCATGCCCCTCTATATACATACAGCTGCCCCTTGCCTACTCAGTTGGGAATACCAAGCAAACGCCATCATCCCCCGCACTAACTACAGCACCGCCCTCGAGACCTAGAGCAGCTTGCAGGATAGGCCCATGATGTCCTTTGTGTTCACGCACCAGCGTGCCGGTACGTGCGTCCCATGTCCGTAATGCCTTGTCGGATGATGCAGATATGACAAGATGTGCTTTTGGTACGGGTAGACGGAGAAGGGAAGTGACCGCGTCCTAAATATAGTCGCGCATCCACATAAGACATGCGCTGCAAGACAAAACAGCGCCTAGGTCACGTACCTCATGCTCCAAGGTTGCTCGCAATCGCATCGTACCCAGGTCCCATATACATGCCTTCCCGTCTGTAGCACCTGTGACTACCACCCCTCCCGCATTCTGTGGGGTAGTACCACCTGCTACCGCACTCGCGAGTTCGACAAAGGCAACCGCCTCCACACTTTCGCCCTCCCCGTGCCCACCAAGCGCGCCGACGACTTCGCCTTTGCTAAGACTCACGACACGTACGCTGCCCGTTAACCCACCAACAACAGCGAGTGTTGATGCAGGATTGACCGCAAGGGATGTGATGCCACCCATGTCAAATCGGGCATTGGTAGCAGTAAGCTTGAAGATCGGGTTAGGATCGCGGGGATCCCAGAAAATAAGCGTCCCTTCTGCATCCGCGGTGACGATGCGCTTTCCGTCGGGTGTAAATTCGCCACACTGAACTGGCGCTGTATGGCCTGCAAAAACTTGCATTGTATTCCCCGATGGCACTGCGGAGGGTGTCGAGATCGTGGTGAGTCGCACAAAAATACCGCTCTTCTCAAAGCGTACGTACGTTGCCATAGCCATACCATTGAATCATTTGATCCCGCGAGAAGCACGTTCCCTCGCGGATGCCATCGTAGCCACTAAAAAGTGCATATAACGAGTACTTGTGAGGGGATTTCCACAACATGAGAAGTGAATACGTACCATGACTTCGTCTGGGCCTTGTAGCTCGGTCAGGAATTCCCATGTCCGCCAGCTCTCCTTGCCAACTCTGCGCCATATACGTACCTTTCCGTCCATGCCCCCGGTCGAGATCATCTCCCCATCCGCACTGAACGCAGTCGAGATCACACTGTCCGTGTGCCCGGTCAGCTTGACGAGCTCTTCTCCAGTCGTGTAATCCCAAATGTACCCCAGGTCGTCCTCCCCACCCGACGCGGCGAGGGAGGCTATGGGGTGCGTCGAGACGGCGAAGACAGAGCCGTGATGGCCGGGGAAGTGCTGGATCGAGTTATCCTCGTACACCACAGAATCGTCGGGCTGTGGTTCGCCTTCAAATTCCCCCTCAGCATCGTCTTCGTCCATGAACTGTTCGCCGTCGTCGCCCATCTCGATAAAGACATCGTTGGGGTCGATGAATTCCTCGTCCTCCGCGCCCTCTTCCAGGTGCTCCGGGTCCATCGATTCGGAAGCCATGGCAATGGGGTATTTTGTAGTGATAGTGACCTGTTGACGTGTTCCCCCGGGCTGTGATGCGCGAGTATTTGAGCAGTCCTGGACGCTTAGAGACGATGTGCTGAGTAACTGCTTAGAGAGCCCAGCTCCGGTTCCGACATAACGAGGAAATTGCAGCATTGACACGACCCACGTGACTGCATCAAGATCACTCCCCGATCGAGGTGGCAAGCGAACTTACGCGTCTGTACAGTGCAGGTTACGCGCCATGCCCAGGGTTGTCACTCATATGCGGGTGTAATTTACCCTTGATGGTAATACAGGGTCTTGACATCCTCACAAGACTGGATTTTCGCAATCCGCTCTGTGCACGGGGTGCTTGGTTTGCGCCCGTCTAGCCTAGTGCGGAAATGATGAGCTCAACCCAGCTGAACGTTCCAAGCAATCTCGATTCTTGAGAAAAAGTAGTGGACCCACAAACGATGGACAAGATGGACGCCTTTCATAGGCTATACGCATCCGCCGGACGATGCCCACTGAGCACCCAGGTCCCGAGACGCCGTCACACCCGCACTAGTTCGCTGATGCGCGTGCAATAAAATCACCTCGCAGCGCCGCCGTTCCGTCTGTCTCCTCTCCGATGCACCGCTGGCTGAACGTAGCGGTTCCGCCTACGGGGGACCTGTCGGCACTGCACCGTTGGCGCACCCCGTCGACGAACGCCCTAGCCCCGACTTCCGTCCAGCTTCTCGTGTGGAACATCGACTACGCATCACCTCACCCCTACACACGGCTTCTGCGCATCCTCTCTTACCTCGAACAAATCGCCAAATTTCGATCCGGGTCGCCAAGTCCCTGCTGCATTCTCCTGCAAGAAGTCGCCATGCACGTCTTCCCGAGCCTCCTCGCCCATCAGTGGGTCCGCACAAACTTCCTCGTCGTCCCCTCTGGGCCGGACAGGTGGCCGCCAGGTACGACGTACGGAAACGTCACGCTCGTGTCCAAGGCCGTACCGTTTCTCTCCGCACAGCTCCTCGTGTTCGGGAACTCCACGATGGGCAGGTCGGCCCTCTTTGTGGATATCGCGCTGCGTGACCCTCGCTCCGCACGACACCTCACCCTACGACTCGCCAACACGCACCTAGAGTCTCTCCCGGACCTTGCCCCGGCCCGCTACGAGCAGCTCTCTGCGATCGCACACAAGCTGCGTGAGCCAGGGCTGTATGGCGGAGTCGTGGCCGGGGACATGAATACGCTCCGCCCAAGTGACGAAATTATGCACACGCGTGCAGGTTTGCTCGACGCGTACAAAGACGACCCAAGGGATCGCGAGAGCTTTACGTGGGGGTTTCAGCCCCCTTCGCATTATCCCCCGGGCAGGCTGGATAGAATATATTACACACCAGGCAAGGCGGTATCGGACGGATACCCGCTCTACGTTTACGAGCCTGAAGTGATGGGCATTAACCTCAAAACGGAATACCGGACTTGGGCTAGTGACCATCGTGGTCTCATATCGAGGGTGCGATTCTCGCCTGTCGCTCCACGAGAGGTAGGCTTGTGTCGTCTGTTATGATCTATATTCAGCTTTCTGAGTGAAGACACATGCAGAGATGAATTTCATGCTCAATTACAAGATCACCATGCTTTGTCGTCGTTGTATATAATCACAGCCAATAAGTTTTCAGCCAGAGTCTATCAGAGAGTCAAGTTGCGGCGACAGTGCGATTTTTGTACTAGCCGTGTGAATTCCGTGCGTCCATACATTACAAAAACGCGTCACTTCTTACCCATACTTGTACATGTCCCGGCGGGCAAGTAAAGATACCCCACCCATCTGGGGAGACATCTACATGCTCAGAAGAATTCATGATGGAATGATACAAGGTCCCGCCGTTCCTCTGCAGCAATATCAGAGCATATTTGGAGAAATATCAACTACAACTCACCGCTCCAACGTTCATCTTTATGCGGCCTTTCGACCTGATCACGACAAACAGCATGAGCGGAAAATGTTGGTCACACGCCGTTAAAGCATCCTACCCATTCACCGGATCAGCGTTGCTGACGAGAACCGCACATCCCTTGTGCGCAGCGTCGCCCATCCGCACAAAGCCGATGCAATTGCGAGCGGAGAAGTAATCCACGCGCTCGCCATATGCGAACCTCTTCCGCGCTTCCATCAAGCGCCGCACCCCTCGGGCGATGCGCTCATTATAGCACTCGTCGTTGGGATAAATGTCCCCGTAGAACACGCACCTGCCGGAAACTATAGGTATAATATCGGAAAAATGTGCAGATCAGCAAACTCACGGATGCCCTTCTCCACGAAGGAGAATCAGGGCGTACGCTTGAAGCTTGAAACTATTGCCCACCTGAACATGCCAAGCAGTGAATAAAGGCGGCGCGCGGTCGCTCGCAGTTGACCAAACCACCTACCCAACTTTCTAGCGTCTGCCCTATTTGCTATGAAAGCAAATGATCAGAAAGCGCCACAAGCTATCGGACTTGACATCAGATCTACCGTGCTATCAGCCGAAAGAAATCAGCACATGGGGTTCATGGTGTGTTATACATCGCGAACGCACTCATGATTATCAACGAATGTGACGGCATCACCGGGCCTGAACTTGAGTACGGTGTTGTCGAAAACTGTCCGCATGTCGAATCGCGGGCCTGCCTTGCTTGCCTGGTGGAATCTCTGATGTAATGGCACATCAAAAAAGGTGACCTGCCACTGATCAACCCCCGACTTAATAGAGTAGTGGACCAAAATAGCTTACCAGGCCCTGGAAAGCATAGATATACGGTTTGATTTGTTTCAGACTGCGGGAGGTCAGAAGATGTGTTGCGGACGCACGAAAGTACCTCACTTTCCAGACCAGTACTCGGCCACAGCGAAGAGATCTTCCCTGCCTGCAGATTTACGTACATGTCTAAGCTGTGAAACGTGAACTCGTCGCGAGAATATGGTCAGAACTCGAGATACGCACGAAGTCAAGTAGGAAATATCTATCCATGTGCTTGATCGCATCTAACCGGAAACCCGTTGCACCTGTCGTCTTCCAATTATGAAGCAACGTATTCTGAGTATGACAGGAATTCATAAGCGCTTACCTGAAGTACCCAACGGCCCCACTCCAAAAGGTCCTCCCGAACCGCAAGATGACGGTGGTCAATCTGATTGTGCGCATCAATGAACCGATGAGTGAACAGATCAATGGCAAGAATATTTACATCGATGCCAAGTAGGTAGTCGTAGTTACCATTCTCGCTGTCGACAAAGCGGGACCAGCCCTTATGCGAGCCACCCACGATGCGATAAATTCCCTTCAATCGTTTTCGATGATCCCAATCCAAGCCTGCAGGATATCTCGTAATCGGAAATAGATTATAATGATCAATCAAGCCTTACCAGTAAAATGCTCCTGCGTCCACTTCAAGCTGCTGTACTATGGGAAATTCAGAGATTTTGTCTACCTGAATGATGTGAATTTATTACCTTGCCCTGCCTTCCAGAAAAATCAAAAGCCGTCCAACCCTGGTATTCGAGAGCAGTGAGCTCATCCAGCGAGATTGGACGCATACGCCACCCACCTCGATCTCTCGTGGAGGTGTGAGATCTCTGAGTCGGTTCTTGGGGTCGACTGGAACAGCCATGAACGATTCAATCCTATCACCACCCATCTTGTGCTAAAAATATGTCATTTCGAAAGCTGTGCTGATTCTCAGCGCAGACAAACTCACATTCAGAATAGCATCGATGAGGACGTCAATCCCATGGGCCTTGGCGGTTTCGACTGCCCGCACGAGTTCATCTTTGGTTCCCCATCTAGTCGCGACAGTGCCTTTTTGGTAGAATTCGCCCAGATCCCACTGAATAAATGTGTCAGGCATCTTGCTTTATGCTCAGCTATTGAAGGTGATTATACCAGGTCATATGCGTCGTATCCTTGCCCAGTCTGCGAAATCTCAATAAACACAGTCGAGCGACTTCAGCGTGCCATCTACCTTGACCATAGCTTTGTTTGGGGGAGGTAGCCATATTTGGGTCACACCCAACTCAGCGAGTTGTGGCACCTCCTCCTCAAAGTGTCGCCACCAGCTCATCGTTGGATGTCGACTTTCCCAGGTAAAGAATTGCATCTAACGAGAGTCAGCCGATTCCCATTCGATTCTATCGTTTGTGGAGAGCATACCATCAGCGCGTTGTCCTGAGCATCTGGTGATTGCAAGCGCATTCCCGCGAGAGCAGGGGGCGGGTATCCCTTTATGCGCGACCATATCCAGTCTATAAACCAAGTTACCTTGTGCATGGTGTCGATTCGCAGCAACGGCTTATGCTAGTGAGCGGACGTGCGAGAATGTTGGCAGGTAGTATGCACCTTCGGTCGGTTCAAGCTACTTATTGAACCGGCGACCTTCTTCTGTGACTGTGCCACATCCATGCCGATACGCGACGACACGGCGCAGCGCCGCAACGCGATCGAAATCGCGTCCGTCACGTGCACAGGAGAATTCCCACGCATTTAGAATATATGTAACGAAGGCCGCTTTGAGCAAGTCTTCACCGTTACGGCCACCACTGCGTTCCTGCGTCTTCTGTCAGCGTTCCGCTCGACCTTGGGGCGTTAACCGAATGCTTTTTCCTTGCTGGTGGTCGCGAGCGATATGGCCTACTTAATCGCTCTGTTGACACTATCCTATGTCAAATGGAGTTTCATGATTCGGCGACATTTTCTGCTGTACTTGGTATTCGATTAGTGGACTATTTTTCAATGGGACTACACAGTTGTTATTCATCTATGCAGTGTGCTCGCCGTGAATCATGTCATCTCGACTTGACTGTGAGCTGTCCTCATGGATTCTATTGTATGGAATGGGTTTGCGGGACAATTGGGTGAGTTGGCACTGTCAAAGGGCACAATATTGCTGAAGTGAGTATTTGCACGGAATGTGCTTAGAGCACAGCACTGGTTGCCAGTCTGCGTCTACAACACTCTAGATGTAACGTGGTGAAACAATTCAATAGACCCTTTGTTATTTGATAGGCGGTACGTTGGGATATCCATCATGCCCGGCAAACTATACCATCAGGGTGTCTGATGTCAGTTGTTCGTCATCTACTCGTTCGTCGTCCACTTAGCGAGTGATTGACCATTGACCGGCGGATCTGCAGCTTTCCCTCGGATGTGACTTTACTTTCTGATGCTGATGCCATGTGGGTACGAGACCATTGGAGCCATGGGAGCACCAGATCAGTAGTGAAAATGCGTGCGGTATCGGCGTCGATTCCATGAGGTCATACAACAGCACGTAAATCCAGAAGCACAAATGGGATATCATGAAGGGCTCTAGATCCCAGCCCTATGTACGTAGATAGAGAGAACATGCTATAATACAACTACCGTTGGTTCATATGACATACCGGGCACAATAAGTTACGGCGCGGTAAAGACGCGATATGAATACACTGCGAAGATTCCGGCATGAATCATGAACGCAAGCGAAACCGTCACAATATCATGTACGCTCGTCATGCTCATCGCTCGCCACGCTCGATCGCTTGGACACCCGAATTAAGCACGACTTTAGGCAACAACAACATCCTGCTTTCGAAGAGCTCGCCTTCCTCGGAGTCCTCCGGCGCAGCAGTTTTGTTTCCCTTTCTCGTTATACACCGGAGGCCCAGTTCTGTCGTGCATAGCACCCTCTGGCCCTCGACGTTGCTCGTCTTGCTGTTCTCGTTCGCCTGATCACTAGGTTTCTCATCGGCATAACTGTTGGCTCCAGTTTTGTCATCCGCGATGCAATCCTCGTAGTCGCGCATTTTGTTCGTCATATTCCCCTCTTCGAAAGCTTCACCGCTCTCTACGAGGACGACCTCGAACGTCGTCGACAAGATCTCCTCGCGAGTCACCCGCGCGAGCTTGTACACTGCCTCTGCAATGCGACGGAGCTGCGCGCTAAGGACCGTAAGGGAAGAGGGCTCCGACGCAGGTGACGAACCCGCGAGAGAAAAGACCATCGCAGACCACCGCAGCATGGTCGCGACCAGTTCTGTGATCGCGTATTCCTCCAACCCTGGGTATAACATGCGGATCGCACGGTGAGTGAGCGCACGCCAACGGGCGGAAGTCGCTTGGGGTTCTGTCACAATCAACGAGGTCGGTCATGGGCCCTCCCATGTGACACGAACACAGGGCAGACGAACGCACCAGAGGATTGCATATGTGTGAGCACGCGCGAGAGAAGCGCATCGAGCTTCGACGGGAAGCCGACGCAGAAGAGCGCAAGCGAGCGCGCACAGCATGTCGTGAGGCTCGCCTGGAGCGCAAGCTGGACGAGGATCGGGTCCTGCGTATGGTCCCGCGCCGCGAGCACCCGCGCGAAGGGCGCACCGAGCCATGGCGCGTTCTCCTCATCAAGCATGGCACCGGGGCCTATGTCGCCTCCGAGGCCGAGCGATTGCGACTGCATCATGGGTGTGCGCACGCGGAGCCGTTTCGCGAAGGTGCACGACTCGGTTGCGGATGCGGCGAACTGGTTGATCTCGGCGTTGAGGTCCTCGACAGCCTGGATGACCTGTGCGCCAGACCAGCTGTCAGTCTTGGTGAGGAAGACATCCATGCTGCGTGCGTGTGCGATCTGCTCCGCGTCGACATATAGCTGAGGGTTCCGCGGGAGCGGGGGTGGTGGAGGAGGCGGCGGGGGTGGCGGGCCTTCGATCCTGCGTGCTGATGCCCTGCTACGACTCGGTGTGCGGCTGCGATGGCCACGATGGTGGCCGTTCTGGATTCGGGTGCCGTCCGTCTCCTGCTTGGCTTCTCTGGGGGCAACAGTCACGGCACTCTGGGCCTTCTCGCGCTCCTGGTCTCTCTCTGCGCAGGCCTGGTCCCGCTCCGCTATCAGCCTGTCTCTCTCCTGCATCAGCGCTTCGACCTCCTTGTCTTTCGTGCGGAGGGCTTCTTGCATCTCACGGAGGGTCTTCTCCAGGACTTTGTAGCGCTCTGCGAGCTTCATGATTTCGATCTGCAGCTGTGAGCGTGCAGCGTCGCGACGTGCGTACGCGGACTCGATCGCGAGGTCGAGATGTCGGGAAGGGGGGCTGCGAGCAGAGAGGGGTGGGGAGGTGAATGGTCCGAAACCGCTGCAGCGCTCTCGACGCTCGGCGGTGGCTAGCTTGAGTCGGAGAGCACTGCACTCACGAGTGAGCCGGGCGATGGGATCAGAGACGGGAGTGGTATTGCCTGTGTCGATCCGCGGTAGGGGCCCACGAAAGGTGTAGAATTCGATGTTAGAGTCACTGGGTATCCTGACATGCATGTCGGGCGAATTAGTTGCGGTAGGGGCTATGCGGGGGGAGGGCGGAATACCTTGTACTATAAGAAAAATCAGGACTAGTATAGATTGGCAGGGCCTGTGACAGTGGTGCAAGGGAATACTGGGTCGCTGACTCGCTGAAGCGGCGAGGAAACTGCAGGCCACGAGGATCGGAGATCTCCAACCGCGTGCATGCTCACGGCGCTCTCTGGGACGTAAACTGGACCGGTCGACCACTCCAAGCCCTCCCAATAAGTGCAGCATCGTCGGGGAACAACTCCGAACTGTCGCCGCGAATCGCCCATAGAGAGCGACATCAGACGGATAGATAGTAGAGGCTTGGTGTGAGAGGAGAGTCTATACGGTAACAGCCTGCCGGCGTGCGCGAGTTCAAGTCAGTCGATCGTTGTTCTTTTGTAATAGTAGCATTTACACTCTATTGCCGCACACCGGGAAAGTTCTAGCAATGAGCAATGGATAAGCTGTGCGCAAGTATGATCCCAGCCTACTCAGATTGTGGCAATCTTGTCACTGAAAGCAAATCGTTCGACTGCGCAGGCCTCCTCGTAAACGACTAGCAGGAGGGGTTTATAGTTTAGGCATAGGTATGAGGTACGAGAAGTGTACCGGCGACAATACGTTGACTCGGATGGAGACACGCGCAGGGAGACTCAAAGGATGGTTGCACCGCGATGAATCTAAACTCAACTGGATAACCACGAGCTCCTTGGCATTCTCCACTCTCAGCTTCATCTGTCAGCTAACCCTGAGCACACAGTGCGCAGCCAGCTCCACGATGGCAAGAGATGGTCGCCCGCGCACACAGCATCTAGAGCACGACCGATGACGCAGAGCCACGCTCTGGAATCCCGCAGTGTGTCGACCAGCGTTGGAAGACCCGAGTGGGAGGCATGCTCTGATGCTGGCAGGCTTCCTCCAGGCCAGAGCAGTGCCAGTAAATGCCACATTCCAAGCTGATGTCGGTTGAGAGAGCCTGTCTCGACGTCTTCCCCGACAGATGGATCCGTGCAAGGGCGCAAATGAGAGATGGATTGCCAGGGATGCGGCGACTGCGAGCGAGAGAGGCGGACGCGTCTCTGGATTGAGACGATCAACCTCGCCACCACCGCGTTGCAGAGGCGTGTATCTTACGTAACGCGTCTGACCCGGCACATCGCCCAACAATGGCTTCTTCAGTCCACGAGAACAAATTTCCCCAGCCATGCCTCGTGCTTTTCTTTTCTTCGCCCAATCCGTATCCCTCTCCCCCGCCCGGACCATATATCTCCTCTTCTCCCCGCTTGCGCAACCTCTTTCCTCACCGTTATCGCTCCTTGATATTGTCCCTTCACCGTGAAACCCATCGGTGCGCTCCCTCTCCTCCCATCCCTCATGAAGTCCGCAACGGGCACCCGTAAGCCCTACAACGGGCAGACGCGAAGCCTTGCACTCGCACTCGACATAGGGACGACATTCAGCGGCGTTTCATACGCGATTCTAGAACCCGGCGAGGTTCCCAAGATTCATGGCGTTACTCGGTACGTGCCTCCACTCATGAACGTGTTTCGATGACTTCATATTCGTGTAGGTTCCCCGGACAGGAACATGTTGCCGGAAACTCTAAGATTCCATCAATAATGTACTATGACCGACAAGGCAAGATGGTTGCGGCGGGCGCAGAAGCAGAAAGTTCGACGATCGTCGCAGAGGCGGAAGATGAAGGCTGGATCAAGGCCGAGCTGTGAGTCACAGCATTGGCCACCTGTGAGTGTTGCTGACGTACCGCAGCTTCAAACTGCGTCTCCGGCCAAAGGCCATGAAACTCAAAATGAATGGGATGCGACTTGCTCCGCTCCCGCAAGGGAAGACCGCGGTGGACGTCTTTGGCGATTTCCTCGCGTACCTCTTCCGCTGCACGCGTTCTTTCATCGTCGACACTCACGCAAACGGACCAACGCTCTGGCGTGCGGTCGAGAACGACATCCAGTTTGTGCTCAGCCATCCGAATGGCTGGGAAGGCGCGCAGCAGACAAAGATGCGCAGGGCCGCAGTGTATGGTGGGCTGATTCCGGACACGGACGAGGGCAAGTCCCGGATACGATTTGTGACAGAGGGGGAAGCGAGTTTGCATGCGTGTGTCTTGAACGGGCTGGCGGCAGATGTGCTCCAGGTGCGTATTGGCTAGAGCATGTCCATTTGAAATGGATATCGATCAAACATTGCAGAATCCTTCGGGTCATGGGTTCATCGTGGCAGATGCAGGAGGCGGAACGCTCGATATCAGTTCCTACGCGATACGCGGCACGGCACCCCTTGTCATCGAGGAGATTGCACCACCAGATTGTACGTACCCCGGTCGCAGCTCACGAAGCCTCGATATCTGATATCTGCCTAGGTGTCTTTGCTGGATCCGTGTTTGTGAGCAGAAGGGCGCGGGCGTTCTTTGGAGGTCCGTGCTCTCGTGATGCTCTCCCACTAGCGCTGTGGGCTGACTTCCGTTGTACAGAGAAGCTCAAAGCATCCAAGTACGGCACCCCGGATTCGCTAGACCACATCACGAAGCGGTTCGATGAGACAACCAAACGATTGTTCCGTGACAACAAGGAGCTACAATTTGTGCCCTTTGGCTCTCCACTGGACAAGGATATGACCGCTGGTATTCGCGGCGGCCAGCTTAAGTTGACAGGGTACGGGGTTCTAGCGCAATAATCTGCTGACGGGAGGAGCTGAACATGTGTTCCAGTGCTGAGGTGGCCGCGCTGTTTGAGCCCTCAATAGAGGCGGCGATTGGATCCATAAAGGCGCAAATTGACGCGTCGGGCGGAGCTGTTAAGGTGATCTCGATCGATCGATTATGGCGAACGCGAGGGTCTGACTAGGAGTCTGCCCCCCCCTTACAGTCAGTGTGGCTTGTCGGCGGATTCGCAGCCAGTCCATGGCTATTCAGCCAATTGCAAGAGATGTTGTTGCCGTTCCATGTCACAGTCAGCCGGCCGGATACCCAAACGTATGTCCACCATCGTTCCAAGGTTGTATTTAGTCTGACCCATGTTTCCAGCTCGAAGGCAGTCGCAGATGGCGCAATTGGTTTCTACTGTGACCACCACGTTTCTGCGCGGATGTCCAAATTCATGTATGGTGTCGAGTACCTCCGGGAATACGACTCCAACGACGAAGAGCACGTCTCGAGACAGCACAGGCTATTCGAGCTGCCATCAGGTCCGAAGCTACTTCCAGACGCATTTGATTGCATTCTCTCACGAGTGGGTGTCTATCTTCATTCGTCCGTCACATGCCGATTTACGGAAATGGGATAGGGTGTGAAGGTGAAGGAGTCGACCGTCTTTAGCCGCAAGTATTGTACCGAGGTGACAAACTTGACAACGCTATCAGTCTTTGAGGTCGAAATTTGGTGCTATCGCGGCGGTGATACCATACCTAAGTGGATTCTCAGAGGTGCAGGTGCGTATTTCGAAGATGAAATGTGTCCACTCGCGAATCTGACTTGTGACGGAATCGGGACAAACAGAGAACTTCTCCACCTTGTGCTATGTACGTGCCGACCTGTCTCCGCTCGCCGGAAGTGCACAATCGAAGCATGGCAGGAATGGGAAAACATACTGGACCATCGTATTCAGCATTGAGATTCACTTTGGCTTGACCGAGTTCAAGGCTCGCATCAAATGGACAGACAACGTGGGTGGCCTCATGAATCGTATTTCCATTCAGCTGACATTGCCCGGTATCGTCCCATCGTCAGAATCGGACTAGATAGTGTGTATTATCCACCGGTCCAAAGTACGATGTCATGCTAATGGAGTTCCTTATAGCGGCCCCGCGTCCATCGTGTACAATGAGAGTGGACATCGTGCTGATGAGGAGGAGCCCGACGAATCTCCTGACGATAACATAACCGTTGTTTCGTCGCAGTCGGAAGTTCCTTCAGCTGTCCCATCGAACAAGACTTCTCGGGCGCCCTCCCGTGACCCCGTTCCAGCCAGGTCGAGAAGCACATTGTCTACTCAAGCCTCACCGAAACTCCCTCATCCTGAACCTCGCCCAGAGCACTCGCGCTCAGCATCGATACGTAGTTCCTCGCGGTCTGAGGCGCGGGTGGACAAGGGTAAGGAACGGGAGGTTGCGCCCGCGATGCGAGAGACCGACCGATCGCTCAACGTCTCGGGTCGTTCGATCGACTCTACGAGGAGCGGCAACACCAGGCTCGGAGAGACACTCTCATCTGTGTGGGGTACCGCGTCGAAGCAACAGACACCGCTCGCCTCGCCTTTGGTGGAGACCGCGAGGTCGAGTCTGGCGACACCGAGAGACGAGACAGCCGTGCCTACAGCTAGAGAGATGTCGAAGGCTACAACGCCGAAAGAAGTATCGAAAGCTCCGACGCCGAAGGAATTGTCGAGGGCGCCCACGGCGAGAGAATCGCGGATTCCTACACCCAAAGAATTATCCAAGGTCCCAACGCCTGTGGAAACATCTGTAGCTGTTACGCCGAAGGTCTCGCAACCTCCCACTCCAAAGGAGATCTCGAAGCCGCCTACTCCCGTGGAAGTCTCCCATGCCTCGTCACCGAGAGTGCTCTCTAAGGCCCCGACGCCACAGGAAGTTTCAAAGGCACCTACACCCAAAGAGACTTCGAAACCACCCACGCCGAAAGCTTCGAGAGTACCCACGCCGAAAGCAGCCTCCAAGGTTCCAACGCCCAAGGCGACATCGAAAGCGCCTACACCCAAGGTAGCGTCCAAAGTTGCCACGCCCCAAGTGGACCCAGAGCCTTTGGCAGAGTCCATCCCTCCAACCCCTGCAGTGGAAAGCAGTCCTGGCTCCTGGCCGGAATGGACTGCGCCTGATGGCATCGAGAACGCCGTTGTGCCTCCTCCCCCGTCGTGGAACCTACCTGAAACTGTTCCTGAAGAGCCCCCGCAACCGGCCGAAGAGCCCGCACCCGCAGAGTCCAACCCCGAGTCGAACTCACAGTTTGGAAACTGGAACGCGGGCTCGAACGACCTGGGCTTGTGGGGCGAGTCACCCACCAACACCCAACCCAGCGCAAGCTCGGCGGGTCTCCAGGACCTCCTGGCATCTCCCAATCCTGATACCACGTCATCCTCAGGGCTGTTTTCGAGCGGCTGGGGAGGGTGGGGCTCCAAACCCAGTATCGGCTTTGGTACTTCGAAGTCCACGTTTGGAGCAGGCTTGCTTGGAGGTGTGGGAAGCGCGCTTTTCTCGGGTGGAGGTGGCTTTGTGAACGCAGACGCAGAAAGGGACGCAGAGAAGAAGAAGGCTGAGGAAGAGGCTGCCGCCGCCATTCGTAAGGCGGAGGAGGATGCTGCTGCCGCTCGTAAAGCTGAAGAGGATGCTGCTGCCGCTCGTAAAGCTGAAGAGGATGCTGCCGCCGCTCGTAAAGTTGAAGAGGAAACAGCTGCCGCTGCTGATGCCGCTCGACAAGAAGAGGAAGCCGCTGTTGCCGCTGTAGCAGCACAAAAAGCAGACGAAGACGCCGCCGCCGTTCAAAGGGTCGCGGACGATGATGCTGCTGCCGCTGCCGCCGAGACTCAAAGAGCAGAAGAGGAGGCCGCCACTGCTGCTGAAGCTAAGAAAGTTGAAGAGGCTGCTGCTCAGAAAACGCAAGAAGAGGCCGACGCCGCTCAGAAAGCGGGGGAAGATGCCGCTGCTGCTGCTACTGCCGCGAAAGAGGCGGAAGCGGTTACAGAAACAAACGATGCTGTCGAGGAAGCGGCAACGAGTGCAGAGCAAACGATGGAGGCGGACGCTCCATCCGCTGAGACGCCGGCGGATGAAACACTTGCAACTCAAACTCCGAATGCAGAGAACGAACAAGGAACGGCAGGTGCAGATGGCGCAAACACTACTGAGGACGCGCCCGATGGCAACCAACAGAACGGAGATGAGGAAGTTCAGCTTGATGAGGAAGTCAAAGAGGAAGACGAGTGGGCAGCAACAGGTAAGAAGAACAAGAAAAAGAAGGGCAAGGCTACCGGCGGTGGTGAAAGTAGTACACCGGCTGATACAGCTCCTGCCATTAATTCACGCACAAACTCTAAACAATCTGGTAGCAAGGCAGGAAAGAAGGGTAAGAAGAAGTAGTGGCGGAGAACTCAGTCGCCTCATATTCTCATTGGTGCTCGCTTCACGTCAATTTATCTATGATCTATGTCCTTATGCTTACTTACCGTATACCCGTATATCTTGTTGTACTGGATCGATTACTTCGGATTAATAGGAGGAATTCTGTATTCAAGTCATAAGAAAGGGATGCTCGCATTCATCATCCGGTGTTACAAGCCGTTTAATAAACGGCTACCAGCTTCAGGCTACTACTTAGAGTACTTTAGTGTCACCGGATCCAGGGATTCCACTAAATAATCTTATCGAGCTGCTGGTTGCGTGTGGCTTATCCGACCATTACTGACTCCCAGGATTGATCTTTGCCCTGCAAGCCCATGGGATCCGTAGTGAATGGCCAGGTAGATCTGATATTCTTGATGCATGCAATTCCACTTGCAGCATCATGTCCAGATGTCAGTCAATGTTGAAAAATCCAACAGAAGAGGTAAAGGCATACCGTGAGGTGATGGCGTCTCGTCGGAGGGAATGATAGATATACTTGAACAATTCTAACCATGCATTCCACCAAAGCCGTCATCCCCGCTCATCCCTCTCGTCAAACGTCTCCGTGGATCCGGCGAACCCATGCCCATGCCCATGCCCATTCCCATGTTCATACCATCTGCACCCGGTATGCCCATGCCCATGCCACCCATTCCCATATTTCCCGGCACGTTCATCCCCATTCCTCCCATCCCCATCCCTGCGTTGCCCATTCGCATTGGGGAGTCCGCCGCCTGACTGCCACCATAAAATTGAGTAGGCGGTATGGGGTTCATCCCCATCCCCATGTTCGCGTTCATGTTCATGCCCCCAAAGCCCATCCCTTGACCGCCCATACCCTGGCCTGACATCCCTTGACCGCCTAAGGCCTGCGCGGAGAAGGGGTGTCGTGGAGAAGCCATGTTCGGCTGAGCGCCCCCGGGGAAAAGCTGGGACTGGCTATGCAGGTGATGTGGGGTGTGCATGGCAGGATGGGGCATATTATGTGCACGATGAGATTGTGTTTTCGGGGTGCTTGGTACGTCTTGTCTGTCGTTTGCGGCATTTCTCGCTGACAAGCCGTCTTCACCATCGGCAGCTGGTCGACCATCTTTTTGATATTCAAGAAGTGGAGTGGGATCGTAATACAGGTCTGAATATTCTTCTACCAGAAACCTGGAGAGTCGCGTGTGAGCTCACAACGCCAGTTAGTTGAACTGAGTCACATACTGTTGTGTACCGATATCCCACTGTGGGCCCCGATCGGCGCGGGCGGTTAACAGAAGGGAGTTCCATTCGGACGCGCTTTCCTGTATGTAAGATATGAGACTTTAGGTATCTCCCAGCAGGAAATGCTCACGATAGCTTGAGCAAGTGCGCTCGATGAGTCGTAGGCGGTTTGGCGAATATCGACGCGCACTCGATCTGCGCGAGCGAAGGCCTCGACTTGTGCAGTCACAGCAGGGCCAAGGCGTTGAGAGTTGTGTCTAGGAACCTTGACTTTGATGTTACGGACTGGCTTTCTGGTTGGAGACATCTCCACTCTTGGCCTTGCTGAAGGCGGTGGCGTGCTGCGAACGATGATGTCCAAAACAGGCAAGCCTCTGCTGGGAGAGCACGTGCCCGTGTTATCCCCACGCGACTAGCCCCGCGATAATACGCGTCTTATGCCGCTCATCTCTTTGCTTTGCCCTATTGGATCTTCCTTTGGGTCTTCTTTGCGTATTGGGACTCTGGCAGTGCTTGAATACTTGTTCGCCCACTTGGAGTTGGGCGGTCAATGATGATGTCTCGAAGGGCTCCTACCCCACTGCGCTCGACGCCTTCGTCTGCGCCTCTCGAGGGTATGATCCAGAAGCAGCAAGCTCACATCGAGGATCTTGTCCACCAGAACCGCAAATTAGAAGAAACTATTACTCATTTGAAGAAGAACGTTGCTGAAGAGGAGGGCCGTGGCAAGGAAGCTGTCGCGGCTATGCATTTGCGATGGAAGCAAGAGCGCTCCGAGTGGCAGGTGGGTTGCGACGCCCTCCAGGCAGCCCACCGTCTTGCGCACCTGCGGACTGCTGCGGAGCTCGACCATGAACGTGCCGTGGTTGTTCTGGAGCGCGCAGAGACGGGGCGGGAGCGCCTCGCTCGGCTGCAGCGCGACTACCGTCTCGTCGCTTTCCAGCGGCGAGAGGTCGAACTGGAATCCCGCATTTGCCAGCTTGAGCGTGAAGCGGAGGATCTTCGTGCCCAGCATGCAGAACAGTCTCAGGGACTGAGCGAGGAGTTTGAGAACAAGGCGCATGGTTTAGAGGCACAATGCGCGGACCTCTTGGAACAGCTACGCGACAAGGCGATAGAGATCCACAGTACAATGAAAGACAAGGAGGCAGTAGAGGTACGTCCACACTCGCACTTCCAACGCATTCTGCCCAGATGTGAACGCCAGACGCTGTGCCGCTTCCTATTGCTGTGGCTGCACTGCAGGATGCACTTGCCAAGCTGCGAGCGGAGCACACCGCCCTCGTCGCATCGTCCAGCACCACCGCCACAAAACTTGAACGCACTGCATTGCATTTGGATGGACTCAAATCATCCTTCTCAGAGCTGGAGGCGAAACATTCAGAAGCCGAGCGTACTGTGGCCGAACTCCGCAGGCAGCTAGAGAAATGGCGCAACTTGGAGAATCGTGAGGGTGCAGAAATAGAGACACTACGACGACAGCGCATCGAACTCGAAGTGCGGGTGAAGGAAGCTGAGACTCGGGCAGAGGAAGCTGCAGCGAAAGCCACAGACAGAGAAGAAATAGCTGAAAAAGCGAAAAAGAAGACAGAAAAATATAAGGCTGCGCTGGATGAGTACAGAGTGAGTCTTCCGTGTTGCGTCCTCTAATCGTGACACGGTGTGGGTTTAGTTGTGCGCTGCCTGTAATTGTGGATACTTATACTACACTGGCAGAAAGCGATCGAAGAGGCTCAAGATGCTGCCGAACGCGCTGAAGCTGAGGTCGATGAGTGGAAGGATCGGTTGGCCAAAGCTGAGGAGGAGGTCGATGCCCTCAAAGCGCAAATGAAAGCGAGCGAAGGTGAACAAGGTGATTCCACCGGACAGCTCGCAAAAGCGGAAGAAGAGATTGTGTCACTTAAAGCTCAACTGCAGGCTGAGAAGGAGAAATATGCACAAACTCGAGCATCGGAGGAACGGCTCGAGCAGGTAAGACCTAGTCAATCTTCTGTAGACTATATTTCAGTGGCTGAACCTACTCGTGCAGTCTCACGTGCGAAGACCTGCCAACAAGCTTCGTATGGATCCTGTGTCAGATGTCGAGGAAGTGGTCATATCTGCATCCTACTCAACCTCGAGGTCTCCGCAACGGAAAACAACGGAGCCTTCGTTTTCTAAGACAGCGACGGGTTCGAAAGCGCCGACAAAGAACATAGCACATGATGAGATCTCTGATGTTGAAGAGATTGTTGAGGTGGAGAAACTAACTTCCGGGCGTGCGGAGCGAGCAGCAGCGTCTCCCAAACTCGCCAAACGACCAAAAGAAAAGAATAAGCTTAAGTCAACCGAGGAGCAATCTGGTCGTGGCCGGGCGAAGCAAAAGGAGGCACCGTCATCGACTAGCGAGGCGGAAATTGTCGAGCCCGAGCCAAGACCAAAGCCCAAGCCCAAGGCGGACAGAAAAGGAAAACGCAAAGCCGATGTACTCGAAGATGAGCCCGTTGAGAAACGGCCAGCGCCGAAAAAGTCCCGTAAACAGGTAGTGCCGGAAGAGGAGGAAGGGAGTGACGGGAAAGGAGGCGCCAATGGTGCCGAAGGGAGCGAGCGAGACGAAGGACCCCTTCGGAAGACGAAACCGAAGTCTAAAGAGAAGTCTACGCATGGGGTAGTCTCGGGCTCAAAATCGCCGCCGAAACCAAAGAACAAACGACCACAGGCACAGGCCAAAAAGGGTGTATCTGACCAGGCACCCTTACAAGGGAACTCAGACAACGAACAAGCGACGCCAAAGAAGAAAAAGCGGAAGATCAATCTATTCCCCACTGCCCAGCCGACGTCTTTTGCTTGGGACCAGCTAGCGCAGGTGTGTAACAAGGTGAACGCGTGTTGTTTTCCAGACTGACTGAATGTGTTTAGACTGACGGTGGGCTGAATATACCGACGGAGCTGTCACCCGTGAAAGAGCCAGAAGGGACTGTATCGGGCACCATGTTGGGGAGGACAGGGAGCGGGTTTGGGAGTTTCGGGAGTCGACGGTGAGGGTTTCGTCGATCTTATGAGTGAATTGTATCATCAGTGTGTCGCATCTGTGGGTGTATTCTTGATTTTCATGCAAGTGTTTTGGCTTGTCTTGGACTTGTGTGGCACACAGAGCGGGCGATTGAAATCTGGGATATATTCTGGTGCCGTGGCGAGGTATTTCGAGCACCGAAATAGCTCCTGGTTTCTGAACGAGCCAGTGCAACTTTCCACTGGCCCGGATGTTTCATAAAGAGAAGGGTAGGTCGATTCTTGTAGCTAGCAACGGAGAGCGGCGAATGTGAGTGATTATTTTAATATGTTCGTATCAAGCTGCAGACGTGTTGGTTTCTAGACTAGAGGAGGGCGTGAATCCAATACCGAAGACATGGAGGTAGCAGCATACATGAAAGGGCACCGATGATCACTGGGCAGAAGGAAAATGAACTGATCGAGAAGCAGCCACTGGCCACTGCCGAACCAAGGACAGTACTTAAGCTCTCCACCTCTCTTCAACTTCCTTCCCTACTCCCATTCGTCCCGACCACAATCCATGTCGTGCAGTCTTTGTCGCTTGCCGTTCACTGCCACTCCCCGCTCGCAGAACCTGCGTCCTCTCCCACCGGGCACGCTCACAGAGAAGCAGTACAACTACCTGCAGTGGGGCTTCGTCCTTGGACGAAATGTTCCTGGAGGATGCCTCATTATGGAGTACTTCCGTGGGCCTCATCTCAATTTTCTATTATATTTTTCCTCAACTCGCGTCCATAGAGACGGGAACATTTGGAAACCGCCCCCAAATCCCTTTGATTATCAATGTCGCTTGGGAATCGGAGGCAGGAACTGTGCGCGTACCTCTCACTTTCCTAGCTGTTAGATTCTGACAAACGCCGTAGATCGTCGCTCTTCATACGGTCTGCGCCACCATTTTGCGGGAGATGTTTGAGGCTACAGATTTATCGTTCAAGTCTATCATCCAGTTGTGCTTGATCGAGCAGGTCTTGGGACCCACACAACGTGGACCTAACGCTGGACGATTCAAGGATTTCGACTACGAAGCTGTCGGCCAGGACAAAGTTGATACGCGTCCATTTTGGAAGCTCAATGCTAAGACCGAAATGTATGAATTCGATTGGGCTACGTTCAAAGCATGCGGCCTTGATTGGACGTTGTCTAGGCCCGATGTGTATGTTCTTTTCTTTTCTGCATTACTGTCGCCACTTATCCTAGTGCAATTTAGCTTCCCTCGCTTTCACTCAAATGTATCCCCCCAGCGCCTCGTTTTAGCCTTCGATGCTAGCACTCAGGAAAGTGTTTTGACCCGGCAGCCATTCGACATCCTACACCTTCTACTTCCCTACTTCACCAACAAATCTTTCGTGGCCCTGCTCTCTACATGCCGCTTCTTCCGCTACCATGCACTCACGACTTTCCAACCGCAAGCACGTACTCGTGTCCTTGGCCTCGGATGGGCCGTCCCTCTCCCAGCAGAATACGCGGAAGCGTGTCGGTCCCTCCTATACAAGCATGAGCATAAGGTCGCAGCTGCGACCTCCATCCCTATGGCTCACCCGGAACATTCGTCCATGCACGGTGACTGGTTCCTTTACCTCTCCCAAGTGCACCGCATGCCTGCCTTGCGTGCGCGCCGCCGCATCTGGGATCTGTCCGCCGCGATCCGGCGTGAATATACCACGCGTCATGCCTGTAGTGAGTACGCTGATATTCGAAATGCGGATGGAACCACTGTCAAGTCCAAAGCGCGAAAATATCTGGAGGAGTTCATGGGGCAGATGTACATGATGACTAGTCTTCTGAATAAGTCCTAAGGTATGATGCGTCGATAACTCAAGTACTCGCGACCTACATCCTGCAGGCTATATGCACATGATGAATAAGAGAGCTTCGCGTCGTAATACGTATGCATTAATTCCTTGTACTTGTATCTGACGTCTGTCCAAGTTCCCCCACCAAACACTGTGTCAAATATGTACATCTTTGCCTTTTGTTGTACCCATCTCGTAGAATTTTTGTAACGTTCGATGATTTCCAGATTCAATTTGACCCCGATTATGATTGAACTGACGTTTGGAGTAATAGTACATTGAGCACAGCCTGTCACAGCAGAGATGTATCGCGGTCAGCGAGAGCGAGATTAAACGGCGAGAAGACAGGTGAAACAGGTATACGGAGCAGATAGCAATATATAGTAGACGTAAAAAAAACTGCTTAACTACCAGCCAGAGGAACGATAAGTAAGGTGTAAACGAGAGATGAAGAGGGTAATGTCGTTACATGTCGTCAAGATAGCCATTGTTGTAAATCACGTCCTCCTATGACTCCACGTAACCCTCTGGATATGGCAGGGGGATCTCTCCCATCTGCTCTCCATGTACGCGTAACCGATAGAGGCATGTGAAGTCATCCCTGCCCCAGTTGTTCTTGATCAGGAGTACCACAACGCCGAAGTCGATACCCAGTTCCCGAGTATCATCTGAGACGGGGAAAGTCTGGATATGTTGTGGCGCATGGATGTTGTACGTGAAGTTCGCCAACTGAATATACTCTGGCGTCCGCGGCAGCATCGGAGGATATACCGGCTCTGGAGTCTCAACGTAGGGCACGCCCGCAAGTTCCGCCTCGTCACGCGCCCTCGCTTGCCGCACATCACGTTCTGCTCGCCATTCAGCAAGACGAACAATGTTGTCCTTGCCCTCGACCAGGCCCCATAATTCCATCTGCCTTGGAGCTGAACGCATATCCGTGGCAACTTCTTTGGCGACATGGTCGATCGTTACATCAGAGATGAATGTTGGCGCAGCGAGCGCGACGCCCAGCTGTCCACTGGCACCAGGGAATGGCCAACAATGGCCATTATGAATCTCGTGGTGAAGAGCGGTTACCGGTGGCCGGCCAATTGCTGCACCATTATTCCCAGTAATGAAACCAAGAACGTGCTGCCTCCAGTTCGACGCCGGGATTTCGTATGTCTCGCTCGTGAGCGAGGGAATGACCTGGGCACCACTGGAGTAGAGGGCATAATCGGGGCGGGCGAGCGTGTCTTTCGATAGCAGTGACACAAATGTTTGGACAATGTCATAAATGAGCGATGTGACATCCTGCCCATCAGTCGACTTGATTACGACTGATGCACCTCCCTTGCCGGAAGCCAGTTTATTCCACCACGCTGCTGCAATACCAGTGGATCCGCCAACCTTGGCGGCATTCTTGCCCAGTTCGAGAGCTTCCTTGACATCGTGCTCTGCGCTTCCGAGACGCTTCTCCAATGTTAGTAGCTTCGCCCGGGCCTCCTCGTCGCTAGTTAACATTGGGCCATTCTGCGATTCAGTCTGCTTATTTGCTTGGATTTGCGTGTTCAATAAATTAACCTCTTGTTTCAATGTCTGTAGCGCGATGCTGGTTGATGTTCTGTACTTTGTCTCCATATCTATGGCACGCAGGCTCTCTTTGTGAACCTCAGACTCTAGAGTGACCATACGATTAGTCAGTTCGCTGCGACTACCTTCGTCCCGCGACCGCAACCGCTCGTTATCCAAAGAGAACTTCGCAAGAGCAGATTCCAAACGCTGTAATCGATCCGAAAGATCACCAAGGTTGGAGACGGGAATGTCAGGTGGTTGGTATGGCGTATGAGAAGGTAGTCGTCGTGATGAAAGCACAGAGAGATCTAGCCACCCATGGTTAAGTGCATGCCATGCTGAGTAAATTGTGAGGCCGACAACCACATATTTGGCCAAAGGCGCGGGGTCTATGCTTGATATTAACTGCGCAGGTCGATTGATGAACACGTCGATAGTGAGTCCAATAATTTTGCCGCATAGTCGTGCGATGAAGGCCAAACAACCCAGTATAAGGCGGACAATAGCCCATCCCAAACGGAAAAGGCCATTTACACCTCTACCTAGTGACGCTCCAATGGAAAATGACGATCTGCGCATCACTGGATCGATACCATCGATGACCAGGTCCTCGTCAATCTCTTCTATTGGCTGCAATGACTCCACGTCCATTGGTCTGTCGTAGTCGGTCACATCCCCTGGTGAAGAAATAGGTTCTTGAGAGACGGCACGCGAATGCGGCCGTGAGGACGGTTGCGATCTTCGCCCGAGCGAAGACGGACGCACAGCTGGCGTAGTGCCGCGCTGTGATCGCTGACGCAATGTTTCTATCAGGTCGGCGATGCGTCACACGACGGTATATGCGCACCTGTTCGCCTGCGGCCTCCTGCTCTTGCTCCTGCTCCTGCTCGCTACTGCTCTCTTCTTCATCATCGTCTTCCGCGCCGTTCGTCTTCCCGTTCGCTCTCCTTCGTTTCTTCCTCTTATCATATCCAGCCACAGGAAGCGTCGTCAAAGGACCTCCGGCAGCACCACTCTTCTTCTTTTTCCTGCGTGTGCGCTTCCCATCGTGAATTTCGAAGTCTTCGTCGGACTCCTCCAGGTCAGACATGGTCGGCCTATACGCCTTGTTGTCCATGGACATACGATTGCGCTTATGCGCTGCCGTATTTCGCCTCGGCTGGGGTTTTTGCGCAGCGGATGTAGCTGCTAAGTATTCCCGCTCCTCAGCCGAGTAGTCGTAACTCGAGCTCTCGTTCAGTACGCTGTTACCATTAAGTTGTGACTGGCTCGTATCTGGCTCCACCGATCGTTGTCGCATCAGAAACGAGACTGGCATGATACGTCTCGAGACCTCTACGATCTGCTCGAATGGACTCTTACCGCGCCTGGCCCCGCCGGAAGGCTCATCTTCGCCCTCCGAATCCGGCACCACATGTCGCATTGATGCGGACTTGGACACGGGTCTCGTTGCGCGGTTGGCCGTATTCCGGTTCGGTGGTGGAGCGAGACGACGATTGGCAGTAGATTGGGTTTCCTTCTCGTACTCCACAGATGTACTCCGGGGTACGGTCTGCCTGTAGGCACCAGACACCCAGGCATCGTTCGGGTTGGGAGGCATGACAGTGTGGTCGTCTGCAGAGGTGACCGCTTGATGGAACGCACTGGCAATATTGACAGAGGTGTCTTTGACACTCCACTTCTCGGGGTGAGGAGAGACGTGGGGTTGTTGTGCGGCCACAGGTGCGCCGGAATGGGGCAGCTGGGCCTGCTCGTGTTGCTTGAGTCGCGCGAAGCGGACGAGGGCGGGCTCGTATTGGTCGTCGGAGTGCTCACCCTCTGGGGGCGCTGACTTACCCGGCTTTGGAGGAGATTGCGTGCTGAGTGAAGGGGCTCTAATCTGATGTCAGGCGCAGCCCATGTAAACAATCTGTGAGCAAGCACACACCCGTACGCGTAGGATGCTGGTATTGCACGACGAGGCGGGGAATGGGGAGCGCGACTATCCCTTGGATTCGGCTTGTTAAGAAACGTGTGGTGATCGAGACGTCTGCCTTGACCTAAAGGCGTGCTCGAGAATGACATGTACTTGGAGAATACACTTCAATCCGCACGAGGTGGCTATAGCAGTAGCTGGTGACCAGCAGGTGGATGTGAGGTTGGACTATCAGTCTGATGAGATAGGTGCTTTCGCGCAGCAATAGATGATTTTTGGCAGAGTAGCCTCGCGGACAGCGCGTGTAACAGAGAAGTGAGGTTAAAGTGAGGATTGTGGATGGTTCGCGCGCGGTGGTCACGCTGCAGTCGCGCTGCTATTGTTTGTTCTTATTTGTACATGCCACATGTGGCACAATGAGCCAAGCAACCTTGTTCAGCTGTCAGGGTGGTGACCTAGCCGTATAGCACAACGGCCATAACTGCTGTACAATATCTACATCGTGCTCTATTTATCTTTAGATACCCTTTGGTCCTCATTGAATAGGCACAAGTTCAGATCCCAGCAAATTTGTCGGTAGCCTGCATAGGAATCAAGTTCAGTGTTCCAGCAAAATCACGATGCTTGCTCACCGCCACGAGTAACTTAGCAGTTCCCGGCTCTCTCGCTGAGTGTCCTGCGTCAGGGACTATATGAAGTGTGATCTCCGGCCAGACCTGGATTCGATGCTTAGATTACTATAGATGATTTACTTGAACCGCCTACCTGCTTGAGATCATAAGCGGTAGTCGCCTACAGGACAACATAGTGAGAACACATTTCCTTCGGAGATGAATACACGCACCGGACAAACTACGTCGTAACGCCCTTGCACAACGATGCATGGAATGTGGCGACTGTGCGACAAAAGTTTCAGTAAATCCCGAAGATGATTAGAGACACGGAGATGTACATCTTATCGATCTCCTGCTTCTCGAGCAATTGACCGTCTCTCATGAAGCCCTGGCGTCAATGAGCGTTCATCGTCCGGCACAAGTTCGCTGAACGTCGCAAAACACTTACGTCGTTGACGAAGTAGTGGTTTTCTATGCGAGCAAAGGCGCTACATAGAATGCTAATTAGCGAACACCTTGAACCGATACATATGTCAGCTTACTTTGCCCAGCGGTCGTTCTCCACTTGAGCGATCTGCGCGGGATCGACATACAACTTTGAGGTTGCCATCCTGGTGAATGTGTCAATACCCGATTGACACATACATGTACAATCACTCACTCCCACTTGGACCAGGCCTTCGCCGCCCTCAGGCGCGTCTCTTCATCGGCAGAATTCAACTGTGCATGATAAGCCGTGACCATGTCATGGCGTTCAGCTTCTGGGATCGGCTCCAGATACTCCTGCCTACCCACACATGCGTATGATCATGTCATTAACTGGCCAAGTAAATACAAGGGGACAAACCATGCGTCTGGAAAGAGGTGCGATGTGCCATCTTGGTAGAAGAAGCGAAGCTCACTATAGTCGTTGTCAAAAGGCCAGGGCCCATAGATAGATGTGCCTGTACCTCTTGCGCAGAGTGAAAATCCCTCTGTCGGGTTTACAAAAATCAGCCGATGAGAATGTAATTTGGAAATAAGGGAAACCGACCGGAGAATCATGGTCTTGACTCGATCTGGGTGAGACTGCATGCATGCATTCACACGCTGTTAGCTTCTCCACTGCTGTCACAAGGGACAGACCTGTGCATATGTCAGCGCTAGGGTAGATCCCTGGTCGAGCCGTCAGCAATTGTATTCTATTTAAGGATGATTGGGCATACCCAGGAGCCACCAAAAACGTGCCACTTATCGATGCCAAGGTGTTGGCGGATTTTCTCGATATCCTTGACGAGGTCCCAGGTGGTGTTCTCCTCCAAGGATGCCGTCCTTGCAAGAAATCAGGACTGGAATTAAATAACACTGAAAAGAGATGTATGTACGGAGTGGATTTTCCCGAAGCGCGCTGATCAAAGAGAACGATCTGGGCACGCGTTAAGATATTTGGATAACGAAGTAGGTCACGCTAAGCGCACCTTGTACTTGGCCGGGTTGAAGTAACAACGATCCTTAGCATCTGTACCATTTCCAGGACCGCCTGATAAATTCGCATGAAATTGGTGATCACAGAACTGCGGGAGCCGAATCTGCAAATTGTACGCACCATGGAGAAAGACAACTATTGGATGGTTAGTGCATCCAAGGTGTGGACAGTCAGTCAATTAGATAGAGTACCTGGTGTTCCCTCTTTGTTTCCGCTCACTTCGTAGCTAGATGTAGAGCACTGTGTTATCTAGCACGAATGAACGGTATATAATACGCACTAGAGCGTGTGTATGTCGGACACTTTCAGCATCCCAGTTTCATACGGCTGGATAGGGGGGTACATGGCGTATGATAGCTGAGAGTAGGTGCGAGTCGGATGGGGGGAAAACAGTCGTGCAGATATTGGCCGAAGATGAGGGACTCGGAGTAGAAAGCGCGAAAATAGCGGATTCCGAGTGAAGCAGCCTGCTTTGTACCTGACTCGAAGGGCACCTGAGATCATGGATCCCATTACACCTTCCATTTTTGGCATGTGGGGCTTACTGCTAGTCAGGTGATCATTGCACGCTAATTGGCCTCGATCGCACTGTGGCAGTTGGTCCGAGTCGTCACAGCTTTGTCGTCGTCCTTTGTTCCTTCCAGTGCCACAAGACGGCCTGCGCTCCACTCAGTCTGAGAGCTGCCAATCACCAGTAGCCACAGCGCACGTTTGTATTTATATCAATGCTCCTCGCGAAGACGAATGTATATCATCTCTCAACAACTTCCGTCTTCCAAGTGGATCCGGACTCCGGAACGGTGCCCACACACTAATCTAGTGATATCGTTTTGTTCTTGGACTCTCAGGACGCTATGAACAAAGAGCTTGGTACCCTCGTTGTCGTCGTTCTCAAAGCCAAGAATCTTCCCGATAAACACCTCATATACAAGCAGGACGTCTTCGCACAAGCCACCATCCACGGTAAGACCAAGAAAACAGAGGTCGACGTTAAGGGCGGCCAGCATCCCCTCTGGGATGAAGAGCTGCGTTTCCCTATCTTCAGGAGCACCTCCCAAGAGGACAGAACACTAGAGATTTCATGTTGGCGAAAGGAGCCTGGTGCCGATGAAATCATCGGAAAGGGCAAAGTGGACATCTCAGAGACGTTGCGCACGGGCGAATTTGACGGTAAATTTCTTGGCTTTCCTACATATAGCGTACTTACACCAAGTTCTGTAGATTGGGTCCAACTCGAAGTTGATCAGCTCTATCGTGGAGAAATCTATCTCGAAATGACCTACTTTGCAGCAGGTCCTGCCCCTTTGCAGCGCCGCCCCACCAAAATGCTCATTTCCGAGAGGCTGCAGCGTCAGACACAACCATATGCGTATTCGAATTTGAAGACACCGTCGAAGATTCCATCTACACCAATCTCTCCTCCACATACTCCGACAGCTCCTGCTCCTGTCAGAGCCAGCCTCGCCCCTGTGATTCAGGCTGGACAACATTTAAGTGCTCCCTCTAACCACATGTCGCCACGGGGCTCTCCCCGCAGTTCGCCTCACACCTCGCCTCGATCACGTAATGACGCTCTTCCTCCAATACCACAGGAACGTGTTGCTCCTGACAGCATTCCGGATATGCTCCGACCTGGAAACCCGAAGTCGCATGTACATTACAGTGAGAAACCACATCCGCCCGGATACGGAGCGCAGGTTCGCTTGTCATCCCCGCCTCCCCACTCACCGCATCGAACCTCGATGGTGGTGTCTCCTCAGTCTTCTCCCCCTTTCGCATATCCGGCCGCATCCAGATCTTACCCTCCTAGAGATCAACCGTCTCCGGGGTTAGGCCAGCGTGCGCATAATCTCCTCTCATCCGAGAATCCTATGCACAGCCGCTATTCTGCATCCCCTCCCCGTACACCTCCGCATGCATACGTACATGCTACAGCCTCATCACGACCTACACCACCAACTCGCGTTGACTCTTCGCAAATTGTACATCCCTTCATATACACCCACGCGCCTCCGCCTGCCATGCCCGAGGTGGAGATTACAAGCTCACCCGCTCTTACAGCGCGCTACTCCGCACCCTTGCCGCTACCCGACGAGCCGGAGGGTATGCATACGTCAACGCCGGGTCATCCCCACCTATGCCTGAGCATCTCTGAACCACGCCGGCCAGCTCCTGCTCCTCGGCATCTTGTTGTAGCCAACAGGAGAGACAGCGACGTCCAAGCAAATGACGAGGAACTGGCCAAGAAGCTAGAGGATGAAGAGAAAAGGCGCCAGCGGGAAGAGGCAGAGAGGGAGTGCGAGGACTTGGAGCTTGCGCTCAGATTGGACTTGGAGCTAAACCTCCAGCACGACGAGGAGGTGGTGAGGACAGGGACCCGGAGCCCTGCAGGATCTGCTCGCCCTAGATCTATCGAGTCACTTTCACCCACGCAGGTGCCTGGGTCATGGTAATATTCCGAGGGAACGGAAAGAATAATCATGTATAGCACCTCTGTATTACTTCCGGAGATGTACTGTCGTCAGTTTGTGTCAATGATACTTATTCCGCTAAATCAAGATCTGGTGACTAACTCAACTCATTCGAGCACGTAGAAGAGCAGTTCAAGCTTGACGTTCAGGATTGTTGGACTTGGTCGAGCAACATTTTCATGGACACAAAATGAAGCACTGGCGCAATGAATTTGGGGATATATATAGATGCAGACAGGGCTACGCTGCATTCATCCCCGGCTCATTCAAAGTCAATTCCGGGGGTCTCGTCGTCGTTTTGAGTCTCATCTCCCAGAACTTTGCTGGAACCCGGCGTCCTAATGTGATGTAGCCACACGGAGGAGCTCGCCAAGCTCTTAGAGAAAGCCCACACATTCAAATTTGATTTTTCGCAGAGCTAGCTGGCCTGTCTCATGCATGGATTGACAATCTTTGTAGAACGTTTTGGAGCCAGTCAATCGAATAATAGATGAGCGAGTCTAAGAAGTATCAAGTCGCAACGCGGGGTTATAAATAATGAACGATCGTACCTGAAGTGGGAGTGCTGCGAAAGTTTCTGGAGTGATTTGTTTAGTCACAGTCACTACTCATAGGTACCAATGTAGTACCACTGGTCCGCGATGCATGCTACATTGCTACAGCCTCTACGCGTTTGTGGCGTAGATTGTATGGTAGATCCATCCACTTGTCTTTCTTCGACTGGTTTCGTGTAGGTTTGAAGAAGAGGCTCCCCGTCTCAGGAAAGTAATTCCAAGTGACTATGTCACCCCGCAGGACGACCATTTGTACCTGACGATTCCTAGAAAACGTTGAGCAATCGTATAATACACGACGTTCTGAGACTCACAGTTGCTAATATTTAATCATGGAACGACGTTGTACGATTGTTCGCTAAGAACAAAACTTTAAGCACGATGATGAAGCGCGCGACATCTGGTACTGCAATGGCGGCGAATTCTAAGTCCGCGGCAGGTCTTTACCAATCGCAACTGGGATAACAAAAACCTAACTACTGTGAGGACTTGGATTGCAGAATATGTATATCGCAAGATATAAATCATACAGCTTTTTATATACAGGAGCTCGGTGTTGTAAGCAAAGAGCCAAGCTACCAAACATGAGCGACTGGTCCTTGAGGTATCGTTTTGGATGCAACATGTCAATACCCGGTAATGCTACTCAAAATTTGCCGTACCATGAGAGAAATAGAGACAAAGTCACAGAGAAGAACAAATAACAAGCATGTATCCAACGTAAAGCAACCTTTAATCCGAATCGTCGTCGGATTCCTCCGGCGCTCCTTCATTCTGCGCAACAGCCGCGTCGGACAAGCCAACTCTGAGAACTAAGTTGTCCCCATGGCTCTGCGCAGTGTCAAGGAGAAGCTTTCCAAGCTCCTTATTAAATTTAACGCGCTTGAATCTGATCCTCACTGCGGTCAGTTCCCCACTTTCGTACATTTTATGAAGCTCTGCCCAATACTTCTGGTGACCAGAAGCACGAATGACTGCCTCACGGACCTGGAAAACGTTTCAGTACTAGAAGTCGTTGAGTGACAGATCGAAATACCTGTGCTGGGAGCGTCATGAAAGACTCTTTATCTAACAGCTCCGTCGAAATATGAGAATATCCACCGATATAGTACCATCGGTCAGACAGCCGTACAACCAAGTCATTATACGACCTGCGAAGTTTCTTGTTTGAGCTGTCTTGCCATTTTCCTTTCTTCGTCCGCGTGCGAGTGGGCTTGATGGCGAAACCTGACTGAGGAAAATTGTCCCACACAGTCTCATTCCTGAGGACTATTGCCGTTAGGTTCTGGGTACTAGACGAATTTAGAATCGGTACTTCGTTTAGATCGTAGGTGCTTACAGTAACTGTGACATAACATGATTGATGTGAGGATGAGATCAGCTACATGCTACCTTAGGCCAGACTTCTACTAACCGGCTTCAGGATCTTGAGACGCTTTCTCGGACTTTCAGTTGCAGAGCAAATGGGGATTACATCCGCTCCTTCAATCATGGATTGAGTTATTGTCTGAGTACTTTGTACGGGAACAGATGCTTGACTTGGCACCAACGTTGCGATGATTGTAGCGATATCAGCACTCATTGCGGCATTCTGCTCCTAGTACACCGCAACAATTTCAGCCAGCGGCATTCAACTCAAACACGAAACAAGCACACCAAAATCGATTCAACGCGTTCATGAAGACGTCCGAGTTCTTGCTGGATATTAAGGACAACTTGCAGAACTGGCAAAGACGCGTTGTCTGGCAACGAGGACATCATAAAGATCGTGGTTATCCCTTGGGTTGTGTGCCAGCCTTCACACTTGCTACGAAACTTTATATGCACCATGACCATACCACGAGGCCGTCCAGAAGGCTTCGTAACTTCCTGATTTCGCTTTGGTCTGACTGCGATCTAACCTTATCCGAGAGCTAGAATAAATTGCGGTTATTGAGCATACTTCGGATCGATTCTTTCTGAGCTTAGGCCAAAGAAGGACCGAAGTTTGGGGACGACCGAACAAGAAAAGCTTGGGATTGAGGACGACAACAGTCAGCTCAGTATTTCAAATGATCTTCGACCCTATTGTGGAAATTATGGCATCGTGTACGGATGTGATGACGAGTATCCATGAAATATTCGACGAGAAAAAAAGAGACACGCGAAAATGACCTTAATCCTACTCGTCGTCGTCTTCATCGTCCGATAGTACTTCCTCTCGAGGCTGTGCGCCAGCCACGTCGAACAAACCAGTCGTAAGAGATGGGCTGTTCTCGTGGCTCGGCGCACTGTCAAGGAGATACCTTCTGACATCCTCATTGAAGCCTATACGCTTGAAACTGATCTTGGACGCCATTAACTCCCCGCGTTCATACATCGAGCGAATCTCGCGTAGATGCCTTTTGCTACCGGATAAGCCAATAACTCTATCGCGGACCTAGCCAGTCATAACAGTAAGTATAACAATTGTAGTATTAAATCAACAAGCTGACCTTCTCTTCCAGGGCCACAAAAGTCTCCACGCTAAGTGGCTCGATCGCTATGCGCGCGAATTGACCAACATAAAACCATTGACCCGAACGGATCGCTACCAGGTCGTAACGTGGTCTCCAGAGACCAGACTTCGTACAGTCATGCAAATTTCCCTTCTTTGACATCCGCCAGGCTGGCTTGATGGAAAATCCCATATGTGGGAAATCATCCCAGAAAGATTCATCTCCGAGGAGCATTGGGCGAAAATTTTTCCTATCACAGACAATAAGTCAACAAAGTATATTCGGGGGCAGTAAGAGCACGCACGCCAGCTGATACAGATTCGAAAACGGATTAGGAAGATAGAGTATAGTAAGTACAAATTAAACCTCTGGCAAAATATAGAAGGCCATACTCACTCGCTTCAGTGGTTGCAGATGTGGTATTGGTTTGACGTCTGCAGCACAAATAGGCACCATCATGCTAACGTCATAACCCACAGCCTGTGTGTTCTTCTCTGTACAAGCTGTCTTTATCTGAGCTACCTCAGCTGCTAGCGAATTGTTCTGAGCCTGCATTTATCAGTTCCAAATCAGCGTTCGATGTTCAACCTCGGAAGACTCCCGAGACTCACCTTGATCGTGTCCATTGTTTGACGAAGCCTCCCGAGTTCAAGTTGAATGTTCAAGACAGCCTGCAAGATTTGCGGGGACGCATCACTCGTTGAGTTAGACATAGATGGAAGTGGGAAAAGTCAGAATCCTCTCAGACAGGAAGAATTTTATGCTCGCTGCGAAACCTTATGTCACGACTCAATCACGAAGCTTCCCACCATGCTTCGCGAGCACGCACCTAATCGAACCTTATCCGAGTCGCAATGAGCTGCGAAGAGTGCGCCACAGCGCCACAAGACCGATAGTACATGGGGCTAGACTCACAAGTGAATATGCAAATCGTTGACGCCGCGAGAAGTACTTAATTGGGTGAGGATGGATGAGCGACCATGGCAGCTGTAAATGTCTCTCCCGAGAGCTCATATCCAAAGTTATCCGAGTCTTGAGTACGATACCGCTCTTGCGAGATCATGATGGTCACACTAGACATGATCTAGCCCTGCTCTTCGAAGGTGGGTTTGCTGAGCAGGTACTAGATAATGCTAAGTCAAGGAGGGACGCGTTCGCATGAAGAAGAAAAAAACAAGTGATAGTCTGAATGCAGACCGTTGGAGTCAGTATACGGAATACTTGCAGTGCGGCCGATTAACGAACGACTCAATGGCGCTGTGACAAGATCGGCGCCGCTGCTAGTGCGACAAGGCGGGTGGCGCGGCCAATTGTCGGCTAAAGTATCCGCCATCACTCGACGAGGCGCGACGCCCGTTCGGCCGACTCTACCATCCATCATGCGGCCATGGTGCCTTTCCTCGGGCTCCGGTGTCTCATTTGCAGCACAGCGCAAATCTTTGGGGATAAACAACTGGCCGCCCATTAGTGATCCCTAATTATTCTAGGCGCACGAACGCGACGTACTCTGGCTGCTGGTAATAGTCTTAGCTTCACCGTGACATACTCTCCGCGATCCAACTGGGCGCATGCAGAAGTCGACTCAGCCAAGGAAAGGTTGCAGATTCGACGTGAACAGTGAGGAAGCGGTATCGTCAAGGAACTACAGTGTCGTCAAGGAGTTCCTGAACGACGTCGGAACGGCTCATGGGCTATTAATATTGTCGATGTCATCATTTCGCTGGACATTTACAGTTGCAACTTGCAAGTATGCAGCCAGTTTCGAAACACCCGGGTCCCGAGCGGGTGAGTCGACCCGGTCAGATTCGGACCTTTTTCGACGCAGCTTCAGAAGTACGCCAATGTCCTGTCTGCCATAATGCGCGTCGACATGAGCGCGTGAAGCCATACAAGCTGATCAGTGGAGCTAGCAGCGAATGTCAAGACAGACTTCCTTGCTTGGAAAGTTGGACGAAAACTTGACACGAGATGGCATCGTGATGGACGCTGTTCCGAATCTCGGCCACGAAGCGAGGCTGGCGCTTGCCCCGCATTCCCCGTGGCACCTCCCTCCGGACTCGGAAACGGAGGTCGTCAGCTGAGGGTCGCGAGCTAGCGAGACGTGCCGGAATAAGGCTCACCGCGTGGAAAGTCGTCCTTGTGACATCCTCGATCTGTCGTCCACTCAGGTACGCCTGCAGCGTGCTCCATGCACCCCAACATTTTTTGATGTATTTTCAGACCCTGGGTCTGTCCTCAACCCGTCTTCTTGGCCGTATAAGTACTCCCGCGCTTCGACGACGAGCGCTGTGCTCCCACACACCGTCCTCGGCCACCGACTGCCAGCGTGTCCCTAAGCACAGCGAGACTCCGCCATGGCGCACACAGAGAAACCCGATCCGTCTGCATCCCACGTCGAAGATGCTGCCAGCATAGTCAAAGGAGATTGCCCACCATACGACAACTTTGCTGTCCTTGCAGAGGCGGCTGCCACCGAAAAAGCACTCTCGCCTCTCAAGGCTGCGCGCGTGTACTGGAAGGCGACGTTCTGGTGTCTGTTCATGTGTATGGGAGCCCTTCTGTGGGGATATGACTCGCAGGTAAGTCGTGTATCGCGTTGTTGTTGCGTCCTTCGACGACTGATCGTTCCGACGTTTCTCCTTAATGCTGTTTAGGTCGGAGGTGGCTTGCTCAGTGTTCCTTCATTCCGTCGGGACTTTGGGTTTGAATCAGGTCCGGACAATTACATTCTTGCAGCGCAATGGCAAAGCGCGTTCAACAGTATCAGTTCTGTTGGTGGGATGTTCGGTGGATTATCACTTGGTTACGTTTCTGACAAGTTTGGGTGAATACAACTCGTCTATCGCACTCGACTCGCCGTTGATTGACCCTCGTAAAGACGACGAGGCGCTGTCGCACTCTGTTGTGTTGTCTCCATTGCAGGCATTTTGATCCAATTCTTCACATACCCTCACAAGAATGCTCAGCTGCTCGTCGGTAAACTCATTAACGGCTTTTCACTTGGTATGTGATCAATAATTTAGTCACACATGATGTCATCCTCACCTTTCCCATGCAGGAATGTATGTGTCTGGTGCTAGTTCCTACTGTGCCGAGGTGTCTCCTCTGGCTCTTCGTGGTGTCACCACGTCCTCGGTGAACCTCTGGATTGATCGTGAGTTGGTCACATCTATCACGATAGATCATGTCGAGTTAATGGGATTGTCCGTTTAGTTGGGCAATTGTAAGTGCCAAGGAAATTTTGACTCTCCGCGCCGTTCAACTTAGCCTTTCTCCAGCATGTCAAATGGTGTTATCAAAGGCACGGGTAACTGGACATCTGCCTACGCATACAGATTGCCCTTGTATGTAGTACCCCGCTGTCTCTTGGGACGATCCCTGGGTTACTCATCATGTTCACGCTCGTCTCATCCCTCCCAGTGCATTGCAGTGGATCTTCCCGGTCCTTCTGCTGATTGGTCTGCCCTTTGCTCCCGAATCTCCGTGGTGGCTTGTTCGCAAGGGTCGCGTCGAGGAGGCGCGCAAGGTTCTCGTGCGCCTATCCGGTGAACACAACAACGTCGAATTGCAACTTCAGCAGATTCAGGAAACCATCCGTCTCGAAGATACATTTGCGGCGAACACGACGTACGCGGATTGTTTCCGAGGTGGGTAGTGCATGATTGTGGCTGTTTGGGTCCTTGAGTGACGTTTTCATGATCCAGGCATCAACTTGAAGCGAACGGGAATTGCTTGTATGGTATTTGTCTTGCAACAAGCCGCTGGTGTCGTATTCGTGCTCGGCTTCAGTACCTACTTCTTCGAGCTTGCCGGCTTCGCGGATAGCAAGGCGTTCGATCTCGGCGTGGGCGTGACTGCTATTGGTGTATGTAGTGATGTCGGATTATGCCTTGAGCCTGTTGCTGATCTGTTGTTATCTGTTAGGTGGTCGGCAATTTGTTCACGTTCTACACTGTGAACAAATTCGGACGTCGATTCATATTCAACTGGACGTTGTGCGCTTGTTGTGTCGTCCTGCTTGTCATTGGGTTCCTCGCTATCCCTAGTAATAATCAAGGTGCAAGGTGGGCGATTGCTGCGTTGGTATGTCATCTCGAGTCCATTGAAAAATCTCAAGTGTTAACCATGTGTCCTACATTAGACACTTGTATACAACTTCATCTACCAGACGGGAATGTAAGGTGGTCTGATCCATTCGTCTTATCTTCGCTTACATGTTGTGTTCCAGTGGTCCTCTTGGATATGTCATCTTTGCCGAGGTTTCCTCTGCCAAGCTGCGGTCAAAGACCGTCGGTATTGGTATCTTGGTGAACTCGCTTTGCGGTATGGTGATGAACATCGTCTGCCCATACCTGTGAGTTACAATGACAGCTTTCCTAGTAAAGCAGATATTCATACAAGAATCGTGTGCACAGTGTTAACCCTGATGAGGCGAATCTTGGAGGCAAGGTCGGCTTTATCTTTGGAGGCCTTAGTGTCTTCGGTATAATCTGGGCGTACTTCTACATCCCAGAAACGAAGAATCGCACCGTCGACGAGTGAGTTTCTCTTCGTTTAGGCTTGCAATTTTACCTGACGACTGGCTCGCAGACTAGACGCACTATTCGAGCGGAAGATTTCGGCGCGCAAGTTTTCTTCGTACAAGCTCCAAGATGAGGATCTCGTTCACGAAGAAGCGAGGAAGTAGCAATGGCGCATGTACAGTTCTACCCTTCCCGCTTCCCAACACGGATACTCCTGGGAAGGTGATATTCAGGAATTTTTGTATGATTACTCACGAGGTTTATGGCTTGGGGAGTGGGCTCTCCGTCTAATGACTCTGCTCTGACCGCGCATGAGATACACGAGCTATACTATGTACCACTAGCCATAGTAGTGCGTACAGCACAATAATTGATCAATTCTGCTATCCACCCATCTCAATTCTCAAACTCATCCGATTGGACGTATTATGTCAGGCGGTCAGGGTGAGGCCGAATGCATACTGGTTGGACCCATCGACTCCGTGTGCGGAGCGACGGGGGACCCCTGATCCGCTGAATTTTATGTAAGGCTCGAACCAACGGCAGCTACAATGTGATTTCGTCCTATACGTGTGATTGTATACAGCATGCAAGAGAATCTTTCACGACATGCAGGTGCGGGCAAGTCAGCAGGAAGACATAAACCACTGGGATGCCGAATGGCAGCAGCCGCAGGACTTCACCGGCGCAAATGTGCCGCGCATGCCGAGATGCCGTGGCGATCGAAATGAAGCGCTTTTTCGCCTGGATCGAGTCTAAGTCTTGGCATGCGTGCTCTTCCTGGCTTCTCTTCTCACCGCTGCATTGAATCCCATCGTTCGCATTACATTAATACAGCAACATCTTGTGAATATTCATGCTTATTTCAAGGGAAAATATTTTTGAAGGTTATATTTGACTCTGGACGTAAATGCAGTGGTCGATTTGATAGTTTGACTGATAGCATATTCTAATAAACCGGCGTTGGAGGGGTGTTCAAATATGTCTCTAGTTTGTCAGCGCCCGGACTTATCAGGACGCTGCCCATTAATCCGGTGCCCCCGTGGAAGTCGCAAGTCTGCTATCGAGCCGCTCACATGTCATAGTATAAAGGCGCACCACCGGCATACTCGGGACCTTTTGCTTGAGGTCCCGGGTGTCCTGCGCCGCTCTCTGTTTTTTTCTGGGCCCTTTGTCGTGCTCACCTCTCTCCCACAATGGACGAGAAACTCAAGACCGTCTCAGAGACGTCCAGCATCATCGAGGCCGCGGAGATTCTGGAGAAAGACATTACGCCGGAAGCAGACCTAGAAAAGGGGGACCTACAAGAAGAGAAGGACAATTCGCACGAGCAAACGCACCGTTCACGAAAGCTCGACTTTGATCGAGGGGAAGAGCATGTCAAGTTTAGGAGACATTGGTGGCAGCTCTGGTATGGCACACCTCACATGATCCGCCCAATCTTCACGGAATGCTCCTAGGATTCCGAAGGACCCGCCTCCGCCTGCACCAGAGTCTCTCTCCGATGCATCAGTACGTATGGCGTTTCTAGGTGTTCGTATACAGCAGCTAAATGTTGTGTACAGATTATTCCAATTGTATATGCGTCGATCTTCTCTATCCTGACCTACAACTGGATTAATCCCATAATGGTAAGTGCCCCGCCGTTCAAAGTGTTCCCCATAAAGCTTCATATCATCTGGCACGCAGATGCTGGGCTATCAGCGTACCCTGCAGGCAACCGACCTTTGGAAGATGGATGAAACGCGCGAGGCGGGGGTGCTCAGCGCGAAACTCGACGCCGCTTGGGATATCAGGGTCAAGAAAGCTGACGAATGGAATGCACGCCTCGTGAGCGGGGAGATCAAGCCTGGTCTCTGGCTTCGCGTAAAGTGGTTTTTCAAAGCGCTCTGTACAGGTTCGAGATACCGTAAACGCCGCACGGAACTGGAGAAACAGTGGCGTGAACATGATGGAAAGCAAGAAGCGAGCATTGCATGGGCTTTGAACGATGTTTTTGGATGGACATTTTGGACCGGTGGGGCGTTCAAGGTGCGCATATATGCGCATAGATAGTCCATAGGTTACTGAAAGCATTGGGGTGGGCAGGTCATCGGCGATACGGCTCAGCTTATGGGTCCTGTTATTGTCAGGGTACGTTCTAGAACAGCATCATGATACAAACCATATTCCAACCATCTGGCAGACCATTATTGAGTATAGTGACAGTCGCATGGCTGCTCGAGCCGCAGGTACACCGGTAGAGGGCCTCGGACGAGGTGTGGGCATGGCCATCGGGTTGTTTTGTACTACTGTCACTACAAGCGTGTGTCAGCATCAAGTGGGTGATTACTCGAGAATCAAATATCCGAACGAGTTCGTTGATTTCAGATTGCTAGTTCTTCTGGCGCTCAATGACAACAGGAATGTTAGCTCGCGCGGCTCTCATCGGCTCTATCTACAAGCGGGGCGTTGCCCTTACGGGCAAGGCTCGCACCGAGTTTCCGAATGCGAAGTTAGTCACGCATATATCGACTGACGTCAGTCGAGTCGATGCGTGTGCCCAGTGGTTTGTGAGTACATCCGGTTTTCCTACGCCCTCAAGTTTTATTGAGTTGTGTCTGATCCTTAGCATGCAAGTGAGCTCGAATGGACAAAATTGTTTCAATTAGTCTGAGTAACACAATGTACAGCTTGGACAGCTCCCATTCAAGTGACGGTCTGCCTTGTCATCCTACTTGTTGAGGTAGGTTTCATTGCTCACCTTATTGACCTCAGTGACTCACCGAGGACATAGCTGGGTCCCTCTGCGCTAGCGGGGTTCTCGCTCTTCCTCCTACTTATCCCGATCCAAGAGCGTGTCATGTCCTTCCAGTTCGGTATCGGCAAGAAAACACTTGTATGGACCGACAAGCGTTCGAAGCTTATCCTCGAGGTGCTCGGTGGGTTGGATGCACCCATCTCCAAGGCCGCATCAGATTGACCGCTATCATTTAGGTGCAATGCGAGTTGTGAAGTACTTTTCCTACGAATTGCCCTTCTTGAAACGTAAGTTATGATGCCTACGCTGAGAGATGAAGCGTTTGAGGTATTTTTGATCAGGTATCGGCGATATGCGGAAGATGGAGCTGAAGGGTATCAGGAAAATTCAATTCGCGCGATCAGCAAAGTAGGTTACACGTGGACCTACGTTCAGACTTCGTGCTGATTGATTCACAGTATTGCGTCAGCATTTTCGGTGCCGGTACTTGCAGCAACTTTGTCTTTTGTTACATACACCTCTACAAAGAACTCCTTTAATGTCGCTATCATATTTTCGTCACTTTCATTGTTCAACGTGCGTATGAGGAATAACCGGCTGGAGCGATGTCTGAATATCCATGTTTTTCATTGTCTAGTTGCTTCGACAACCACTCATGTTTCTTCCTCGCGCACTATCTGCCACCACTGACGCACAGAACGCCCTAGAGCGGCTCAAAGTCCTCTTCCACGCGGAGCTCTCGACAGGCGACGCATTTATCACAGACCCTCAGCAGGAGCCTGCCCTACTAGTTCAAGACGCCACATTTGAGTGGGAAGAGAGTACGACTGGCAAGGAAGCCGCTCAAAATGCCAAGGCTACAGGAAAGATGACCGCGAGTGCTAGAGAGCATGAGCATGCCGCGCCGTTCCAGGTAAAAGATGTCAATGTGAATGTGCCTCGCGGAACGCTCGTTGCCGTTGTTGGCTCTGTGGGCAGGTGAGCGATGCTTCTGTGTTCGCTCATGGGCTGTTGATCGATTCACGTGTGTCGGCGCAGTGGAAAGGTAGCTCCTTTCATGGACATCTTGTCGCAGTCATTACTCATCGCCATATACAGTCGAGTTTGTTGCAAGGTCTTATTGGGGAGATGCGCAAAGTCAAAGGACATGTGTCCTTTGGCGGGAAGGTAGCCTACTGTTCGCAGACGGCTTGGATCCAGAATGCTTCATTGGTGCGCCTCCTTTGTACCTCCTTAATCACGCTATCTTGACATTTCTTTCCAGAAAGAGAACATCCTATTTGGACGACCGTTCAACCAGGATAGAGTATGTCATGCAGCTCTTCATTATAGCCATGCCTGATGATTCGTCTCGCAGTATTGGAAGGCCATTGCAGATGCCTCTCTTCTACCTGATCTAGAGGTGTTGCCGGATGGTGATCTGACCGAAGTGTGTTATACTGATCGTTGTATGGGATGAATAATGCTGAGCTATTGTCAGATCGGCGAGAAAGGTATCAATCTCAGCGGAGGCCAGAAGCAAAGGGTATGGCTGCCAATTAAAAAGCTATTGATCGTGAATGCTGAAACTACGTTTAGGTCAATATTGCCAGAGCGCTGTATTACAACGCTGATGTTGTCATATTTGATGATCCTCTTTCCGCTGGTGAGCCTTGGGCGTGTTACACTGCGATTATGATACTCATAGAATACATTTTAGTTGACGCTCACGTTGGGAAGGCTCTTTTCGCTGACGCGATTCTCGGAGCACTCCGCGGACGCGGCAAGACCATCATACTAGTCACCCATGCTTTACATTTCTTGTCCCAATGCGACTACATCTATACAATGAAGGTCTGTTGGTATTATTACGGGTTTTGATCTAGTGACATATCATGATCCCATCTTTCCGTAGAACGGGCGCATTGAAGAGCAAGGCACTTTTAACGAGCTTGTCGACAATGGATGCGAGTTCTCCCGCTTAATCAAGGAATTTGGTGGCACGACATCTCAGGAGGAAGAAGCTATTGAAGAGCAAGCTGCTGACACACCCAAGGGACAATCTGTTACAGCTATCAATGAAACTAGAATCAAGCTTGAGTCCGCTAAACGCGCCGTGGCGGGTACAGGAAAGCTCGAGGGCAGGCTTATTGTTCCTGAGAAACGAATGACAGGCTCGGTCAGCTGGAGGAGTGAGTCGTGATCATAATCTCGTGGGACGTGAACCTCATTATTCTACAGTGTACGGAGAATACTTAAAAGCAGGGAAAGGATTTATAACTTTCCCCCTCCTACTACTTTTGATTGCATTCATGCAAGGATGTACTATTATGAACAGCTACACCCTCATATGGTGGGAAGCGAAGTGCGTTACTACTCATCTTGTCGTGTCTCCATCCTGACACAAGGTCACCTAGCCGCTGGGACAAGCCTAACTCGGTGTACCAAATCATGTATGCATGTCTAGGCATCGGGCAGGCCCTTTTCACCTTCGCAGTGTACGTTCACTCATACCGGATAGTTAATAATTTGTCAATGACATATGGGAGATAGAGGCGCGACGATGGACGTCATGGGATTCCTCGTCTCTCATAATCTTCATCATCATGCTATACGGAATATATTCTATGCGCCGATGACGTACTTTGATACAACAGTGAGTGCCCCACTCCCTTTGTATCTTACACCATCTTACCATTAGCTTAGCCGACCGGGCGCATTCTCAGTATATTTGGAAAGGATATAGAAAGTCAGGATGCTGTTTCATGTTTGTATGCTTAAGCTTACTTGTGTTGATATAGACATTGATAATCAGCTTCCGGGTGAGTACTCGGGATGATGTTATGGAATTTGCGCTTACTCATCCTACATAGTTTCTATGAGACTCTGTGAGCCGTGAAACTGTAACGACAGAGTGCCTCTACTGACTCACTTCAGTTGTTCTGACAATTGCTAATGTCGTTGGAAGCGTGACCATCATCACGGTCTTGGAACATTACTTCAGTGAGTCTCGAATCATACTCAGTCGCTCACTTACTGAGAAGCTGCATTCAGTAATCGCTGTCGTTGCAATTGCTTTTGGATACAACTATTTTGCTGCTTTCTATAGATCTAGCGCTAGAGAGCTGAAGCGCATAGGTAAGTATCTTAGATATGCGATTCACTCGCAAGACAAGCAATTAACCTAGTTTTGTAGACGCTATGCTCAGATCCATTTTATATGCTCATTTTGCTGAATCCCTTTCAGGACTACCTACCATCCGCAGCTATGGAGAGATAAACCGATTCCTAAAAGACAACGAGTATTATGTAGATTTAGAGGATCGAGCCGGCATTATTACGGTTACAAATCAGAGGTGAATCCCTTCTCGAAGACCAGCGATGCTATTCTTGACTTCTTATTAGGTGGCTGGCCATACGTCTGGACTTCCTGGGAGGGCTGCTAATATTTATCGTAAGCTCATCTTCTGGAAATAAAGAACTTGTCGTGAATGCTTGGCTCGAAGGTCGCAATGTTGGCCATCTCTGACGTTTCTGGAATTAATCCGGCACAGATCGGTCTCGTTCTCACGTATTCAAGTAAGGACAACATGGGTTCATGTAGCCATACCAAGACCAAGCTGACATATTCTCGGTCATAGCTGCTCTGGTACAGCTATGCGGCATGGTCACTCGCCAAGTAAGTGCAGATGTTTAATACTCCAGGTTCGTACTTACCCAACGTTGCAGTCTGCTGAAGTCGAGGTATGTACAATTATTCACCAGTAAACATTGATATTTATTCTCGCCTTAGACCTATATGAGTTCAGTTGAACGAGGTGAATTGCTACTAGCTGTTAATGACTGCATTTGTTGCTCACCGATGGCTAGTCATCGAGTACAGTCGAGATGGCCGAATTGAGCAAGAAGCGCCTCACGAGATAAAGAGCCATAAGCCCGCTACGGAATGGCCCGCCCAAGGCGCTATCGAATTTAAGGATGTGGTCATGAGATACAGGTCCGGGCTCCCATTCGTGCTGAAAGGGCTATCTATGAACGTTAAAGGGGGTGAAAAGATTGGTGTCGTGGGAAGGTGCGCAAGAGCACTGAGTTGCACTGCACCGTCAACTGACCATGGCCCAGGACCGGGGCTGGGAAATCGACGTTGATGCTGGCCCTGTTCCGCATCGTCGAACTGCATTTAGGTTCGATCACAATCGACGGGTAAGTGTATCTATCTAACCCCCCGATGAGTTTGTCACATTGTCATCTCAGGATCGACATCGCCAAGATCGGCCTGAAAGACCTCCGATCGAAAATCTCGATAATTCCGCAGGACGTATGTTCTCCCGCTGATACGCAGTGCCCTGTAGCTGACCATATGTTGACAGCCGTTGCTATTTAGCGGTGAGTTCCTGTGCAGTTATTCAAATAACCCGTGAGCTAACGTCGGCGGTAGGTACCATCCGATCAAATCTGGATCCATTCAGCCAATATGTAACACAGCCCTCGTTCTCTCCCTCACGATTTAATTTGCTTACTCTTGTCATCAGACCGACGCCCACTTGTGGGACGCCCTGCGGCGATCATTCCTTGTGGATTCTTCCTCGACGAAGCCCGAGAGCGACTCCGACGAGCCGCACAGCCCCACCGGCCGCTTCAATCTCGAGACGCCTGTCGAATCGGAGGGAGCCAATCTCAGCGTAGGAGAGCGCAGCCTTCTCAGTCTGGCCCGCGCACTGGTCAAGGACAGCCAGGTAGTAGTCCTCGACGAAGCAACGTGCGTGTTTCCCCCCTCTCCCTAGATCCCCCAATCTCAAGATCTAGCAGCGCGTCTGTGGATCTCGAGACGGACTCGAAGATCCAGCAGACGATCCAGACGCAGTTCAGCCACAAGACGCTGCTGTGCATCGCCCGTGAGTACCCAAGTCGCCGGCGATGTTGGGACTGCAGCTGACCGGCGCTTCGACCCCGCATTGCAGACCGCCTGCGCACGATCATCTCGTACGATAGGATCCTCGTGCTCGACGCCGGGCAGATAGCGGTGCGTGGTGTTTCCGCATCCGAGCTGCGCAGGACACGGGTGCTCACGATCTGTGCAGGAGTTCGACACCCCCCTGAACCTGTTCGACGTCCCAGATGGCATCTTCCGCGGCATGTGCGAACGGAGCGGGATCACCGCTGCCGAAATAGAGAAAGCCGCGCTGAGGGCGCGCGGTGGCACTGGCGTGGCCGGTCTTGTAGAGAACTCGATCATGCAGGCCGCCTCTCTCTAGTATCATATCAACGACGTTCATCGTTAGATTTTTTTTCTTTACGTGCTTAATGATAGAGTCTGCCCATAAACACGGCAGCTGTCCGACGAGAACGGGTATCGAAAGAGCCGGCGCACGTAGAACGGACACAGACGGCCGGCGTTCCAAAATCCGCAAACCCGCCGCGGTTCGCCGCGCCGTCCCGCCCTGCCAGAACACAAACGACGTTCCCATTTTCCAGTAGCGTTATTAGCAGCCCGCGGCGCGAGCTCTCACATCCTAGATAGACTCTACCTACAAATACACCAACTTGAACACCCAAACCCGACACCCGACATCCACCCGACACTCGCCACTCGCCACTCGACGCCGGCCACGGCCACGGCGCGCGCGCACACACTACGCAGGGCCGCCGCCCGCAAAGCCCATCACCGGCTGGTCGTGCCGCACCTGCGTCTCCGGCTGCATCGCGCCCATCCAGTTGAACCCTGCAGGGAAAGCACACAAAACACGTGCGTCAGCGCGCTCGGAGCGGGCGCCGGGCGGGAGACGGGCTTACCGGGCAGGATCACGTCGGGGAAGACGGACTGCATGGACTGCAGCAGCTCGCTGTCGTAGAACAGCGGCGGCGAGAAGAACCCGGACGCGTCGATGTCGGACGGCGTCGACTGGCGCGTCGACGGCCCCAGCAGCCCCGCGGGGCCCGCCGCGGACGCGGACGACGTCGCCTGCACGTACTGGTCGAGGGACAGCGCCTCCGCCGTGAGGGGCGGCGGCGGCGGCGTGATCGGCCGCGGGCTCGACGCCTCGCTGGACGGGGACTGGGACTGGCGGGCGAGGGACGCGCCGGACGGCTGGGACGGGGAGGACACCGCGGACGGGTGGCGCGAGCCGCGGCGCGGCGCCGGGGGCGAGTGGTCGACGCGGGCCATGGGTGTGTCGAGCAGGCCCTGGAGGAAGCGCGAGTAGAGCTTGGGGCCGTGGCGGTCGTCGACGGCGACCTCTGGCGAGCCGAGCAGGTCGATCACGCGCTGGACGAGCGTGCGGATCTCCACGCGCTGCTCCCGCGAGAGGTGGTACCTGGGCTGCAGGAGCTGCCGGCGTCGGCGTCGGCGTCAGCGCAGAGGACGGGCGGACGGACGGAGGGGACGTACCTTGATCAGGAACGCAGACGCGAACGTGACAAAGACGCTCTGCGCCTCAGGGCCGTGCCGGAGGTAGATTTCTGCGGGGGGCGGAATGAGTCGCGAGCATCTCCGACGTGCCCAGCGCGCTTACTTTGACTCGGAATCCCGATCTCCTCCACAACAGCGCGCACGGTGTCGCTCGCCGCCCGGTAACACTGCGTGCGTGCGCGGTCAGCGCCCGTCCAGAACAGGAGATGAAAGCAAACGGTAACGGCTCACTCTCCACAAGAATGGCACCTCGGTCGTGGACGAGCTCTTGCCGAACGTGTGCTGGAAGCCCACGGAGAGCACCGTCAGGCGCGCATAGCTGTACGCGAGCTTGAGCAGCCCCGTGCGGAAGTGGCTCTGGCCGTCCGTGTTTGCCTTGCGCACACGCGGCGCCCACGTCTCCCACAGGTGCGCGAGCCGGTCGTCCGTCTCGCTGCACACCTGCGCCAGGTCGATGTGCTGCGCGCAGCCCCGTCAGCGGTCAGCCCACACAGAGCGCGCGCTCGCGCCGCACGCACCTTGTTGAGCCCGGTCGGGTGCTCCGGGTTGCTGTATATGCGGCCGCGAAAGTCCGCCATGACCTTGAGCTCGGCGTTGTAGCAGCAGAGGTGCACGTCGAACCCTGCGAGGTTGTACGGCGAGCCCTCGTACCAGAACTCGGTGTGGTTCGCGACATAGTCCTTGTTGTCGATGATCGCGCGCTGGCCGTACTGCGAGCCGGTCGAGCGGTCGAGATTGAAGCAGTTGAGCCACACGCGCGTGCGATTGAGCATCTCGCGCGCGTGCAGCTCGTTCTGCGGCTTTGGCGTCGTCGCGTAGTGCAGCTTGAGGTCGGTCGCAACGCTGGACTCGCGCAGGGGGTCAGGCTAGGAACAGGCGGAGCGGAGACGCCCGTACGCACCGTATCGCGAGGCCAAGATAGATGAAGCCCCTGTCGTCCTCCCACCGCCGGGCAGGGACGGGATACAAGCTGAGCAGAATGTAGGCCTGGACCGCCTCGATGGTTTTTTGACCGCCGATAAGGGTAGTACCGGCGGCTAATCGAGCGTATTTCATCGCCTGTTCATATAATTCGGGCCTCGGAGCATAATGGCGAGAGGCGATGGCACAGACTGGTGAGGGGGGGAGAGAGAGCAATCAGATTCAGGCAAGCGCACCGACGCGCGGGCGACTACTCACTAACAGTAAACAAGAAGGGAGACCGCCAATACGTTTTTTGTGCGGTGTAGAGCACGGGGTCCAAGAGCGAAACGGAGAGATTCATGTAGTCGTAGTATCTGCACGGGAGCGCGTCAGACGCACGCCGGTCGCGGCCAGGACGGATGCGCACTCACATGCCGAAGAGCTTCTCTGCCTCGTCGGGCTTGATGATGCCGTTGCGGAGAATTGCCGGCTGCTGCTGCTCGTCCACGATGGGCCGCTCCGGGGCGGGACCTGGACGAGTGAAACGCACACGGCCCCACGTCAGCTGCGGACGGCTGCACGAGGAGGAGAGGGCACCTACTCGGCCTGAAGTAGTCGTCGTTCGCCAGGCCGACGGCGGTGTTGTCTGCGTCCTGGGGGTCGATGTCGCTGCGGGCGCGGCTGGAGCGCCGCCTGCGGGCCTTGTAGAGGGACAGGTCCGCGATGAGGCCGAGGGGGACAGACTCGTTGGGGAGCATGACCGGCTTTTGCGCCGCGGCGAGGTAGCTCCGCCGCATCGGCGTCTCCGGGCCGTCCAGGGGCCCGTTCGAGGACGAGCGGCCGCGCTCGAGCTCGCCAAAGAGGCTGTCGCTCTCGCCGTCGCCCTCGGCGCTGAACTCTGCATCCGAGGCGTCCGTGTCCTCGACGTGGATCTCGTACTCTGAATCGCTGCGGGCGTTGTCGTCGGTGCCCTCGTCGCCGAGCATGTCCCAGGTGGCGCCGGGGCCACCCATGGTGATGTACTCGCCAAACGCCTCGATGGATTGGCGCGCCTTGGTGATCCAGTCCTCGACGTCGGCGGACGTGCCGCGCTCAAAGGCGGCGGGGAGCGGCGCGCCGAGCACGGACTCGCCCAGTTCCGTGCGCGGCGCGCCGCTGGCGGAGGTGCGGCGGCTGGCCTTGCGATTCGCCTCTTCGAGCTTGCTCATGAGGTCGGTGATCTGGGTGGCCTGTTCCCGAATCTGATTGATGAGGTGCTCGCGCTTTCTGCAAAACACAGTGGCGCGTGGGGGGGGATCGCGGGCGCTGAGACCATGCGCAAAGGGGATACAAAGCAGACACTCACGGCGGGGGCTTGCGCTTTTTGCGGCCTGGGACGACACACTCGTGTCCGGCGCTAATGCAGCGCTTGCAAGCGTCTCCGATCATCTCACATCGGACCTGGGAGTGGACTGAGCCCATCGTCTGGAGCGGCGAGCGGTTATGCGCACCTTCAAGCCCTTGCACCTCCCACACGCGCCGGGCCTGGGGGAGGGCGTCAGGTGGCTGAGAAGGATGGGAAAGCGGGGGTGGGGGGGGGGGGGGGGGGG